CACTACACTGCTCTACAATCGTCATTTTGTCTACATAGGAGAATAAATCATTGACTTCGTCGTCATGTGCAACTACACATAATCGACGTCCAGAGGAGCCGAAATCCTACGCAGAAATCATATCACCGTCCACTTCATACCAATATATTGAACAAATCATCAGATCTAGTATCTCGCTTACTTTCCGAGTTATGAGCATTTATACATCTTTTTACGCTCCATTGCAACATCAACCTCTTCTTCGTTAATAACTCCGCATATACAATGCCTTCTTACCGTACCAATTACTTCTTTCGTCTACTACTTCTTTAACGTTATTATGGCATTTTTCTCTTCATTTACGCCAGTACGTACACATTCGTCGACTACTACAAAATACTTTTCTCTTTACTTCATATCACCACGTGGAATCCAGATTCAATTCAAACAACCCGTTATGTGTTTCTTACAAATACAATTACCATTAATTCTTCTTTTCGAATCAAAAATATTTATTAATTTACTTACATCAATAATTCAGTATTACATTTCATTTCATAATATTAAAAACTTTTATGTTTACGTGTCCTACATTATTATGTCTATTCTACAAAATTAACTTTAAAATTTCTCGGTATGAACAATATGTCTCAGCAATTGAATCAATAATATTAATAACAATAATTACGAATTTTAAATTTCTGTACTATTAGTCTTTATCGATTAATGATTATACCTTATTGCAGCGTTAATTATCGTTCTTTGCATCTATTGCATTTAACTATTTTTTCCATTCTTTTATTTATTCCAAAAATCAAACGCCTTCCGTATTCTTTCGTTTCGTGGTCGATGAGGGGAATCAGAAAATACTTTTCGATTTCCAGGGCTTTTCGACTTATCATTCGTTGAGTGCATTTCTTCTTTTTCAAACATTTTCGCCGTTCGACTTACACTTCCAGTCCTTACAGTGCAATGTGATAAGATGGGCCTTCCTATCCCGGAGATTTCGTCTTCGTTATCTACATAAATAATCAATTCATTAATTTTGCATCTTAAAATTCATATTCTTTATACAAGAACAGTTCAATATATAGAGCGCATCAAATACGTAGCATAACAAAAACTTCATTTCATGAACAAAGCAATTCAAATAAATAAAAATGTTTAAATAAACCAACCTAATTTTGATATGTTAGTTTGACACCTCGGTTTAAATACACTTTCATGCACATAAGTGTTACTTTGGAATGAAATAAAACGATGCCTTAATCGTGAATGCTTCTTTTCGTCGTTTTCATCTCTTTTCATAACGTCCACATTTTTCGCTCCATCGTTACCATCTATCATAATATTGTCCTCTGTTAATTCCTTCATGTTTCCTTCTTTTGACAGGGATTCATTTACTTTTAGGCTGGTACTGCTACAAAAATTTTCTACATTGTTTGTGCTGGTTTCTTTAACTTCTACTACCTTTGACACCGGTTTTATTTCCACATCGACAGTAAAGATTTTTTTCTTATTACACTTCATAATATCTGTTACATTTTTTACCAAATTATCGGAATGTAGTCTTAATTTCGTTATAAATTCTTCACTTAAATCGTCTATACGTTCACTATTTGAACTATTCTCTTCACTCATTGTAATTTTTGTTTTACTATTTTCCTTTTCTATTTCAATATCATCTTCCGATATACATGACTTTGATTTTTCCGAAATTGTTGAATAGTCAGTATTTCCAATACATTCGTTTGTCGTATTATCGGCCCGAGTCAACCGTTCTTCAGTAGAATCTTCACTTTTATCGACGACTTCACTCAAATCTTGTACGCTTTCACGTTTAATTAGAACTTGTTGGATTTCATCGACACATAAATCGTCCGAATATGGAATGAACAATTTTTTATCACTTTCTGGTTTGTGGCCTTTTGGTGTTGGAAGACTAGGAGCAATACTTTTTCGACTGTTCGCTGATAGAATAGCCATTCTTCCTAAAGCACGAATGGCGTTACCTGTTTTCTGTAATAAACAAATCAAAACAAACTGCATACTTAAAACATAAGCAAACATCCATGCATTTGTTCCGATATAACACATTCCATTTCGGTTAATACTTTATAAATCGAATGATAACGACTACTGTTAGTTGCGATTTTTAAAACTACATTGCAGAATTTCATTTTACCTGCCATTTTCTCCGCACAATGAATTTCTTTAGCTTGTCTGTAGGTAATGCAACTCTGCTCATGCTTTCAGCACATTGAGCCAGCCAAGCATGTTTCAAACATTCTCTTGCTGACATTCTTAATCTAAAACAAATTACATAGTTTTCATTTTTCAATTCAATTATTATATTAATAAATAAATTATATCAATCATTTACTCTTTTCTTTTAATCAAAAGGCTACTGATGAAATCTTTAGCTTCCTGTGATATTGCATGAAATGCTTTGTCGTCAAAATCGTAGTCAGCTCGGGTAATGTTTGCAAAAGTTTCTGCGTCATTTTCACCCATGAATGGCGAGAGTCCAGTTAATCTACATATCAATGGATGATTACCATTTATTATTTATCACCTATCAAATTTAATGGTTAAAAAATATAAAATATCTTTACAAGACGTAACAAATTACTCCAACGCTCCACATATCCGACTCAGTACCGATCGGTTCGAAACTTATTATTTCTGGGGGAATGAATTCTGGCGTTCCAAATAATACACGAACTGGAGTGTCTGGTTTCAATGTTTGAGCCAAACCAAAGTCTATTAATTTTATTCGATGAGACGTCCGAGAGTAACACATTATATTTTCAGGCTAAAAAAAATTTCATGCTTGAGTTAAAATCATTCTATCATAAATTTGTTCTTAATTTCTTTACATACTTTACTTACTTTTAAATCTAAGTGAACAATTTTATTATTATGTAAATATTCAACTGCTTGACAAATTTGTCTTACAAATAATATACTATCTTTTTCTGTAAGTGTAAAATCATCAGCGACCACTCTTTCAAATAGTTCTCCACCAGAAATATATTCTGTCACCATAATCATTTCTTTAGGGCTCTCAAATGCTGCCACAAGTTTTAGTAACTTAGGATGCTTCAGCATATTCATTATATTTATTTCATCATATACTTGCTGTTTATCTTTAGCCTTAATTGTCCGCACAAATTTTGCAGCAAGAATTGACCCAGTTTCTTTGTTTAAAATTCTTCTCACCACTCCATATCTGCCTTTCCCAAGTTCTTCTAGCACATCAAAACGTTCTTCAAAATTATTTGCAGGCTCTGGTATGACAACTGGTGATTCAATAGTTGTTTGAGATTCTTCAATTTCTTCCTCGGAGCTTAGTGAAGGATTAATAGTCGTCTCCATTTCTTGAGTATCATTACTAATGTTGACAATTTCTGACTCCATTCCTGCTTCACTTAACCCGTGAATATTTTCTGCTCGAACTCTAAAGCAATAAGTTTCTTCAGGGTCAATCCTTTGAATCTTATGGCTAAGAGAATATTTAGCCTCTGCTACAGCAATCCAACAGGGCTCGTTGCCCTTTCTCATTTCAATAGAGTAACCTGTTATAGCTCTTCCTCCGTCGTAGACTGGCGATCTCCAACTTAGAGTCACTTCGCCTAAATTACTGAGATTCTTAATAATTACTAAATCTCGTGGAGGCTCTGGAGGGCCTGAAAAATAATTATTTTGTAAACAATTGACGAAATTATTATAAATAGTTCAAAGATAATATTTTTTTTTATCATAAAATAATATTTCAATTAATGATTATCAATTGGTTTTTTAATTAAATATAAATTGCTTTATAATCAGTCAATAATTTCAAATAAATTATTATCAAAAATAATTAATATCCTCAGGTAATTAAAAGCAAATTTAGCTGATCAAAGCACCTGAGTCACATTAAAGTTCAATGTAATTTCTGTTACATTTTTATATATAAAATGTTCATCTATCGATTTACACTATTTTACTTTTTTTTTTTTAATGCATTTAACTCACTACCCTTTCTCATTTTATACGTAAAAAATTAAATAAATTGTAAAATGTTGACAAATATATCGTTTTCAGTAATCACAAAATACGGTATTTAAAACTTGAATAAACACATGCTCGAGAAGGAAGATGAGTAGAGACTAAACTGCGAAATATCGTTGGTTTACTATTCAGACCTGCAGCCTTGAGGCCAGAGGGACTTGAGCACGCAGATGCGTATGACGTGGATATAAGTTGTACCCGGCAAATTTTTGTCTTCGTTGCGGAGATGATAGAGAAAGAGTTAAAGCTGTTGGTTGGCCAAGATAGACGTAAAATTTCAAGAAAAAGAGATAGAAAACGTTGTTATAAGAGCTATTTGGTCGCGCATCTAGAGCACACAACAAGCTAGCAATTGAATCATTCTCCTCTTCACGTGCTCTCTTTTATATACAAAAGAAAAGATTACGGGTATTAATTACAAATTAACCTTGATATTTTAGCTTTCTTTACAAAAATAAAAAATATTCCAATGAATATTATTTACTTAAATTTTTAGTATTTCAAATATTTTTTTAATTGTTGAATTTACTAACGCAATACTTTATTTAATCAATTTAAAATTTATTGAAATAATTTAAGAATAGTTAAAAGTAGTTGCTAATAACAATATCCATATAAATATCTTTATCTTTCAAATATTTTAATTTTTGACTCGTGTGTTCAATTGGTACTGTGTATGATGAAACATTTTTTAATAAAATTGATGTTTTTTGATGTGGGCATACTTTACTTTTTTTTTTTTTAATTTTAAATTTACACATTTACCTTCCACTGTAACGTTAACAAATCTTGATTCTTTTCCCAATTGATTTTCGACCTGAATTTCATATTTACCACCTTCATCAGACGTTATTTCCTTCAAGGTGAGACAGGTAAGACCTCCATTTGTTTCAATTTCAGTTTTATCGTCCAACATCACATCTTGCCCCTAAAGAAGGACAAAAAATATTAAACTAAATAAGTTGTTCAGGATAATTTATTACCAGCAATACAGGTTAATGTGGGCATTACATTATTCATAAATTTATCGAGTTTATTTATGTTTTTTTTTTTTTTAAATTAACATTCATAAATTTCTGCAAAATGTTATCCGATAATATTTAACAATTGAATTACGGAATGCCAAACTTTCTTTTTTTGTGATTGTTCTTTTTGTTTATTTATTTACGTCACAGATTATTTACTTATCAATATTTATTCGTGATGGTATGCATCATATAGAGGATTTAGAGATAAAAAAAACTATGCCTTACTTGCGTATTTATATGAAAAACATATCACAGAATCAATTATTTATAAAATATGTTTAAAAATTAAAACAATCTCTATTTTGCCAAGAGTTAATGATATTTCGATTGATTTCAATAAATTTGAAAATTTTAATAAATATCATATTATAGTAATACAGAATTTTATGCACTCTTTAATCAAGATTTTAAAATATGTTTTACATCTAATTTCGCTAATTGTATGATTTTCACACGCGATAATTTCGATCGTAGATAAATTTAACGCACGACTTATAAGACACAATTCATTACTTGTTTCTCCTTAACAGTAAGATTGATTCAGATGTGGTTTAAAATATGCCTTGAAGCAACAAGAAAATAGATAAGGTTACTGAGTTGAGAAACTACTGAGTTAATGTTTGTTATCGTTATCGTATGTGCCACTAATTTTTTTCATAAATGTTATTTTTCTATTCTATTTATAAATAAATATTTTCGATTAATATATTACACATAATATAAAAATATAGTATCCGTTTTACTTTGTATTATCATATAGAATGATTTGTTAATTTTTATGATTTACGATCATATTTGGTCAAAAAAAAGATATGGTAACTTACTTTTCGTAACCATCGAACGATTGGTTTCGGATATCCTCTGTAGGTTGAGAAAAGCATCACTTTAGCACCTTGTAATGCTATTACATCTGCTGGTATCGTCAGAATTACTGGTGCCTTCAACTTGTCAATATCTAGAGTTTTTAATTTTCTTCCATTTGTTTTATAATTTTTATCAATAGATTTTAGAAAAGACTTCCCTTGTAATGATTGCGAATTAATATCCTTCGAAAGTGATGAGGATAAACTTGATGATTTTATTTTTTTACCTGATTGATCTTTCAATTTTCTAACTTTTTTTTGAGATGCAAGCATTTCTTTTGGTTCTGATTTTCCACGTTCTTGAGAATGTCGATAATTTCGTGGTATTGAAGAGCTTCGTTTTATTGGATTCATTTTATTTTCTTCTAAAGAACTGGTAATTTTATAATTTTTTGTTCCAGTTTGGGTCAAATTTTTTTCATTACTGAAAATTCACGTGGCAAGAAAATATAAATTCATGAGTAACGAAATATTGATAAAATTCTAGTTTTTCAAAATGGAAAATATTAATATTCAATTGTCAGTTTTTCATTTGAATTTTCATAATATTTCTATGAAAATCATGGCTTATCTTAGTAATGAATAGAAGATTTATTATAATTTATTCATTTTAATTAATCAAATAAATCAATAAATATATTTTACCTGTTATGCCATCGAGGAAGCGTAGGACTACTCGCTCCTTTTTCTTTCAAATCGTTAAAGCGTGGAGGTCTTAGACTGTTATCACACCTGGACGATGGGGATATATTACTTCTGCTACCATAAATGGAATATGTCCTCGGAGACGCACTTCGTGTGCCTATTGACCTTGAAGCAGAATTACGACGACCTCTAATAACTTCTAGTCTCGCTGATGCTTCTGTTCTTCCCATATCATTTTCTAAAGTTATTCTGTATAATCCAGCATCTTCATGAGTAACTTCGGTTATTTCCAAAACTCTTATGTCATCATTTTCTTTCAATGATATTCTGGCTGTTGGAGTTATAGAAATTCCTTCTTTGTCCCAAATTACCCAAGGAGTAGGATGTCCTGCTATTGCACATTGGAATCTCACAGTTTCTCCTTCTTCAACAACTCGATTATGAGGAACTGCATAAAATTTCGGATTAGTCGGCATTTTCGGACGTTTTCCGATGTGTCCACGCAATGTTTTAGGAATCGATTTGATTTCACGTTCTGAAATTGATATTAAATATATATTATTAATAAATAATTAAATTAATAAATTTACTTTTACTTACTGGAAGTACACAAAGGGGATAAACTTCGAACTGGAGTGGATCTTGGAGTTGAAATTGGTGTAGAATTTGGTGAAAGAAGCCTCAAAGGTTTTGTCAATCTTCGACTAATAGCAGTTTCTTTACCTTCAGGTACTAAAAAATCACATATAATATTACTTGATGAAATTAATTATTTAAAGAATTTTTATTGTAGTCACATTATTTGTTTACCATCAACTATCAGACAAGCTGACGTATATGCCTTTCCAAGGTCATTATAAGCAACACACGTGTATTCTCCTTCATCTTCAGGATATACGTGTTGAATACTAAGTCGTGCAGTATCTCCATCAAAGTCGATAGCAAAATCTTCTCCAAGTGGTATGAGTTTTCCTCCTTTCTCCCACCGCACGTCCGGCTCTGGTATAGCGTGAACTTTACACTCTAGAGAGATAGCATCTCCATCACAACATCTCAGATCTCTCAATGGTCGCTTAATCACTGGCAATGTCTGAACGTTGCTGTAGACAAAATAATAGACGATTGGTCATCATGTAAAACCATTAGTCATCGGTAATCAATACGTAAAAAGTTATGTACTATTCCGTAACCTTCTATAAGTTTATATTAATAACTAACATTATTAACAAATTATTTTTTTTTAATATATAAATTTATGTAATAATTATTATATTTTCTTAAGACGTGAAAAAATATTCCTACCCATGTTTGATTATTGATTCCATTCCGTTGTCTCCTTTACCTTGACCTAAGCAATTTAAATAGTATATCTCATAAATTTGTTTTATTATGATAATAATTTTAAATAATAGATATTTTCTCATTGCAATAACAATACCTCGAGCATATATTTGAAGAGAAATCACCGCTTTGGCCTGTCCATGGCAATTTTTAGCAATTATTGAGTAAGTTCCAGTAAAGTCTAGTTTAGCATAAGGTATCTCTAGGCGATATTGAGGCCCAGCACCAACTCTTCTGAAGTGTGGGGCGTCTTTGTAATAATCATGCTGTAAAATCACAAAGTTAATCATGATGATCATCAGTCCTCTTTATTTTTTCATCATAAAATTTGTGCTTTTGATCTTAACGAAAGAGAACCGTCAAAACGTCTAGTATAAGTGTATTTTGTGGATGTTAGTTGTGTCAGAAAGGAAGAAAGAGATAGATGAATTTATTTCACAAACTGTCAACCATATAGGGAGCGAAAGTTTACTGCTTGAACAAATCTGTACTTTATATATAGACTTATAAATGAGAGACCAGTGCGGTGCCTAATATAAGAATCAAGATCATTGTCTTTTTTATGAATGCTATTGCAGAAGGACGCACAACACTTTTATTCTCTTTCTCACTATCATAAACTTTCAGTTAAATTTATATAAAAATTAAATTAATTATTTATTCTTTAATTTAATAAAATATAAGATTATATAAAAACTACACCTACTAGATCTTCATAAATAATAGTGTAATTTTATTGAAAAAAACATGGTAAAATGATATGTTAATATTTTTCTACCATCATATGTGATGTTGTTTCTATGAATCTTTACATACATCTGCCATTAAATTGATTAAACATGCGAATTCTTCAAGTCCCCCATACTAATTTACATATAAAATTTTTTACAATTCTACATGATAACCAAATAAGTACAAGTATCAATCACTATTTTATCATTTGTTATTATTTTTCATTGAAAGATCAGCAATACGTAATAATCAATTGATTGAAAATCTCCAAATAAGTCGTATTGATCAAATAATAATTTATAAACCCACCTTAACAACTTTGCACCCTTAAAAGCTTATCTTAATCGGTGGAAATAATTATACATATACGTCAAAGTATAAGTCATCATACGCATTGTTGCATTTACATTGCGGTGATTCAATCACTCAAATTACTATTGCAACCTAACTTGTCGGTTTTTTCTTCAAAGCAAACTGTTTACTGTACGTAACCCGTTGAGCACGCGACTTGACTGCTAAATTATAAAGTCTGCTAAATATGTCGTCTGTACTACTGATGACGCTCATATTCGTTTTCACTGTCTACTTTAGATGATAGAAGAATGACTGATTGATGTCAATCAAGCTTGAATACAATTCTAGAATACTGATGGCTTGGATAAAATAATCATAAAACTAAGTAGCGAGAATTCTGTCCTATCATTTTAAATTAAAGGAGATTATTTCATTATTTATTAATAAATATATTTAAACATTTCTTCTTTAAAACCTACCCGAAAATTTTTTATTAAAACTTATTTATTCTAATTTGAGTAACTTACTTGTTTAATTTATTAAATCAAACTGTTATGAAACTGAAACAATAATGAGGAAATAAAAAATTGATATTTTTACGTAAACAGTACAAAATAGTTGGTCTGAGAAACAGAGTGTTCACGCAATGATTTGAAACTGTCGGGCGTCCTGGAGAATCTGTAAGTGGACAGGTAGGAAGGCGTCAAGTGCGGGAGAATGATCAAGAGTCATGAGGTCGAGTGAGTTTTGGAGGGAGAGGTATGTATTGACAACTCTTGAGAGGAAAATTTTTTCCTTTTCTTTATGGATCTAGTTTTCAAATTAATATCTTTCCAGTTGCAACTACATTTTTTTAATCTACTAAGATTCTGATAACTGAGTGAACTAGTTCATTAATGAAATCACACTCGGTCATATAAAAATTTTAATAGTTATATTTAATTGTGGATAATTTATGGTTAATTTTGATAATTAAAACGCATCTGGAATTCGTATATATGGCCATTATGGTAATGTTTGATTTTATACCTTGACCTACATGGCTAAAAAATACGTCAGATAATCGGAATCTGTCATACCTATGCCCCAGGCGTGTCTAGGAATTAAATTAGATATTGGAATAAGTAAAATCAAGATGAAGATTAAGACCGTGAGTTGAGTGTCTCTTGATAATGTTGAATGTCTTTAGGGTGTTGCTACTTTATTTTTTGCGATTAAATTTCTTCGACTGATGTCCGTCGTCTGTCAATGTTTACTGTCGGTAGAAGTGATGAAAACTATTAGAAATAGTCAAGTATGTGAAACATTCTCTGGGGACACGTCACTATTTACTTTAATGCATTACTTCCACTACTTATGCCATGTCCATAGTACCCGAGTGATTGATTGATTTTTTTCTAATGAATTACCTCAAGTTTGCCAATATATTTGTAATGTCGTACAACTATCTGATACTTACCCGTAGAAAATCTCGTAACCACATTACATCTGGCTTTGGATCTCCAATAACTTCACATGAAATTATTACTGTGTCACCTTCGTAAGCTTCTGTTGATAATGGCTTCGTTATAAATACTGGTTCTTTGGAGTATCTAGACAAATTAAAAATATAATCAATAAACTAAAAAAATTTTAAATAGGGTTATTTCTCACTACTTACGGAATATTTAAAGATTCGTCTGGTAATGACTGATCAATATTTGAAATTTCTTCTTTTTCTAGAAGTACGACTTGAGTTGTCGTTTCCGCTTGACCAACTTCATTAGTAGCAGTACAGCAATATATGCCTGCATCTCTTGGAGTAATGTGAGCTAAATCAAGCTCAACTGTTCCATCATGATTCAAAGTCATCACCACATCTCTGCTAGGTCTCAAACGATGACCATCTCGATGCCTAAAAAATTCAAATTTAAATAAATATTTGAATGAAACCTCTTTTATTATTTTTTATTTACCAAGTTATTCCAACAGTTGGATATGCCTCGACTTGGGCTCTCATTCTTAATTCTCCACCTGCTTTGACACTATAAACTGCATCAAGATGAGAAAGAAATTCTGGCGCAATGTAAGCACGGATTCCTTTGTCAACAACTAGACAACAGCGACATGACACTGAACCGTAAGCATTTTTGGCACGAGCCATGTAAATACCAGAATCATTTATTGTTGATCGACTTATTTCCAGCGTATGGAAGTGAGCATCATCATTCCAAATAAAAATATTATTTTGAGGATGTAATTCTTCACGGTATTTATACCAAGTTACTTCAGGCTCTGGATATCCGGTTACTTGACATGTTAATCTTACTGGATACGTAGCTTGAACTCGTCTATCGCGAAGTCGCATCGTGAATTCAGGTGGTCTTTCTTCATTCATAATATCTGAAGATCTAATTTCAAAGTATTAGTTAATTATTTGTATATTTCTTTTTTCATGTATAAATGAATACTATCTATGATTACATTATTTTACCTTATTTTACGAAGTTTTGTATCAGCTTCAACAATTTTTGGATCGTCAACTACTTGAACTCTAGCAAATGTGGAGACTCTTCCAGCAGTATTTGTAGCTTCACATATATAACGTCCAGAATCGTTCTCAGTTAAACTTCCAATCATTAAAGAACACTTGATACCATTAAAATACGTCGTAAATCTGGAGTCTTGACCGTTTACAATTTCTGTAGTATCTCGGTACCATTTCACTTGAACTGTAGTATCGTTGTTCACCTGATGTAATTATTTTATAAATTATATTAAATATATACGATTTTAAACGCACATTACACTTTATAAAATCATATAATTAGCTAAAAAATATTTTACCTCACACTCTAAAGATAAAATTGTGCCTTGAAGAGCTTTCAATTGACCAGGAAGTATTTTAATAAACTCTGGAAATTTAACAACTTCTCTGACAGTGACAGAATTTGTCATTGTCACTGGCTCACCCCATCCGTATCGATTTCTCGGGGTTATTCTGAATTTATATTCTTCTCCGGGTCGAAGATTGAATGCATCAAAGGTGTTAACGGGAGTGACGCCAAGCTTGAAAAAAGTCACGCTTAATTTATTATAAATTTTCTGATTTAGATCAAGTTGTCGGGCAACTTTTTAATTTTAGTATAGAAAATTTATGAATATATGTGGTACTAAATTTAAATTTCAAGTCTTATTACCTCAACCCATCTTGCTCCACCATCACTACCCAATTGCCAGGCATCTACTCTGTAAGCGACAACTGGTGCGAAACCTTTCTGTTCAGGTTTTCCCCACGTCAATGCTAACCAGTTGCGTCCACCATCAGTTATAATTGGTTCACTGGAAATTGGTCCAGGAACTTCTGTATGGTAAATAATGATTATAAATTATAACAGTTATCCACTTAATATTACTCATAGTACATAAAATAATTTTTTTAATGTCTAAACAACTAATTAACTTGTAACCTTGGTATCCTACAAGATATTCTAAAAATTCTGTTATAATTAAATTTTTTTTATTTATCCATAATAAACGAAGTTTCTCCAACTCAAGTTCCACTTCATTTTCTTTCTCATGACTTATATTAACAGGATCACTCATATTTTTAACTAAGCATAAATGAAAAATTAGACTCGAGTCACAAGATCTCAAGTTGTTGACACAGACTGAGAGCTTTTCAACATTTTTTGGCGGAAAATTAGTTGATGAAAAGTAGGAGTATTCTGAAAAGTTAAGTCGAGAGCAAGAGGACAAATAAAAATAGATAGATATCTTAGAGTTATTTAATGGAGGCTCGAAATATTGGCGCGGGAGGCTGAGAAATTCGTTGTTTTAACAAAATTAGGGTAGGGCCATGCATCCAATTTTATTCTTAGTTCTATACTTCTTTAACATTTGCTTTACTGTGATTCGTTTAGAGGCACTAACATTCATTATTTTTAGAGTACAGACTGATTATGTCAGTGGCATACAGATATTCATAAGTTAAAATGTAATATGATAGAAAGTATGAATATTTAGTTGTTTGTTTTGAATGTAGGCTTACGTTTAACATAGGATTTTTCTTTATCGTGAATTGAGGCTAAGATACTGTCAGTTTCTACGGAATCCCATTCTGGAGAAGGCGTTAAAGACCTTGCTTTTTGTTTAACCTAAAAGAATAATGTTAAAATTCAAACTTTTTTTTTATTTCTTTTATTTAAAATATCCATGATCATAATAACTACCTGAATTGAGAAGAAACTTCTGTCACATCCATAACGATTTTTTAAAAGAATACAATATGTTCCTTCATCTGATGCACAGATACGTTTCAATGTTAACCTGACGTAGTCATCGTGTCCTTCTTTATAAGATTTAGGACCATTTGTTATGTCTGTCAGGCCTTTCATCCAAATCACTAAATAACGAAAAAAAAATACAAAATGATTAATAGAATTTTATTTATCATATTTAGTCGAATTAAAATTTGACAAATTATATACCTTTTGGTTTTGGTACTCCACCGGCTCTAAAAGATACACTAATATCTTCTCCAACCGCAACGATAATCACTTTATCAGGTGGTCGAGATATAAACATAGCAGGTTTACCTCCATCCCGGCTTCCTGAAATAACTTCGACATTTGCTGAGGTATCAACATATCCATAAGTATTGCTTGCACGACAAACATAAGTCCCCGTCTCTAATTCTGTAGCATCAGGAACAATCAGCGTGTAAATACCAGAATCAGCAAATGTTCTTGCTCGCGGTACAGAAATCGTTCCTTTTTTGTCTGCTCTCATCCAAGTAATTTCTGGAGGCGGTACTCCTTTGACTTCTACTTGAAGAGCAATTGTCCCACCAGCTGGAACACTATGATCTGTCAAGTGGTTAGAGAATCGAGGTCTTCCAGTATCTTTATCGGTACCTGTTACGTCGTAGTAATTACTACTACTACTACTACTATTACGCCAACTTGTACTCTTTGATCGACCTAATGTAGATAATGAATTAGCATTTATTAGTTGTTTATTGCGTTCGAAAAAATTTCCTTTTTAAATTATAAAAGTTTACAATAAAGAAAAATAGCGTTAATTTTTTTTAAATATTAAAAAATTAAATGTAAATAAATAGAATTATAAATTAATAATATTTACCTGTGGTTTTAAATTCAACCAAATGAGAAGTTCTATCACTTAATCTTGTTTCGTTCTCCGCTCTACAAGTATATAAACCACTGTCATAATGATCTGGATTGAAAATTTTTAATCTGCATATTCCATCAGATAAATCACTTTGTTGATATCGATCTCCCATTTCCAAAACTTGTCCATCCTTCAACCAAGTTATTATCGGTGATGGTTGTGCTCGAACTCTACACTCTAATACAAGTGTATTCTCTTCTTTCCGATAAGTATCTTTAATTGATCTTGTAAATGTAGGAATTGATGGTGTTGGTTCGTATCCAGAATAAACTTTTAATTTAGCTTCAGTGCTAGCTCGTCCATGACAATTTTTAGCAACACATGAATATTTTCCAGAGTCTTTAGGCTTTACACCATACAGTTCCAAGGATGCCATTCCATTTTCTAAATGAATTCCATGTTTATTACTTGATGGTGGCAAAATTTTTCCATCCTTTAACCAATCAACTTCTAATTCAGCGTCACTGAGAATAGTACACGTTAATTTAATTCTTGAATTTTCTGCTGCAGTTCTATCTGTAAGCTTGGTACAGAATGAAGGTTTCTTTCCACGATCTCTTGGTCCTGGTGTAAAAGTAGGTAATCTACTTGTTATTGAAGAATAATGACTTTTATCATCATACTCAAGTGATTCAAGATTACGATGTCTCCTTGATAAAGTTGATGCATTAGATCGACGTGATAGATCCTGAGACAAAGAATCATCATAATCAATCTCTATAGTTGGTGGTATATTTCGATTTTCATTATCCCCCAGGGAATCATCTTTAAGAGTAGATCTTGAAAAGTCTAAATCAGAATTAAATTTAAACGTGGATAATTTTTTTGATGTAATTTCTTCATCTCTATATTTCTTATCAATATTCATATCTTCTTTTAAGTCCGTAGCAATGTCTGTCCGCCGACAAATATTTCTTTCTTTATGATTTTTATTAATTTCTTCTACAATATCTTTGTCAGTCTTCTTTAAATATTCTTTAGATTTTTCTCGATAATTATTATCTTTTGTTTGAAAAACAGAACTTTTAATCTTCTCTTTAAACTTTTCTTGTTCTTCGATACTTTTAAAATTTTTTATTTCTTTTATTGTACTATCAAGTTTTGCTTTTTCTATTTGACTTTCTTCTGATTTTATTTCAAATCCTACATTATCTTTTTTGGTTATAGATTTTGTGTCAACTTTTTCTTGATTATTTATTTCCTCGATTTGATTCTCGGCTTCTTGACTTTCCTCATTAGATGATTTTCGTTTGAATGTATCTCCTTTTTGTTTTAGAGATTTTTCACCTTTTGATGATTTCCGCTTCGGTGTATCTTCATCGGGACTCAAAGGTTTCTGATTATTCTCTTGCTTTTCTTCAGTAGTCATTTCAATATTTCTATTAACTTTTTTAACATCGAATTTGTCATCATCTTTAACTACTATCTCTTCAGAAGGCAAATTTTCAACTTTTTTCGGAGCTTCTGGTTGAGCTTCTTGAATTTCGACTTGTACACTTTGTTGATTTGCTTCAACTAAATTACTCGGAATTTCAGTAACATTAGCTTGTTGCTTAGTCCATTCTTCTATAACAATATCTTTCACACTTTCTTCAAAAATATCATTCTTACAAATATCAGGATGTTGGGCAATTAAATCGTGTATTTTAGCTTCTACAGCTTTTACAAGATTTTCTTCAGTCAATAGTTGAATATTCTGTTTATGAAATTCATCAATAACCATTTCATGAACTTGTTCTTCCGGAATTTGTTCTTGAGTTGTGACAGGAACGTTAAATATATCAGTTGCCTTATTTGGTTTAGTAATTTTTTCTAAATTTTCAACTTCATAAATACGGGCTTTCTGCTCTTCCAACTGTTCTGTTACAATATCTCTAACATTTTCTTCTAGAATCTCTTCTCGTGATATCTCTGGATGTTGAGCAATGAAATCGTAGATTTTTATTTCAATAGCCTTGACTAAATTGTTTTCTTGAGATAATTCGATATTTTGTTTTTGAAGTTCGTCAATTAATAACTCATGAACAATCTCTTCAGGAATCTGAATTTGTGTTGTAGCAGGACTTCCCAACACTTTTGGCTTCTTATCGTTCTTCTGTGCTTGAAAAAGAATTTCAGTAAACTCTGATATTTTTGCTTTTTCTTCCTCTACTTGGTCAGCAACGATCTGGCGTACATTTTCTTCTTGTATTTCTATGTTAGATACTTTCGGATACCGAGCAATCATACCTTGAATTTTAACTTCAACGGCTTTGAGGAGAGTAGCTTCTTCTGATGGTTCGATATTTAATTTATTTATCTCTTCTCTCATTATGTCATGGACTATTTCTACAGGAACTTGTGCTAACATTTGTGATGGACGTCGAAGTGGCTTTTCTGTTTTTTGAATCTTCTTTTTTCCTTCATCAATTGCTTCAGACTTTTCTTCTTTTTTTATAGTTTGTTTTGTATTTTCTAAAAATTTTGTATTTTCTTCTTGAGTTTTATCAAGTTTGGATTCATCATCAGACATCACAGTTACTTTTTCTGATGTCGATAGAATTGGAGCTTTTTCTAATTCTTCTTTAGGCACCTCTCCCAGTCTCTGTTCTTTAGAAATTTGTTCTGGTTGAGTAACTGATACTTCAACTGCTTTACTATCTTTAATCAAGTTCAATTCTTGTTCGATTTTTTTGTTAGCTGATTCGATTTTATCTTTAAACGTTTTTATAGATTTCTGTTCTTCGGTGATAGAAGAAACTTGTAAAATTTTTATTTCACTTGCTTGTGCTTCTGCTTTACAAAAATCTTCTACTTGAGACACTTGAATTTCTTGTTCTTTAATTATTTCAGCTACAATTACATCAACTTTTTCATCTAACATATCAGCAGTAAATACCTCTGGATGTTGAATATTTAATTCTTGAGGTGTATTTTCAACTTTTTTAATTATTTTATCTTGTTTTGATAGTTCAACATTTTCTTTGTCAATTATTTTCACTCTTTTTTCATTACTAATTTTTTCGGAAATTAGAACTTTTTCTGATTGAAGCTTATGGATTTCAGCTTGAACTTCTTGCTTTACAGCTTTTACTAGACTTTCAACATCTAATTTATTTATTTTTTTATCTTCAAGTGTGTGTGAAACAATCTTTTGGACATTTCCTTCCATTTTTGCTGTTTTATCTTCGTCAGGATGCATTAAAATTAAATTTTGCACGCGCTGTTCAATAATATTTAGAAGATCTTTATGCTTCGAAGGCTCTACATATTCTTTTTCAAGTTCTTCTATAATCATATCATGAACTGTTTCTTCAAGTACCATACTTTCTTTCTCTATTGGAGATATTAATTCTTTTACTAATTTTTCTTCTTTCTTGATTATGTCTAAATTTTCTGCTTCAACTATGTCTACCTTTTTCTTTTCCATTTCTGTTTCAACAATATTCTGAACATTTTCTTCAAGGAGATGCTCTTCAATAATTTCAGGATGATTAATAATATTTTGTTGAATTTTATCTGCCACATTATTTACAAAATCTACATCTACCATCATTTGAACATTTTTTTTTTCGATTTCATTTATTACTAACATCTTAATTTCATCTTTAGAAAATTCGCTTTGTCTTGATTCTTGAGTTTTTATAATTATTTTATCTGATTCTCGTTTGTCAGTTTCAATGTCAGTGATAATAATTTCATTAGGTTCTATAAGATGATCTGTATCAGATATTTTTAATTCAGATAATGTTATAACATGTAAACTTTCAGATATTTCTAAAAGATTCTCCGTTTTCATTTGGATCGTTCCTTCAATAGTATCAGAATACGCTAAAATCTTGTTTTCTTTTGTAAGTTTTTCACTTTTATTTTCCCCTTCCTTGATGAGTCTAATATGTTCTTCAAGTTTTATTGGAGAAAAATCTGAGACTTCTTCAATAATCTCTGATTCTATTTTTTCTTTGGCAACTTCTGATTGTTTAGCTACGTTTAATTCTTGAGATTTATTTATTTCTGCTGTATATTTTTCTACCTCTTCAATTATTATTTGTTGAAGTAATACTTCACTCATATTTTCTTCAAATATTTTAGCATAAGAATTTATTATGTTTTGAATTTTGTCTTCAAAAGTTTCTTTTTCTTGAGTTGTTGGATGAATATTTTGTTTTTCAAGTTCCTTAGATAGAATATTTTTTACTGTTTCTTCAAATTTTTGTTGCAAAGCAGATGATATAGTAGCTATTGCTTTACTCGATTCATCTTGCAATGTATGAATAGATATTCCTGGTTTACTTTGAACATCTTTATTTTTCTCTAATGAAATCAACTCATCAGTAATTATATCTCGGACTTTATCTTCAAGAATGTTTACTTTTTGTATTTTGGGACAATTTAAAATGATTTCTTGAATTCTCATTTTTACTGTTTCTAATAAGTTATCTTCTCCTTCTACGATTTCAATATTGTGTTTTTTGATTTGTTCTATAATTAAATTATCTATTTTTCCTTCGGTAATATAAAAAACTACTTCTGATGCTATTTGATGCTGCCTTTCTATTTTATCTGTTACCATTTCTTGAATATTATCTTCTGAAATAATTTCTTGTGAAGTTTGCGAAAATGAAAGAATATCATCAACTTTAATCTCTACGGGTTGTATCAAACCTTCTTGATTAATAATTTGAATATTCTGGTTATAAATTTCGTCAGAAATAATTTCATTTATTTTTTCATCAAAAATAATTTGCGAAATAACCTCTGGAACTTGTTTAATATTCTCTTCTTTTATAGTGATTCCGTCCCCTGTAGCAATATCATTAACTTGAATTAGACCCTTAACCTTTAGCAATTCTTCCACAACAATATCACGAACACTCTCTTCAAATGTATGCTCTTGACAAATCTGCGGACACTTTATCATCATCTCTCTGACAGCTGAGTCAATATCGTCTATAAGACTTTTACTTTTAAAAGATAACGCATTTTGACGATCTAATTCACTTATTACAATTTCTTCGATTTGGTTTAAAAAGTTTTCATTATTTATATCTGCATTCAACGGAACTTTTTCGATTGACTTTTCTGTAGTTTCCTTCAATTGTTCTATTCCTTTAACACTTGCTTGTTGTAATAATGATCCTGTTTTTGTATCTTTAATGTTTTCTTCAACAATTATTTCTTGAATTTCATGTATTTCAGATAAAATCAAATTGTCATGTTCTTCCATTATTTGTTGGCTTTCAGCTGACACAGTCGGCATAAGCAAAGTATGGAGATCATGTTGGTCTATTAATAGAGAAAAATTGTTTTCTTGTAGTTGAATATGTTGCTCTTGAGTATCAGAAATTAGTTCTTCGAACATAAATTCATTAATATTTGGAGAATTTTGTGAAAGTGATACTCTTGGTTGTTCTTTAGCTGCTACTAAAATTTCTTGAGTAGTCATAGTCGTAACCTCTTGTTCAACAATCTTATCAGAATATTTTTCTTGTAATTCAGATATTCTTAATTCTGCACTATCATCAACTATCATTTCAGCTAATTTTTCTTCTCTTTTTTCGATAATTTCTTCTTGGGAACTTGACAGAGTTTGTTTAATTTGCTCAACTTCAAGAGATGTAGACGTACTTTTTACATTTTCCGGATCAACAATTGCTTCAATTAGCTCTTCAAGTGGACGTGCTGTCGCTTGTTCAATATGTTTAACATCTTCAGTTGAAGTATGATCTTCTATTAGTGTCAAATCATCAGTGTCATCATCTTTTTTGTCTTCAATTGTTTCTAATAAATTATTGATAATTTCTTTAATTCCTTCTAATGGCACAAGGACTGCAGAAATAGTTTCTACTAATGAAGCTTCTGATTTTTGGACTTGAATTGTCTGTTCAGGAGCTTCGGTAATTAATTTAAATCTCAAAGAGTCCAATCGTTGTTGTAAGTCAGACGAAGATTCAACTAGATCATGTAAAAATTTTAAAACTGTTTCTTTAGCAGGAGTTTTATACCAAATACCAATAGCACTTTTAAGAGCTATTTCCACTTGTTTCATTGGAGATAAAAATCCTTCAATTATCGTTTCAATATCATTTTCTAACGATTGACCGGCTGGCCGATTTATTTGAGATTCTACTAATTCAATTTGTTTATGTAAAGAATCCAAAGGCCGACAAAGTACCGAATGTACTTCTTCATCTATTGATCTATCTAGAGATAATGTTGTAGAAGCTAATCGATCGAGAGGATTTATGAGAGTAAGTGACCAATGATCTAATTCTTCTATGCGAGCTTTCGCTAATGCTATTTGAACTTCTTGTTGTTTTATAAGCTCAATGTCATTAATATCTGCCGCATCTTCCTCTAGATTACTTTGACATATACTCTCTTCTATTTCACTTACTTGTTGATCTGTATTTGAAGATTTCATACCATTATAAGATTCTTCACGTTCAACAATTTTAGATTCAAGTTCTATCATTTTTTCCATGGGTTTAATTTTATCCTCAAAGTTTATTTTTGCCTCTGATACCATTTTTTTACAATCATCTGCTGATGATGTAGATTTTTCTTGCTCTGAATCTTCAGAGATTAAAGCAGCAACAGTTTTCTGTAAATCTTTTTCATAAGAAGCCATTTGTATTGACAATAAAATTTGATTCTCTAACTGTTCTAACGCTTTAAGAACCGGCTGAAGAATACTGTTTGCTTGATAAACTGAAGATACATCTAAAACTGTACCTAATAAATGTTTTATAGGTTGAATCAAATGTTCCATTACTTTTATATCAATCGGGTTATGTTCACTCATAATAACTTCGCAAACCTTTAATAAAGGTTCTTTTAATCTAGCAAGCTCTTCAATCAAAGCAACATCACTTGGAGGCTCTGAATAAGACGATTGAATTGCAATTTTCAATACTTGTCTTTTGAGATCATTTACAGCAGAATTTATTGCAGAACAAACTTTTTTTTTCTCGTCAGTGTCTTCTGGTGATGATGATAACCAACTTTCTACTGGATCTAACCATTTTGTCACAACTTTTGGAACTTCTCCAGGTGCAGAATTACTAATTGATGAATCCTCAGTGTCTATTTTTCCTATGAGGGCTTTCTTTAGAGCTTCCATGGCTACTAAGGCGACATCTTTTTCCACATCTTCAAGTAATTGAATAATTTTTGCAGATTGACCCTTCGTCATTTCTACTACAGATTTTTTCAAAGCTCGAAGGGGAATAGCAATGTCATTTAAAATGTACCTTTCTTTAGGATTATGTTTTTCAGTTAATAAAATTTTTTGTAAATTCAAAAGAGGCTCTTCAAGCTTAGTAAGTTCTTCTAAAACTACATTATAATCGTACTCTAAATTGTCGTTTTGAAGAATTATCGGAGAGGCAATAGCAACTGCTACGTCTCCAATAGACTGTCGCAAAATGTTAATAGATGAAATAAGTTTATAAGCTGGGCTAGAAGTACTTAATGGACTTTCAGATTTAATAATTTCTGCAACATTATAAGAATATTCGTTGGCTTTTTCTAAAGCTGAAGACATGGCAAAATGAATACTACTGAGAGTCAAAGACATTTGGTCTAATTCTTCTGGAGGTTTAACAGTTGCCTTTTGTTTAGCAGATTTTTCTGATAGTTCAGGAAAAACTGTTTCTTGAATTTTATACAGTTGCTCTAAATTATCATCCGTAATTTTTGACATTTCATCTAAAATTACTTTAGATGACTCTGAAATTGAAGAAGATTTAGCTACAGTTACAAAAATTTTATTTAGCTCATTTAAAGGTTTAATAATCTCTTCAATTAAAATATATTCTTCGATCGACGGACTTGATGTAATAGCCACTTGTAGATCTAACAAAGGCTCTCTGAGATTTATTATATGATTCAATATATCTTCAATATTTAATGTTGTAGCAACGTGTGCTACTGATGATACACATTCACGAAGCTCTGTTATGACAACAGTTAATTCTGTCAGAGGAAGAGAAAATTGGTCAGGAGGCATTTGAGATTCATAATGTCTTAGAGCAGCGTTTAGTTTCGCTTGAACATCAATTAGAGGATCTAATAGCATCTCAGGAAGAGGTAAATTTTCATCGAGTTCAGGTGATATTGAGTCCAAAGATGTCATTTTACTAACATATGTTTCTCGTCTTGATTGTAATTTTTTAGAATCAATTGTTTCAGACTCTGGCTCTACTTCTTCACTTTGTGAAATTTTCACTTTATTTAAAACTCTAACTTCTCGTGATTGTTGCATTTTTTTTAATTTATCTGTACTGTCATCCATTGTCCATTTTAAATAATTCACTAACTCTAAATTTTTTCCAGCTATTCCCATTTTCTCATTTTCTTTTTCATAAGATTCCAGTGCTATAGTTAAAGTCTCTAATTTATTTTTTAATTCAACTATTGAATTTTCGAGTTCATAAATTGCTCGTCCATCAATTGTATCTGCTTCAAATTGAGAAAACTTATCTAAAGAATGGAGTAAATTTTCTACAGGTCTTACTAAACTTTCAATAAGTAACGTATCAGAACTATTTTCCAGAGCTCCAGTTATTTTATTTAATGGCAATGATAAAATATACGAATCTAAATTCTGGTAAACACATTGAAGTCTTTCCCCTAAGCAAAGAACTTCTTCAGATCCACTTGCTTTAAGATGTTTCTGTAAAATTGTGTTAAGAGTTTTTCCAAATTGACTTATAGCTCTAGTCATTTTTTCTAGAATGATTGGATTTTTTGGTCGTATTGATAACTCACGTTCTTCTTTACTTCTTAAACCATATTCGATTTTTGCTAAGCTTGCTAAAATATCATCAACAGGATCCGTTAATGATTCTAAAACAATTAAATCTGATGTGAAATCTTCATGAGCTCCGCTCTTATGACTTTTTATTAATTCTATACCTCGAAGAAGTTCTTCAGTTGGTCCACCAATTGAATCTAATAATAATATTCTTATTTCCTGAATTAATGATTTTTTACCAGCAGATTTGATTGCATCATTTTCTATAACTGACATTTGCTCGCAAATATTTTCAATAGGACGTACTATTTTACTTATAATCAGTTCATGTAACGTTATTTCATCAAATTCAGTCCTATAATTTTCTAAAACATTATCTAAATCAATAAGAGTTTCTCTAAGTATGAATACAGGAGTAGAAAGAGTCTTCAAGTTTTCGAGTAGTTTCATTTTTTGGTTTAATTTTTCAGAAGTCTCCGGAGCAGTTGAAAAAACTGATGACGTTATTGATGATAGCTTTTCTCCATCAATTTCATACTCTTCTTTCATGTATTGTTTTTGAAAATCACTTTCAATCATCGATTGACTTTCCTGCCGTTTTTCATCAATGACTATAATGTCTTTTCTATCTTCTATAATTATTTTTTCTTCACTTTTCCGTCTTTTGACCTTTTCCTTTGGCTCATTTTCATCAGCATTCATAGTATACGATTCTTCAGAGCTTGTTTTAGATAATTTTGCAATCTCACCTTTAGATGATTTTTTTTTTTCTTTTTCGCTTTATTGAAACTGGCTCTTCTAGTGATTCCATTAGTGTAATTTCACCGAATTCCTTATTTGAATCTGCAAGTTGGTGAGTAGCTACAGCAATTTCATCGCTAACTCTATTTGACAATTCTTCAACATTTTCTTCAGCATGAAGATTCCTTATAATTTCTTTTTTAAGATTTCTGGAAAACACCTTAGCCAATTCATCCGATGACAAAGCATCTGCGAATGCATCAACACTATCTTGACTTTGAACTGATAATTGAGCCTGAAATGAAGGTTCTTTTGCACTGTGATAACTCTCAGACCAGTCCATAATCTTAGGCTGGTTTGTTTCACTTTTATTACACATATCACTATTCGAAGAATCACTTCCTGATCGTTTTTTTTTTTTTGTTCGTGATCTCGGTGCTGGTGAACTAACTGGAGTACAATCTACAGATCCTTCTCTACCAACTGAAGATAAAATACTTTGCATTTGATCGTCCAATATGGAAACATCTTCGAAATCGGCCTCCGTACGGAGATCATCAGCTTCCTCATCAGCAGCAAAGTAATCCGGAGATACATCTATGACTACAGCTTCCATCAAAAGATTTCCAGTGGTTGATGTTTCTTTTGTAAATCGCATTGGAGGTAATTCAATAATGTTCCCTTCAGTTATATGCTCAGATAATTGATCCGCATACATTTCAACAATTTGAATAGCTTCTTCTTCTGTTAAATCCGGAGTTTCATAAAGGCTAACTGATACTTCTTTGCCATCGAAACTAAATGATACTTCACCTTTATCATCCATAGTCATTGAATAATCAGTTTGTGGTGTATCATATAATTGAGACGTTCTTTCTTCATGAATTGTTGATAGAGAGAGATTTCTTGCAAGATCATGTAAAACTGGAGAACTAGATGTTTTCGTTTCTTCTTGTCTCATAGCTACTTTATCTTCAAAGCCTAGAAGAGAAGCTGAACTACTCACAGAGCCCATACAATTCGTTGCTTTGCATGTATATGTTCCTAAACAACATGTTCCATCTTGTCCCGATGTGATTCTATGAATGTCTCCAGGTTTTAATTCTGCATCATCTTTGTACCAAGTTAAAACAGGTTGTGGAACTCCGATTACTTTACACTCCAGATTAACAGCACCTTCTTCAGTTAAAATTGCTCGAAGGCTCTCTAAGAATTTAGGTTTCTTGAAATGCTTTGGAATGATAAGTTTTAAAAAACACGAAGTTACGCTGTGACCAAAATCATTCTCAGCAACGCATTTCCACTCAGCTTGATCAATGAATTCCAATGTTCGAATCTCTAGGTGATAATTACCAAGTACTTCACGAGTTATTCTGTATTTATCGTTATCTATTATTGGCTCATCGTCACGATACCACGAAAGAGTGGGTTCTGGTGCTACAGTGACTGTAATATAATTTTATGATCATTATATTTTTGTTTTATATTTAGAAAACGTATAAATATTCTATCTAAAACAGTTATTCAAATAGTATACCTTGAATAGTAAAAGTAAATTCATCTTGAATCCTTGCTTCACAACTTCTTAAACCTTTTATAAATTTAGGAACTTGATTATAACTCAAAAGTTGCATTCGTTCTTCTTCTTTTAATTGATTTTGAATATCTTCTACTGTAAGCTCTGCTGTACTTCTTGCTTCACCCATACAATTTCGTGCAATACAGCAATAAGATCCTAATGAATTGGTTCCAGTAAGTTGATAAACATCTCCAGGTTTCAATTCTTGGCCATCCTTGAACCATCTCAAAAGAGGAATGGGAAAACCAACAACTTTACATTCGAATGAAACTAATCCTTCTTCAGTTAAAACAGCTTTGAGACTTTCCATGAATCTAGGTGCTCGATAATTTCTTGGAACTAGATTTAATTAAAATTAAATGATTGATAACAAAGTATATTATTATACTAATTGACATTTACTTACTCGACATAGTAACGTAACAAGTTGAAAATTGTTTCATATTTTCATTACTTGTTGCAACACATTTCCACTCTCCTTCATCCATAGCTTCTACCCCTCTTATCTCAATAGAAAAAGTTCCTAGCCCATCTTCTATAACATGATATTTATCATCAGGTTCAATTTTTCCGTCTTTATTATACCAAGTAATAATTTTTGGCCAAGGTGGGACTTGTATTTGGCAAGATAAAGTAATTGTATCTCCAATTTTACAAGATTCATCTTTTAAAATTTTTTTAAATACTGGAAGAGGTCCTGATAGTTTTAAAGTATCAGCTGGTTTTAATGAACCTTCTCTACTGCCTTTGCCTACTACATGAACCTAAAGACAATAAAGAAAAAATATGTGAACAAAATTTGTTGTAAGAAATAATTTTTTGTAACTAATTTTTTCAAACCTTCGATGAAGAAAATGCAGTGCCTAAACAATTAGTTGCTTGACAAGTGTATATTCCTAATGAAGTAGGATCATCAGCATTTGCAGTTAATGCAAAAACATTACCAGCTTTAATCTCTTGATCATCTTTAAACCATCTTAGTACTGGAGTAGGAACTCCAATAACTTTACACTCTAGAGAAACGATTCCACCTTCACTGAGAAGTGCTTGAAGATTTTCTACAAATTCAGGTGGTTTATAAGCTTTTGGAACAATAACACTTAAACAGGATGTGCATGATGATCTTCCATGAATATTTTCAACCATACAAGTCCAATGTCCTTGATCTTCTACCATAACAGGAGCTACATCTACACAATAAAAATTTCCTTCATGTACGAAAGAAAATCTCGATCCTTCCTGCACAGGGTGATCATTTCGATGCCATGTGACCTGAGGGAAATTAAAATAAAATTTTAGGAGAACACGCAAAATTTTCAGGCTTGCAAAGAATAAATAGGCATATTTTCAACTATACTGTGCCAAAATTAAACACAATGATTACATTATGAGTCATCACACGTTTTCCTGATTGGTAGAAGACCAATCAAGCACAATGCGGAAGACTCGGGAGTTCATGCACCCCGTAAATGTACGAACGAACCGATTTATCTCATACAATGGAATTTGCCCCAGACGTGTAGACTTGCCTGGTTAACTTTTATATACAGATTTGTCTCAGACAATCTATATCTACTGCTATACTTATACATATATGACTCTATGGTGCACAACGGATGCTGACTAATTTATGCATATCAGTATCTCTTCAAGTTTTATGTTCCGGGTCTTGCTGTCTATTATATTCATTTCTCATTCATTTTTAATTAGATTTTTCATTTTTTTTTCTAAGCATTGGCAAAACATGGATAAATTTTAATTTACCTTGAGATTCGAAGAACTGCGGATTTCAACAAGGAAGCGAGTTCTTGTTCCTACTTTGACAGCTAAGTCAGTAAGCCTGCGTACAAAAATTGGAGGTTCACCCTCTGCAGGGTCGTTAGAGGCTTCTTGGACGTTCATTCGTATTCTTCTTCGTGGTCCTTCTTGAGTTCCGTTGTCAGCGAATGGTATTTTGGATAGTTTTTTAGCTACTAGTGAATAATGTCCTGTATCATCTTTTTGTGATTTTTTCAGTGTTAACTGAACAATATTTCCACATGTTTGGACACTGTACCGATCGGATGATATTAGCTGATCTCCACGAAATCTATAAGTGAATAATTGTTCAATTAAAATACAGTTTGTTTAAATGTTTTTCTTTATTCAACGATAAAAGAAAAAAGAGAAAGAAGATTTAAAGAAGAGATAATAATAAAATAATAGTTTATTTAAAAGAAGTTATTGATCATTGAAGTTAAAGTGAATAAAAGGCGCTTCAAAACACCCGATTGCGCCATCGCAAGCAAACATTAGTCCACCCTTTACTCTTTTTGCCCCTATCTGTGATATTTCTAGCCAAATGATGATCTAGCTGCTTGGTGATCTGTCGTCCGAAGAGATTTGCCTGCCGGTAAAGAAACTCATCCAGACATCTACACCAACGCTTCTATAACTTAAGCAATGTGTCATTGTCTACCCTTGAATGAAGCTAACTCTCTCTCTCTCTCTCTCTCTCTCTCTCTCTTTCTCTCTCTCTGTTTCAACAGGAGAAGAATAGTTTTCTTCATTGGTTGCCAAGAAATAGTAATTTCTAATAAAAGTCTACTAAATCTTTTAAGATATAATTTTTTTTTATAAAAATAAAACAACTCGTCTACAACTTTACAAGTATAATTAAATATTTATGGATAAAATTAAAATTTTAAAAATACAGGTGACTTAAGACCACTAGATGGATGTATAAATTTATAAACATGTTAAGTATTGATGTAGAAAATTGGCAGTAATTAGACCAAGTAATTACCAGATTTTTTGAGTAAAAATTGATCTAAAAAGGAAGAAAAGGGATCAATATTAAATAAATAAGGTAGGATAAAAATATGAATAAAAAATACATCGTACCGAATTTTTGCGGGGTCAGAGTAACTTCCTGTCACCTTTTGATTTTTATTATTTTCTTTTGCACACTTGCAACACTGACTTCCCATATCAAATTAATTATTATGATATATAATTCCAGAACAATCATTCGATAAAAACTATTCAATTTAACCGGGTTTATCATCTGCACTATTCATTTCTCCACAACATTCGTCATTATATTTTTCTCATTTTGTTTTTGATGAAGTGTACATTGGCTCGTTAAATTAATAAACTGAATGATTAAATATTGACGAGTATATTCAATTAAATTACATAGGAACGTTGTTTAGGGATGGCAGGTTTCACCGCCCCCACGCGACTGTCAGTCAATTCGTTCCTCACACCAGCATAGTAAAGGCTATATCCACACATTAAAATGAGAACAAGACCGCCCAGTTGGTCGACATAACTGAGATGTCAAGGCAAAGACAACAAAATAAGTTAATATACCATCTCAAATGATTATTACTGAAGGAAGAAAAAAGTAAAATTGAGTGATAAAAATAATAATGAAAAAGGAGAAAAATATAAAAAAATAAATATATAAAAATGATATTGATGAGAACTAGAGACCTGGCTCGGTCACAACTGAGAATTCCTAGATCATCTCCAAGAACATCTATCCCGGGTGTTCTCCTTCTCGACCGCCAAAGTAGAGGGGCAGGTCTTCGGCCCGCTTGAATCACGAAGATCTAAGATTCAACTCAAAGTCGAATTTAGACGCGGCGACACCAGCTTAGAGACGTCACAAGTCACCTCCCTTTCGTAATCATCTTCTCTCTTTATTCACTTGTTCGTTTCTTCTATTTCTTCATTGGCATTTCACGATTCGTGTCGTAGATCAAGTTGCAAGTGGCAGGAATGCATCAAGTCGTTAATAAATCTTACATAGGTTAGTAAACTTTATGAAAGAAATGGATGTTTTTGTTGTTACTTACAGGAGAAAGCACTGACGATCATGAGTTTCTTCTGGTTTTAATTTTAATTCAATAAGAAGATCTTCTCCAACAAGGACAGTAGCTACAAGTTCCTCGTCCTCCCATTTTTCTCCATTTTCTGATTTCTCCCCTTCTACAGACAATAGAAGTAATTTTTCTAAATGAATATGTTAAATGTATATTTATGATTGAAATTAGGGTTGATAGATAGCACAAAATTTTTCTTAGCATGTCCTCGGTTAGCTCGTCGTCAAGTTCGACTCGCCGGCTTTCTAAATATATCATTTAAATGACCCACAGCTACACGTACTTGTTCATTAACAGCTAGAAAGAGAACATGTATCCAGGTATTCTGAAGGTTTTAATATCTCACCCTTGTGACAAAAATGATATTTATACCAACGCAAAGTAGGCAAAATATTTGAATGTGTATGTTATACATGTTTGTTAAAATTGCCGGGAAGAATATGTGGCGGGCTCGTGAGCATTTGGCACCAATTGCCGGGAACGTGAGTAATCCCATACCCAAATTGGCAGAGAAAACGTATTATTTAAGACTATTTAACCAACATAAATAAATTACTTGAAAGTTACTTTAGGAATAAGCTCATATTTTTTGACTTTAGCTCGATGAAACTATTTTTTAACCTAAAAATATCTAAGAATATTTTATTATAGACGAAAAATGTCAAAGGTATTGGAATCTATTAATATGTAAAGCTGGACAAGATGGCGAATAAGTTCTTTGCAATGAAAAAAGTCTAGAAAAAGAGACTGCATAAACAGGTGGTTGTTTTACCTGCTAAAGTCATGCCGTTTCAAATGGTATGTTGATCGTTTTCTTCAGCATCCCAGTCCTTTTTATTTATTTATACTTCAAATCTCCTTCTCAATTTCACTCACTTTGGCTTTGGTCTCTTTTCACTAGTATTCTCCTTTTAAAATTCAATTAGTAGATATGTTTTGGTTCAATCAAGCGTTCCAAACGTTTGAATGTTGATTACTGTATGGTGATGACTGTGTGACACGTCTCACACCTTCGTATCTCTACGAGCAGAAGCTCGAAACCCCGACGGTGTTGTTAATAAGACGGCCCGTTCTCACCGTAGAGGCCGTCTCTTTGGTCTAAAACCGTCTCCCGCACCGACACGACGTCTGCTATCCTATTCGTTGTTGTTTTTTACGTCGACGTTGAAAATTTCAAGTCTTATTTTACGCATGCGTTTACAATTACCGCTGATGTAATTCATGTGTGAGTGTACTTAGAAAAATTGAAAAAATAAAAATTGCGAATTTGAGTCATGATAATATTATGATTTTATTTGTATTATTTACATTATTTTGATCAACCGATCAACTTTTTACTTTTAATAGCATCACAAAAGAAAGTTATTCTATCAATATTTTTCTTCTATTATTAAAATTTTATTCAGATATAACATTTTTATTAAATCCATAATAACAATAATAACTATTATAACAGTAATAATTTTTAAGCATGTAAGGTAATGACACAGTCATTTATTCATAATTCTTTGGTTTAATCACTTTAACCAGTTAATTCAGTTCAGTAGAATAAAAATAATAATAAGTCTTGTAAAACATTTGAAATTTATTTTAAAAATATTCATCGGATTTTTGTAACGATTTTAACCTTTTTTAGGCTGTGATCTCCACCAATTAGGTATCCATCCATCGATGTCTTTTTGGATTCTTCGATAAAGAAGAAGACAAATTAATGGAATAGCTAATATCTCTTTTTTAAAAAGGTAAACATACATTGCAGCAACAAGAATAATTAAATCTACGGTGTAACTCATTGTTGACCTAACCTTAACTTTGGCTTCAGCAATTAATTGTTCATTTATTCCAGTAGATCCTTCTGATCCATTTCTACCTTCTACTCTATCAAAAGTTTTTGATGAACTTCTTCGAGATCTTTCTGACCGTTGGTAATTATTTTCTTTTCGTCGAGTTAACCTCTGAGAAGTTTCCGAGTCACTTGGACTCATGTCAAAAGATCTAAATCTTTCTTTGGAGTTTGCTCTGAAAGACCTACCCTGACGAGAAATATCTTTCCTTTGTCGGGATGATGAACGTGATGGTGGAGATTCTCTGTCTCTAGATATTTCTCGTCGTCTTATTCTAGAAGGGGGTCTCGATCCTTCTCGATCATGAGATGGTTCCCTTGGACTCGTTTTTGGTGATGATCGTATTTTCCTCTCAACCGAGGTATTGCGAGATCTTGGAGAAGGTAATTCATTTCTTGAATTTTGTCTACTTGGTCGAATAATTGTCATGTTTGATGGAGTTGTAGCTCTAGAGCTGGTACTCGATTTTTCAAAATTTGATTCTATATTTTTTTTTGCTAAAGAAATTTCTTCCGTATGTTTTGGTTGGGTTATAGAAATCTCAGGGTCTTTTTGATTTAAATTCATTTTATATTGAGTTTGGACAGTACTTGGTCTGAATCGAGGAGGAAAAGCCATGTGACTTGTAGCATATTCTTTTACAATTTCTGTATAATGATCAACAACAGCCATTCTACCTTCTAAATCGTCTTTTTCTTCGACGGAAGATTTTTTTTCTAGCTCAGGTTTTAAACTTGGTCTTCTCCTACTTTTAGCGACTTCTGCTGCATTCACTAAACTTGCATTGTCATTACCAATCTCTGAAATAATAAGTTTCGTAACATCAGGTGATTCAGTTAATGATTTTTTTCTTAAAGTAACAGAGGGTTCAAATGAAGTAATTTTCTCATTTTTTAATGTATTTGTATTTGTTTGCCTTTCTAAAATAGGTTGTTCTGGAGGAATAGGTCGTCCAAAGTGGTTAAGAGCAATTGGTTCATCTTCAGTACGTTTCTTTAAAATTGATTTAGGTTGTATGTTATTACCTGGTAAAGGTGAAAGTCTATTTTGGCTTGAATTTTCTATAGATATATTATAATCGGGTTCAGGGCTAGGAGTATAGGCAATGGGTCGTCCTCGAGGATGATAAGTATCTTCTTCATCTAAAGTAGATTGTGCTAATAATCTGGACTTCAATGTTTTCAAGTCTTCACTATCAGTTCCTTCTGATTCTAATTCTTCATCAGTCGATTCTTCATAGTCAACAGCTATAACTAATTCTTCTATCTCTCTATCCGGAGTTTTTACATCTCGGTAATATTCGCTTCGAGATTGTTCTTCAAGGGTGATTTCAGGTACTAAAGGCATATTTTTATTATCCCACCGATGTAAGCCTAATGATGAAGGAATTGTTGAAAAATTTTCCATAGGAAAATTGTCTTTGGGATTATTAAAATTTTTGTGTAAATTTGGATCCGATGCTACCAGTTGAGGTACTAGAGGTATCAAATCTGTAATTGTATCTTGAGGAGGTTGCGGAGACGCTTGACTTTCACTTGATCTTCTACGATTCCATTTAGTTTTAACTCCAGATGTCGGAGATCCCGAAGAAAGTCTTCTTTTCAATCTTGTGTTTCGTAATTTACCCGATAAAAAGTCGAGACCATCTTTTTGATTATTAGGTGCACTTGAATCATTCTTCTTTGCTGCTTCTGCTTTTTCTACAGCAACTGCTCTGTAAAAACGTTCCATGGCTCGCTCATGAAGAAGTTCTGTTGAACTCACTGCTTGCCTTAAAATTTCTACGACTTGATGATCAGCATTAAATAATTCGGGTAATGATAGGGACATGGGAGGAGGTACTAAGTCTTCATCATCTTCTGCATCACCATCAGAAGCTGATCGCATTAACGGATGTTTTTTACCATCTTCCTTATCTGGATACAGTACTAACATAAACTCAGAACTACCTCGAAAGTCATCATCACCTATACTTTGTTCTCTTGGCAATGATAATCTTGTACGTCTTGGATCATAGACGTTCGATTGTTGAACTTGAATAATTGGTGATGGCATTGGTGATGGTGATTTTTCTTTAATAGATCGTTGTGAACCTCCTGTGTCATTAAAATATGGTTGTCTAATAATTGTTGTAATACTCGAGGTTTTTTCCTCAACATTTTCTTTCTTAATGTCTTCATCTTTAATTATGTTTTGATGTTTATCTCTCTTAGTCTTTGGTCGTGCTGGTGGAACAGGAGCAATATCTTCTAATGGTTTTTCAACATGTAAAAAGACTGTATCAGCGAATGTAACTCTACTATCAGTTCTCGGAGGTTTTGATGGTGCTTGAGGAGTTAATTTATGAACAGAAACCGACCTTGAAGGTGGAGTTATAAAATCATCCCGATTATTATTGCGTGTCCCTTCTTCTCTTGTCAAACTTCGTGTTCTTTTAGAACTCTGAGGTTGTTCACGTTTTTCACTTCTGCCTCTGTGAATCTCTCTTTGGCTTTGAGATTTATCTGGTTTTAATGGTGGTGAATGAATTCTAAAATTTAAAAAAAAATTTAATTTATAATTTTATTACTTGTTCAATAAAATTATAAGATAAAAAAAAATAGAAGATTCACCCTCTTTTAGGATCTGGAATGAAAATGACATCACTTTCGTCACTCGGATCGCTGACGCCATAGGGATTCTCAGCTTTCACTCGAAATTTATATTCCGATCCTTCTATCAATTCGCCCAAAGTTGTCGTAGGTTGTCTGCAAGTTGCTGCTTTTAACCAGACATCCCATCCAATCTAAATAAAAGAATTATACGTAGTGGATGAATAGAAGTTTTACAGTTTCTACTTCAAATTATTCTTTAAAAATATCAACAAAGATTAAGTCGTTAAATCTTTACACACTCACTCTATAGTATTCTACTATATAGGTCCCTATTTTACATCCTCCGTCATCATCAGGTTCTTTCCAAGATAATGTAACAGATCTTCCTAATGTCATAGCAATTGTAGCTTTTTCTGGAGCTGCTGGTCGATCTAGATAATTTAAAATAATACATTATTACAGGTATAAATTTTTTAAATAAAACATCATTATAACATGAAGTAGACTATAGTAAAATTAACCTGTAACGGTGACGAGAAACGATGCAATGTCTTCACCGAGTTTATTTACAGCTCTTACAGTATATTCCCCTCGATCTTGTCTTCTTGCGGCCGGAATCTTCATAGAACATTCACCACTGTCTAAAGCTTCAATTACATGTCTTTCATCAGAGTTTATGACCTCTCCATCGTGAAACCAAGCAACTGTTGGCAGTGGTTTTCCAGCTACTGAAACTTTCAATCTAATTGTCTCATCTTGCTCGAATAATAATCCATCTTCATACTGTCGAGGAAGACGTATTCTTGGATAGGCTGATAGAAATTTAATTCAAATTTAAATTGATAGCTTACTAGTAAAAATAAAAAATTTTTGTGTACATTAATTTTATAATATAGAATGAATTTACAATTCTTTTACCTTCTAAAACAAGCTTAGCCCGTGTGCTAACATGTCCAGCTCGATTTGTGGCTGTACATTTAATTTCTCCCTCATCATTCAAAGCAGTTTGATGAATTAAAAGTATGCTTTTTCCATTTTCAGTGACTATCCTCGTTCTTCGACTACTAAAAATCTCAAAACCATCTTTGAACCATGAAATCTTTGGTACTGGTGTTCCCGAAAATTTAATAATAAACTCTGCCTGCATTATTCATAAAAAAAAATTGATTGAGTACATTTGATAAGTGTATAATAACAGATGTTTATCGAATGAAATATTAAATAATTACTTGTTCATTTTCAAGAGCTATTGTGTCTTTTAATTCCAATTCAAATTTTGGTGCAGTTGCTGCTGATCTCTGGAGAGTGACTGTTAAAGGATCTGATAATTCACTAGCTCGTGAAAATCCTATGCTATTTTGTGCTCGAACACGAAATTGATATCTCCATCCAGGTTCTAATCCACTCAAAGTCAACTCAGGAAAAGGACAGAGGTTTGGGGATGATCGAACCCAATGAGGTGATCCTAGTCGACGATGTTCTACGAGGTAACCAATTATTGCCGATCCTCCATTGCTAGGAGATCGTTCCCAACGAATTCCGACAATATCAGGTTGTGGGTCTTCTGATGATGCTGGAATAAGAACTGGTTTTCCTGGAGGTGCCGGAAGCCCTGGATAAGGTAGTTTTAATATTTTTTATTGTTCATGTTATCAATTATAAAATTTATTTCATTGATTTAAAAATATTTCATTTTAAAATAAATACATTGAAACATGTGTTATTTTTATTCTATATTTGAATTTTTACTGATAAAATTCTAATTTAGACTTTCAAACATAGTAATTAATTACTTTGTTCCAGAAATGTCAACGTAGTTGGTAAATAATTAAATGTATGAATACGTGTAGATGTAATCGAAGAAGGAAAGAACTGTTACATTCTTTGAAAACTCAAACAACACAACTATTTCGTCTCATCTTTCACATACTTGGTTACAGCGTCTCCAACACAATCGTGCACGTGGATCCCGAAATAACACGGAAAAGCCGTTGGCAAGTTCGGGACCACTGGCTAAAATCTTCTGTTTTTAACTTAGTGTTTCTGCATTATTGAAGAGAGAGAAACAATTTTCATTTGAAGAAAATATAAAATGTCTGATGATAAAGAGAAAAAATTGTGATTTAAAATAAATAATTCTGTCATATAAGAAATTCAAAAAGCATCAGAATAAAAAAAGAAAAATGAAAAGAAAAGTGCTCTCGATAGATTCCGGGTCACTACTTTAAGTGTATCGTTCGCGGCCAAATGATGTGCTCTCGTTATAGACACACATGTTCATACAACTATAATGCTATGTATTTATTTAGACAGACGAACAAAATAAAACTTCAGTGGTGATGTCTCTCTCCAATCATCACCAGAAATTGTACCTGTACCGCCCAATTGGATTTTCTTGATGTTAATTCCGGTAGAAGTTGAGTACCTCCTTGAACTTTTAGCTGGTGTATTTCCCATGATACCTAGTTCTTCAAGATTCTTTGATGTAACAGCTCTTCAGGATTTAGAAAAACCTTCCCACACGCACCATGGATCTGGTAAGAACGTTTTTCAATAATGAAGAGTGCCACCAAGATGGAAAGAAAACCTGAAGAGTGAGCTCTACGCTCTTCCACCTTGAAGAACGTAACTCGCGGTAGTCTCGATATAGCGTGAGCCTCGGGGCAGCACTGGCTCTCAAGAAAAACGAGTAGTCGAGTGAGCTTTGGCTTGCGCAGACGCTTCAATGTTAGCCAATACGAGGAAGATCTTGACTTCAGCAGCTGTTTATTCCGAAATCCGGCGGGAGGTTTACATCGGTAAATTAGTTGTAAAGGTACCCTCAGACTAAGAAAATAGATTATGGGATTAAATATATGCTTATTTGACACTTCCAATCTTATACAATCTATTTTCCATTAGGAAAATATTTTTATCATCATCTGAAAACTTTCAAATAACTCTTTATTAATATCAATTTTATATTGAGAAATTCCGTTCTAAATTATGGCTTCGGAATTTTTTTCAACAACTCATGATGGTCGTTGACCTATCGTCATCTGTTCCAAGATGATACCAGCATCATTGCATTTTAATGGACTTTGTTCATCAGACTAAAAATTTTGTCCACAGTAAGATCGATGTCATTGATGTCTTTCTGCAGTCTCAAGTTAGTCAGCGGCACCTTTCTATGGCATTCTAGAGAGTGGCACGTGGAGGAAGGAGAAGGTAGAATTAAAGAGTGAGAAAGGTGTGGCAAGGCGGAAGAGAAGGGACCAGTGAAGTATCCCTGGAGAATGCGCGGCAAGGGGACCACAGTATGTTCATAATCGGGGCCGGTGTACCGTTGCTCTTCAATGAAGATTGTCCGAGGTTTTCCTACAGCTTTCCTATTGAGTAATTCACATTAGATATGTACTTACAAAAAACTGGCTGACAATCTGAATTGGTTATAAAAACATTTACACATCATGTTGCTTTTTACTTAGTGAAAAAAATGTGACGCAAAATTTTGTAATTGATATTATTCATGAGTCGAATGTATTTGATATTTCACGGTCAAATGGTGAGACTCGGAATTTGATCTTCTGCAATGACGAAATTTAATTCCAAGTATTCTCACGCACTTAGAATGTGAGTTACATGTGAAAGTGAACAAAACAAGTGGTCTTTTTTTTATTTTTAATGAAAAATTTTTATTTCTTTATTACTTTTTATGGGCATAAACACCTTTAAAAGCGTGTTGAGAAAGTTAGTAAGATGTTCTTGATAAAAAATAGAGTGACAAACTATGAACGAATTGTAATCATCAAATCAATGGTTAACTAGGCCATTCATGTTATGGAAAATTACTATTATATCCATGTGAAATTCAAGGTATTTATTGAAATAGAATATAAATTATTTAAAACTTTATTCACCGTGAAATTTATCATTTATCAGGTTGTAAAAAAGATGACTGAACACAAATTGAGAATCGCAGACGTGCTAGAGACTATTGAATCAAAGTTGGCTTATGTTCCTGGTGGAAGAGATAGAGAAGGAAAGCCTATACTTATCGTAAATATTCCTACAGAGTTTCCAGATGACTCAATTACAAATATTAAATTGGAAAAACTTATTCGTTATCTCCTATCCATTTTCAAGTAATATATCTTTTACAGATAATCTTGATATACATTTCATAATGGCAATTATTAGTTGAATAGCTAATCAAATATTTTAAATATTTTCAGCGATGCATCGAGGCGAAATGGAATTTGTCTGATAGTAGACGCAAGGAAAGGATCTTGGCGAGAAACCAGATCCTACATCAGAAGGACTATCAATGCAGTGGGAAAATATGCAGCTCGCACAATTGTAATTCGATCTGATGGCTTTTGGGAGAAAAGAGTCGACAACTGCACAAAGTCCTGGAAGAATGGAGAGGTATTGTGGCTTTGAATGCTGGTAATTCAGTGTTGAAAGTGAGCAAAAAGATTAGATAGTTCTCTAGAATATTAAAATTTTTGTGGTCACATTTTTTTTCAGCCAACATACATATCTCTTACTAGATTGAATACATATGTAGATTCAACTCAGATTAGTAGTGATTTAGGGGGAATAAAGTACTATGATCACGCTGAGTGGATTCAAATACGAATAGTGAGTAGTATATTGTGTTTTTTATTAAAACAAATATGTATCGCAATTTTATTGAAAAATATTTCATATTATCAATTTTTTCATAGAGAGTTGAAGAGTTTGAAAGAGATGCTACAGATTTGATTAATAAATTAACCGATCTCGAACATAAATTAAAAGACTACGATAAAATTATTAGAAAGAAAGAACAAGAAAAAGCTATAGATTATTATTGGGAGATTAGAGAAGATTTAGAGTTGGTCGGTCGTTATATTTTACATTCAGGTAGCTTAAATTATTTTACATATAAAATAATTCAACCACTAAATGTTAATAAATATATTTTATATTTTATTAGGAAGAGTATTAGCAAGCAATATGAGTATAGAAACTTCTCAGGATTTTCAGGATACTGTTAATAACATTCATGATATTCTAGACGTGCTAGAATCCAAGCAAGTAAATTTGATTTTTTTGTTTTTTTTTATAAATCTGTATTTGTAGATATGAGTATGATGATAAATAAAAAACTTTATTTCGGTTGTGGTATAAAAAAAGACGAAAGTTGAAGACATCTGGAGTCGTATGACAACGAATTTAAATTTAATGAAAGAAATAAGTGAACTTGAGGATGGTGTGGCAGAAGTTACAAACTGGATTCTCGGTCCTGCAGATGCAATGCTAAATTTTCACTGCAACGTAGGCTTTGATGTTACGTCTTCTGAGAATTTACGACGAGAACATGAAGAATTAGAATTAGAATGTCGGGTAAATATTTGAAAATTTTATCATTCAATTTTTTTAAATAACTATTCATATACTTATGATCTATATTTAGGAAACTTATGGGAGATATGCTAAAATCCTTCATCGAATTGAAAGCATACCCGAAGATTGTTTGACAGCAGATCTCAAGTCTCAAAGAGATTTCATGGATTTTGTGTGTAGAAGTTTCGCAGCCAGATTAGAAAGGCGGAGAAATGTTTTAATTACTTGTCAAAGATTTTTTCGTCTTGTATCTGAAGTAAAAAAAAATCAAACGATATCATTTTTATTTCAGAAAATAATGGAATATTATTATTTTCTAGTATTTCGATAAAACCAGTGAAGTCTTCGATAAATTAATCATGGGAAATAGAAACTGTAATTTTTCTGAAGCAGAAGAAAAACTTAAGCACTTAGAAAGTAGCCAATCAGACTTGGGTAATTGTTTGAAGACATAAATAAATGATTTCTCTTATACATTATAAATATAGACTCCTTTTATTTATTGCAGAAAAGCTTTTAAAAGAGTTAATAAAAGGAGGCGAAAAGTTATCAGACATTCTATTAATGCCAGTTAAAGATGCTCTAGGTCGAGATTTAGATATTAATTATGGAGAAGATATAGCTAATGTAAGAGACATTCTAGATGCTACGAAGGCTCGAAAAAATATTTTCAATGACTCTATGGAGTTACAAAAACTCACATTAAAGCAAATTATTCTGATTAATGCGTATGAAACTGATGCCGAGCAAACGGTCAGGTGGCTTGTTGAACTTTATAAAAGCTTGATAGAAAATCATATTGATATTGGTTGTAATGCTAATGAAATTCAATTACAAAGAGAAGAACTCCAGACTTTTCAAGAAACAGCACAGGTACAGGAAATGTAACATCTAATGATTATAAAGTATTTGAAAAGATGTAATATTTTTTCTAATAATTTTTTTTTTTATCATACTTTGTAAGGGAACATTTGATTACGGTTGCCAACTATTAAGTGGAGCACGAGTACTACGAATTTCTTGCAGATTGAGTTTAGATTGCAATACGAGCTTATTCTCCCAACTACGAAAAGCTTGGCGGCAGCTCTGCTCAGTGACTCAGGAACAACTGACTAGGCTTAGAGTTTGTACAGTCTTTCACAGAAGTGTCTATGAGGTATTTCATTCATTTGTAAATTTGACATTAATTCTAATATTATTTTTTACATTTATCACATGTAACTTTTACTTAGTTATTAATATGAATCATTCATTTAATTAGATGTTAATAAATTTACAGCATTGCAGTGCTCTAGATGATTTAATTAGTACTGTTAGAACTTCAACATCAAATGTTAAACAATCTGGAAATGAGTTTCTACAATCTTCAAATTTTTGGACAGAATTCTTAAAAGGAATCTTGGAAAATCGAGAAAAACTTTTGGTTAATGTTGGAAGAACAGTTAGACTGGGGCGTCTGTTACGAACAAGATTGAAAGAACCGTTATACTCTCAAATAAGGTATGAATTAATGAAATTAAATTCTGAACTTTCACAAAAACATTTTATCAATACTGCGTGGACATTTAGGGGTTGGAATAAATAGAAAGGGGTGTGTTTAAGCTCTCTTATATGTCGAAAGTTGGGGCGGGTATTGACATTGGAAAGATGTTTAGAAGAAGAGCGGTAGACAGAAAAAGAGTGTAGAAAATGACGTCGGCGCCGTCGCCGTCAGTTTTTCGTTGGGTGGTAGGTTGCAGTACACGCCTAGTAGTCGACTTGGTGTTCACGGTTCATCGACAGAAGACTAAAATGTAAAGAGAAAGCCGACTGTGATCATTGACTCGCGCGTGAGTAAGTAGATAAGTCAAATGTTATACTGACGATCATTATTATCATTATTGTCATAATTATAGTAATTACTATAATTATTCGTCAAAGAAATAAAAACAAATAAGTCAAATATTAGGACATAAATCCATTAGCTAGAAGTAATAGTCGTTTGTTATTTATTATTTTTAATTCAGTATTCGAATGCTCCAAATTTTTTTTAAAGAATTTTCTCCGCAGTTGAATCCTATTTTCGTCCCTGTCCCATCTCCTTACCCTCCTTCTGATGAAAGATATTTCAAAAAATTTTTTACATCTAATAATTCTTTACCATTAATAAATTCTAAAAATAACTGTAACAACTTCATGTTCAAACCAAATCTTAAAATTATGAGTTAAATCGTCACTGGTAAAAGTAGGACTTTAAACGAAATTAGAACACTATTCACGTTTTGCGTATTGCTGACTTCTCTTCAAAGATATGAAACAAGCGTGGATAATATATTTTGTCTACAGTCAGATTTACGTAATAAAGAAATAACTGCATGTTTGAATTATTCACAAAAAAGCAAAGCATAAGTTGGGGTTTACGTGACACTTCATAAAGGTGCAATATAGATAAAAGATAGTCAAATTTATTCTTGGATAAGGTATTCATCATAGACGGAATAAAATTTATAGAGGTATGACCGATTAATTTATTTCATTTTTGTCAGCAGAATGTTTAGTTTAGAAGAAGGAGAGGCATCGCCAGAGCCAAGAAATTTATCTGCCATCGATGCAATTTCTGAACGGCTTGCTGAAGTTACACGTCTTGCAGAAAAATTAGATGCGCGTTTGTATGAAGCAGGAGCAAAAACACGAATACCAAAAGATGATAAGGAAAATCTTAAAGAGAAAAAAGATATTCCTTCTAAAGAAATTAGTGAAGGAACAAAAGAAATATTGTCAGAATCTGAAGAAATTCGTACTGAAGAATATGTAACTGCTACAGAATGTTCAGAAACACCGGTAGCAAGGTCTCGGAGCGAATCATTTGTTACCATGTCAGAATATGAAGATGAGAATTCTGACGTTCGTAGGTGAGTGAATTAATATGGTAGATATCAAGTGGTCAAAGTGTAGTATATTTATTTTAGAGACCATTCGTTCGACCATAAGCTCATCATATTCAACATTAGCAATGATTCTAAGAAGTAAATTTATTTTCAATTTATTTTTAGATTGGTCGAGATTGAAGAGCACCAGGAGAAAAAGATATCTGAGTCTTTAGTATCGACTGATACCTTTGAGAAAGTTCATGATCCGATCATGAATAAAAATTCTAATGTAATTGTTGATATTAACCAGAATGTTGATGATAAAGCGAACGTAATATCTATTATTGAATCAATTGAGGTATAACTTTGTTGTTGTATAATCTTAAAAAATTTATTTATCTAATTTTTCATTGAATTTTGAATACTTTTTTTTTATGCATAAATGCAAGACGTATGTTTGAAAATTTTTTAAGGAAAAAGGAGGTAAAGTAGTCAAAGAAGTTACAGAAGTAACTACATTGAGAGTCTCCCACGACACCAAGTTTGGAGTTGCTTCGTATCAGCTCATGTCCAATACTGTTACGGAGAACAAAGAAGTCAAAAGTACCGAAGGAATTCTTGATGCAAGTCATCAGTCACAAACAAATCATAAAAATAATCTTTCCGATGAAAAAAAAGGTGTCTCTGTTGATCTTTATCCTAAAAAAATATATTATCCGATTGATTATATTAAATATTTATAAATACATATTTTTTTTAGATGCTTCCAATTATTCTAGAGAAGAAATAACGATCTCAGAAGTTGAGAAAAAAACTCCAGAATTGGAAGACAGTCATGCTTCTGAAAGTAGTCTATCAAGAATTGTAAAAGAATCGTGTGAATGTAATAGTAAGAATTTAATAAACGTAAAAAAAATAAAATTCTTGGAAACGAAAGGTAATGATGACAGTGGAATCGAAATCACCGCAAAACATGATGAACAAATAGAAATAACTGATGTAGAAGAAAGAGAATTTTTTGAAAAGTTTCAAACGGTTAGTTGCATGCAGGTTGTAACAAAGTCGTCCATGGTTTTGCATGGTTTGTAATAAAGATCAATGGCCAAATGAATGCAAGAATTGCATAATGTGCAACCAAACATGTTATCATCATAATTGATTGTTATTAGCCATGTCAGTAGTAATTTGATGTTTTGTTATTTTTGTCTGTTTTAACAGGTTTATATTGTATATGTTGTGTTTTTGCATCTTTAGATAACTCTTACATTAGTCAATAACATGAATTAATATGTGTGTAAATGGTTTAATTAATTAAAATTAAATTTTATTATTAAATGGCAGTAAAATTGTATTTTTCTATTGCTTTTGATCCAAAAACTAGTGTATCATTAAAATCTGATCAAATAACTTATGTTAGAACGTATATTTACATCCTTTTCTTTAGGTGAGTAGAGAATATACGTGAATAGAGATGAAAAGTGGTTTATAGGCGTGAGTTAAAGTAAGATAAATATGTAATTCTCCTCTCTCTTAGTCTCCCTCCCCGATAAGTTGACTCTTGAGGATTCCTTGAGCTCTGACTCTGCCTGTGAGACTCCAGTGTCGGATGAGCCGGCTCACAAGCCGGTTTTCGGAAGTTAAATCTTGTATTTCTAGTTTGATATCAAAACGTGTGATATTCTGGCAAGTGAAGTGACATGTGCGAATCCAACTTAGTTATGCGGCCAGTTGAATAAAGAATTATTCATATTTTTTTTTTTTTAATTTTATAACTCGAGCATTAAAAAGTGATTTGAAATCACGAGTGTTGCGAAAGGTCGATTTGGTAATTGCTGAAAATGTACTCAATGAATATAGATAAATGATAGTTATATCTATACACCCGCGCATACATTGAATCATGTTTCATTTTTTTTGAATTGTATATAGCTTATTATTGTTGGTACAATTAAACTTTATGACACATTGATATAAGTTAGCGGACCATAATTAACTAATAGATATTTTTACAACCATCATTGAATGTTTTTTTTGCTAAAAAAATCATTCGATATATTTCTGTATGTTATTTTTTTTCAAAAGATCGTAAACATTGAGTCAGTAATTGATTTAATCAAATTATTAATGAAAGAGTCGTTGGTAAATTTTTATTGGCTGAAAGAATTGTTTTTATTAGATAATTGAGGTAACATTGCATTTTTGTGGTAACTAAAGAAATTTTTTTCTGAATCGTATTAAACAGTAAATTCTAATTCATAGTATGAGTATATCAGGTTACTTAATATCATCTATTTTCATTCTTTTAAGCTTGATTTAAGGTCAATCCGGTGGTCAACATATATTTTTCCACCGGCCCGCGTTTTCTCGTTCGAAGAACGCCTTCACCAGTCGGTCCGGTTTTAAACCTGTGGTTCTCTCGCCTGCACACGTACGTGTACGTCGATGACATCATACTATATAACTCGAGACATGCACACACACACGTTTAATTTAACGATATGCGTGCAGTGATCCAAGAGAGTAAAAGAAAAAAGAAAGAATAATTAAAAATAAGAGACAACAATAAAAATATTTTGTCCGATTTGTATTCTTATTTTTTTATGACGTTGATAGTGACTCCAATGAAGTAGTTAACTTTGAATACAATTTTATCAAAACACCAAATCGACTTTTGAAAATTAGATTAGCATTCAAATAAATTGAAAAAAAAATGGTTGATGATTATGGATCATTGGAAACCGAGGAGACTCCTAAGAAAGGAAATCCTGAGACGAATTTACGGACGAACAACCATTCATTTACCGAAAATAATATAGTGGAAATTGCCAAGGACTCACATCAGCAGATGACACCAACAACTACCATTAGCACAATCGCACTCCAAAGCGGGGACACGCGGCTTGTTATTGCTCTTCTTCAAGTAAGGCCAGCTTACAGTAAAGATAGAGTTATAATTATGTGTTTCATAACTACAATTAATATCATTATTCATTATTTTCCAATTATTGATGATGTTAACAAATGATGAACATTAATTCATTTCAAAATGAAGACCTAAAATTCAAGTGGAAGGAATTAGTGTTTATGGTTTTGATTATAGTAGATTGTGTTGTAAATATTAAATATCATATGATAGTCTAGTGGGTAGACTTGAGACCTCGAGAGCAAAATAAAAGAGGAACGTCTGGGTGTCTCTCACGAGCAGTTTTAGATCTGATGGTAGATGTAGAGAAAAGCCATAAGGTGGTAGTAAGTAGAGGAAAGGATCACGCCCGTTCCCATATACATAATACATAACCAGTTTGCTATAGCAACAGTCTGGATCTTCATGAAGACGATTGCACCTCCTCCACATTCTTCTTCCCTTTCTTGCCTTCCTCAATGGATCATTACACCTACGTAAAAGTTATTTCTATTCAAATTTACAGGATTGAAGGTCTTCATCGTTGTCATTATATTCTGACTATAAAAAAATTACTATTAGTTTCTATTATTAAAAGACTAGAACTTAGGTAATTAAAGACATCTGTGGTAGTTTGCTATAAATTTACATTCTTTAGGAAGTTCCTATCCTCTTGTTCAAATATTTGACCTGCGATCTTTGCGAATAACCAACGAATACAACTGACGAAGAGTCCAATACAAGTCGGCGGCAAAAGGTTTAAATTTATCCTTCGTGGAGTTGAAGAAAACGATGATGTTCTCAGAGCGATGTTCAGGCGAAACGAATATGGGTTATAAAATAATTGCTAATTTTTTAGTTTTATTTGAGTAAAGTTAGTGATGTTAGCTATCTTTTTTTTAATGAATTGAACAGATGTAATTCTGATAAGTAGAACTATTTCTCATGGAGAATGTAGATCTTACGGTATTTGACTATTTCTCCATCGTCTTTTAGCTTTTATGGCTTGTTTTAAGACTTGTATTTCTCTAAAAGGATTAAACTAAGAAGGCGACGAGTTGCATGATCAGTGTAACATGTACTCAGGTATTTACTGCCGCAAGCAATAACTTGAATCTATCAGAATCAGAGAAGCTTCGTCACTTTCACTTCACTGAAAAAAGTTTCATCGACGGGTTACGCCCAAGGACGTTTATCTGTTTATTATATCATTTTATTTCTTTGAGTTTCAATGATAACGGTAGCGAAGTAATCAATAACATCATTTTAATTAATTTCATTCATTGAATTAATATGATAATTTTATTTAACTTAGTTTATGTTTATCTTTAATAATTCTTCAATCATCAACAGTTATTCATGGCATGAGTTCATATATTCGATGTGATCATTATTTTTATTTATTGGTTGTAAAATTATTATTTTTTGCAACATAAGTTATTTCAAAAAGTAATATGCTTTACAAGTATAAATTAAATGTATAACTCAATAAGATGAAATAAATTCCTTATCGTATTATTAATTGAGAATATTTTCATAAACGATCTAATATATCATTTATTTAGTTTTTTATAGCAATAAATTGGCTAATTGAAAAAAATTTCAAATGTAATTTTATTTTGATTTTGACATAAATTCTTATCCGACTGAAGATGTATTATGTCATATAATATGATAAAACCTATATTCTTTATCATGGTTTTCTGAGTCAAAGATAAATAGATTAAAATAGTTCCACATAATTGATGTTTATTTTTTACTATAGTTTTTATTCATGTAATTGATAAAAATTTTATTGAACATCATTTCTCTTATCCGGGTTTTTTTGAAGTAAAAAAAAAATCATACAAGAACCAGTCGAAACTGGGTAAATTTGAATACAATGATCGGAATAGAAATGCCGAAAGCTTTGGGGAACTTTCGTGGATGCGAAATCGCTTGGCACTGGTCCAAGCCGGTGAAAATGGAAGCATATCTTTGCTCCGTTACTACTAGGGCCAATGAACTCTGGAATATACAGCTTGTGCTTGCTTACACTTGTCTTTAGTGATGAATAAAATCGTTAAATTTTTCTTGAAAGTACTTTAAACATGTCTACGGTCGAATTTATTTAAATCATTGTCTTCCTGTATTTTTAGAGTGGAGAATGGCTAAGGTTGAAAGTTCTGGAAGTGTACCCAGAACTGACAAGATTAGGAACAACAGTTGAGGAAGCAAAAAATTTGTCGGCTGCACATGATGAAGTTCTCGTACGTCTTCAAAGCAAACAGAGTCCAGTCGAAGAATTATTGAGACAAGCAGATCAACTAATTTCAACTCAAAGACCTCGTGCTGAAGTTTATGCTGCTATGGCTGAGAGTCTGGGTCAAACATGGGCTAACGTTAATTCTCTTCTAGAACTTCAAAAACAAATTTTAGATCATAATGTTCTTTTTCAAGGGTTTGTATAATTTTTTTTTTTTTTACTTTAAGTAATTTCAGTAATTATTTCCTTGATTACAATATTTTATTATCATAATTTTGAATTTTCCAGTCAAGCTGAGGATTTCAAAGCCAACGCTAAAGCATTAGAAAAAACTTGCATTGATACACTGTTGCCAATAGAAATAGAAGTAGTTAAAAAATTCATAAATAGAATTCATGATTTAAGAAAAACAATGTTGAGTTCTTTAATGGGAGCTTTACAAGAAGGCCGAACACTTTTGGATTGCTTGAAAGAAATATCTAATGAAGGAACACTTGATTCAAGACCTGATAAAATAAAGGCTGATGCCGAGAGTGGTAAAAAAATTTTCAATATTATACGGAATAAAATTTCAAGATATTTATATTTGTATTCGGTTAATTAATTTCAGCTGTTTTTCAAGTGGAAAAATGGTTAGAAGAGCTTCACGACCAAAGAACGCGAATAGAATTATTATTTACAAATAGAAAAAATCAACTGGAACAATGTTTAGCTTTAGCATTACTCGCTACAGATCTTCGAGATCTTGAAGAAATTTTAACTGATAGAATCACTGCTCTTGGGGCTAGTAGCGGTCAATTAGGAGACTCTTCTTCAAGTGCAGAGCTGTTATTATTTGAGTTGAAAAAACTCCAAGCAGAAGCTAAAAATCTTCAAGATCGAGCCTTAAAAATTACTAAATCGACAGAAAAATTTGTTTCATCGAAACATTTTGCTGGAGAACAAGCAACTGAGCAAGCATATGAAATATTAGCCACAGCAACAGATTATATTAACGATTTAGAACAATATGAAGGTCTTTTGAACAGAGCAATACCATTTTTTGATTCAGCTAGATCGGTAATTATGAAAAATAATAGTTTTTTTTTATATTATTACATAGAAAGGTTTTAAATGAATTTGAATTGTATTTTAGGCATTTACAAAATTAGATCAACTTGAAATTCAACTAGCGACAACAGATTATCCACTATATTCAACTCCACTAGCTCGTTTCCATGCCCAAGCTTCAACTATGCTGACGGAAGTCATTACTAGTCCTTTGGCAGAAGGTTATGCTTTGCTCGATGTTACGGGAAGAGGAGCGCCCAATGCAGATGTAAAAAAAATTTTTTTTTATCATTATTATTGTGCTTGACATATTTATTTACGATTTTACATTTATTTTATTTATAACGCACATTTTAATCGCTTGTAAATCTATTAAATGTTATCTTTATTTTATTTGTTATAATAGGGAATTAGAAGAACTGTAGAAGAATTAGAGAACAGAAAAATTAGTCTTTTAGAACGTTGTACGGCTCATAAAGAAGAGAACTTGAGGATATCTAGAGGATTGGCTATTTTCTTCGAAAAGTACGATGAATTAAGATCATGGCTTAGTGGAATAGCCAATGCATTTCTTCGAGGTCATCAAGATATGGGAAGTGATCTTCCAATGGCTAAAGATTTTTATAAAATCCACTGTCAGCTATTAGAGGACTTAAGTAAACGTGGAGATGAGATTGATGAAGCTCTAGCAATTTTATCAGGAACGATCATAGAAATTGTTGATGAAAGACAACGATCCGCTCAAAAAAAGAATATTGAAGATCGGGTAGATGAGTTAAGAGATTCATGGCTTGATTGTAGACACACGGTTGAAGCTAGAGTAAATCTGAGTGCTCTTTATGTCGATTTTCATGAAACTGCTGTAATCTTAAGTAAAGACGTTGATGAAATTGAAAGTGAATTCAAGAAAAGTACTGACAGTCTGCAAGAGAGTATGATTAATAGATTAGAGCAAAAATGGAGCGAACTTCAACCATTATACATGAAACTTACGAATTATGGAGCTAAATTTTTAGCCGAAGCTGATATAGTGAGTATTCACTTCCATTGACAAGAAAAAATAATTTACAAATTTTTTAGCAAGTTTAATATTTCAGTGCACTGATGCGTACTTGGACATCCCGCGTGCTCGACTCTGCGTGGAAACGACCTTGGAGCGTTTCGCCAACAAGCAACTGACCGTAACGGAATCTTGGGAGAACTGGCAAACTTCTGTTGTAACGACGAGAGAGCAGAGAATTGAACAGGAAAAACAAATTGAAGAAACTACGAGAACACTAACGTGGGCTTCTAAGTTTGGAGAACAATTGTATCCTATCATGACATCTGAGTCTATAAAACCGTCAGTTGTCTTTCAAGATCTTAAAAGCACTAAACTGGGTATCCTACCGGAGTTAAAGAGAGCTGTAAGTGAGCTAGATGTCAGGATTAAAAGTGTTGAAAACTTCTCTATTGGAGGTAAATTATTTTTTTTGTAATTAAATCTAATAATTGTAGAAATAGGCCCATACACCTTTTAAATTTTGTTTGTAGATGAAAAAACGAACGAGCGAGCCAAAGGACAAATTCTACGTGTTTATGAACATCTTCGAACAACTTCTACCAATTATCAAATCCTTTTAGAATCTCTGATATCAATTTTCCAAAATTTTGTTCAAGTAACTTTCAATCTCTTATGACATTATTTATTAACAACTTCAATAAATTAAAAAAAAATTTTTTTAGATTGAAAATAAAACAGATGAGATACACGAAATTCAATATGAATTGGAGAAGTCGACGGCTGGATTTTTATCAGAATCTAGTCGAAATGATATTCGATTTAAAGTCGAGGTTGTAAAAAAAATCCACGAATCAATTGTCGACATCTTAAAAAGCCTTGAGCCCACGATTGATCGAGTGATATCGATAATCGAAGTACAAGAACCACCTTCGGCTGCTAAAAAAGAAATTGAAAAATTAAATCAGATTTTTAAAGCAGTTTCTATATCATTCGAAACATCGTGCGCAGAAACTCAATTAAAATTAAGTAAACGTTTACTTTTTTGCAATTTTGCTGATGATTTGGATCGTATCGATGTTGATCTTCAGTATCTTAGTAAGCAATTAGGTGGAAGTACTGAGACTGGATATCGCTTTGCTGGAGATTCTTTGCCATCTGCAGAAGCAGCTGCATTAGCATTCATTGAATTTGAAAAGACTATTACAGTAAGTAATGTTTTTTTTATGCTATAAATAGAAAATAACTTTTTAAATAATTGATTTTATTATTTATTTTAGGTTTTAGAAGATAGAATAAAAATATTTATTAAAAAAACTGAAGATAATTTTGAGTTAACCAGTCCGGATTTAGCTCCTGTCGTTCATCGTGAATTATCGAAGCTTCAAGAGCGATGGAATCAATTAAAATCATTATCACAAAGTACTCAAAAGCGAATAAATTTAAGTATTGAGTATTTTAAGCTTCTAGAGGAAGCTAAGAACTGGTCTCGAGACGGAAATAAATTGCTAATAGTAATAGCAAGAAAAACATCAGCAATAAAGACCCCAGACGAAGTAGAAGCATGTTTAGAAGATATTGATAAGTTTTTAAAGCCTGGGGAAGAAATTCAAGAAAATAGAATTAAAAGAATTCGAGAATTTTCTACGAAAATTTTTGGCACTGATCGATTACCACAATTCAATGAAGTTGTTGTTGAAAATAGAGAAACATTAGATTCGTTCGCCGTGATAGCATCAGAGTTGAAAACTCTAGTCCAGAATCTGAAAAATTCTGTAGATATTCTTGAAGAAAAACAGAAAGAAAAAGAACGAGATGATGAAACATTACGACAATTAAATATTGCTAGAATTGAAGCACGGGCAGCATATGAAGCAGAAATAGAAGAAAAAAGAATCAATGCTGAAATGGAGAAAAGAAAAAAATATGAGCATGCATTAAAAAGTTCAGTCTCTACTCCAACTGAAAAACAACATACGATTGTGGAAGAAACCGTAACTTCCGCCAATACCACTAAGGAGATTCGGATTTTACAAAAGGTAATAGAACAATAAGTGAATTAATTACCGAAGAAACTTGGTCATTTTTTATTATCATTTTACAGACTGCGGTGGAAGAAAGTTTACCGGTTCTAGTACCATCACTGCCACACGTTCATAAGCAAGTAGATGAATCTAAAGAGATAAAGGTAGTGAAGGAACTTGTTTTGACTCAAGCACCCAGGTTTATCATACCTTTAAATGATTCTACCGTTGAAGAAGGTAATCGATTTATCTTTGAGTGTAAATTAGAAAATGGAAAACCAAAGCCTGAAATAGTGTGGTACAAAGATGGAATTTCAATTTTAAATAATCCTGATTATTTACCGAGTTATGATGAAGAAACTAGTGTCTGTTCATTGACTATTGAAGAAACATTTGCTGAAGACTCTGCTAGATTTGCTTGCAAGGTCTCCAATACTGCTGGAGTCGTTGAAACAGGAGCTGTTCTTAATATCAAAAGTAAATTTATTAATTTTATATAAATACTTAATGGCTTGAAATTAGTTTTACAAATTATTGATTAATTTTTGACGAAAAAAATTACGAAAAGAATATTTTCAATCATCAGTGTGTTTGAAATTCTTAGTTTATCGAAAACTAGGAATTTGTCAAATTGTTTCAGACAATAAATAATTTAATGTCAAAGCAGTCTTGGCGCCAATAATAAACTTGTTTTAATACTAGTTAATTATCATTCTTCTTCGAGTGTATTACTTTAAAATTGTTTAGAAGTTATTTTAATTCTAAATTTATTTCTATTAATATTTTCATTTACTATTTAATCATCTTCAGAAGCTACTACAGATCAGCAGTTAAGTCCTCCAGCCTTCATAAAAGGATTAGAGCCTTCTATAGCGAAAAAAGGATCACATCATTTTTTATCCTGCACTGTAACAGGAAATCCTCTACCAACAGTTCAATGGTTCAAAGATGATATAAATATCGACGATTCTCCAGACTATGTAATTACTTACAACAATGGAGAGGCAGTGTTGAAATTCTTAGAAATATTATCCGATGATAAAACTGTTTATACTTGTACAGCTACAAATAAATTAGGACAAGCATCGACCTCAGCGAATTTAGAAGTACAAGGTATAAGAAATAGATTATAAAAATTTCATAAACATTTCTTTCTCTAAATAAAACTATTTTTAAATTTGTTTCAACAGAGGGGAAGGAAGTAGAAGTGATTCAAACCAACGGTATCTCTAGTTTATCTCCAGAACCTGATGAAGACAGTAAAGAAATATTAAGTTCGAAGGTCAGTTTTATCAAGGAGCACAGGATAATTGAAGAATCTCATATTATTAAGGTAAAGTAGCTATCAATCTCGGCTATAGTATTTTTAGAACTCTCTGGATTAAGTTACGAGGGTAGTAGTCACTCAATTCGAATTACAAAAAGAATAAAGCATACTTTAAGACAAAAGTAGTCGACAAAAGGAAAAATAGAATCAAACAAATTCACGTTCTATTGCAGATTGAAAGCCACACGGAGGAGATGGGAGGGAGATTGAGTCAAGTTAAACCTGATGCTTCAGCACAGGAAATCATTGCATCCAAGACTGAAGTTGTTCCGGTGAAAATTGAAACATTAGAAAAAAGTTCAGCGATGCCCGAGTATTATCATATTCCTGAATTTATTCAACCAAGTGTGCAATTACCTCTTAAAGATGTGCAAGTTTTTGAAGGAAAAACAGTGAGACTTGACTGTATAATTATTGGACAGCCTGAGCCTGAAGTGAGTATTGAATTATTTTTTTCTCAATGAATTTAGTGTGCCTTTTTATTAATTATTATTTGTCATTACACTCCGTACTTTTTATTCTAAAGTTTTAATTAGTTATTATTTACTTTTGTCATAAGATGAGTCATAAAAAAATTTTTATGTTATTGTTACATTAAAAAAATTTATAGGTAATCTGGTATCATGATGATCAGCCAGTCAAAGAATCTGCAGATTTCCAATTACTATTTCAAGGTGACAGATGTTCGCTCATAATTCAAGAAGCTTTTCTTGATGATGCCGGAAAATATAAAGTTGTTGCTATCAATAGCAAAGGAAAAGCTTCAAGTGAATGCATTTTATCTGTAATTCGTAAGTAAACATAATTAACTACAAAATTTTTTTAATCATAATTAACTCGATAATGATATAATTAATTTTTAGCGGTTTCTGACGCTGCCAAAAAATCTACAGAAAGCTCTTCTCCGCAATTTTTAAAATTAATATCCGACGTGATAGTATTAGAAGGTGAAGATGCTATCTTTGAATGTCAAGTGATAGGAGAGCCAAAACCAGATTTGAGATGGTATTTTAATAACGAAGAAATTATGTTTATGCAAGAGAGAATTACAATGACACATGATGAGTCGGGAAATTGCTCACTAAAAATTTGCACAACAACGACTGAAGATAAAGGAAATTATGTAGCAAAAGCTACAAATCTTTTCGGAGAAGCAAAAGCAATAGCTCGATTAGTAGTAAATTCATCAAGCAATGATGTATATAAACGCGAAGAATTAATTACAGTAGAAGAAAATTTAATCCCACCATATTTTGAAGATAAGTTTGAAGAAAATCGAATCGTCTCAGTGGGAAATTCAACCACATTTGAATGCGTAGTCCGGGGAAAGCCAGCGCCAAAGGTAATTATCTTTCATTCTTATAGCGTAAAAAATATTTTTTTTAATTTTCTCAAATGCGGAAAATTAATGAAACTTGCCAGCATTTATTTGTCTAATTTTAAACAAATACTTTGGGTGACATTCAAGGTAATTAACGTGTCACCAAGATAGAAAAGATATCGTGTGTTTGGCTCTGAGTATCTCATTCTACATTAGCTGCATGCCAAAATGAACTAATGAACTTACTGGTGCTCCCTTATCCCATATTCCTAACCAAATTGATCTTCGTGAACCCTCGTCATGTATCCCTGGCAGTTAGGCTTAGTTTCGTGTTTGATGGTTCGTTCGAAACATGTGGCTTGCTGTGCTTCTTATTTTAGTGATATTACTTGTAAGGAATATAACATACTTACCTATGGTTATAAAGTGAAATAATAATAAGAAGTTCAATACTTTCAGATTCATTGGTTATTCAAGAATAAACCTGTGTTTGGAAAAAATTTCCTAGTATCTGGATGTGGTGAAAGACAAATTCTGACCATACCAGAAACAAGTCAAGAACACGTGGGTTCAATCTCGTGTGTGGCTGAAAACTCAGTGGGAAAGGCAACGTGTACTGCACAACTTGAAGTCAGAGGTGAGTTATGGATTTTGAAATCCATTAAATATTTTTCTTAATTTTATTTTCTGATAGCCTGTATCAAGTGATATATAGAAGATAGATCTTTTGTTTTTTATCGTTTTCTATCTTAAATGAAATTAGGTTACATGTTGTGTTCCACTGGTCGTTGCGGGTCAAAAATAACAACGAAGCTAAGTGCAACGGTGCCACGAAGAGTTATTAATACCTTTACACTAAAGTACTTCCGACAGAAACTTCAATCGCTATAGGATCGCATCAAAGATGGATAAAATAGAATTTTCACCTTGAGTTGTTGATAAAAGCTTTTAGTGATAAAAAAGCTAATAATTTCCTGCTAAATTGTTTCGAGTGATTGTTGTGTCACAAACCACACATAAATATTTTTTATGCCGACCAACTTCATGGAACTAACGTGGGTTTTAATCTAGTTTCAAATCCCACGATATTTTTACAGATACATTCATTTACATGCCTCAGAACCGTAAATCGAGTCACTTCTAATTTTAGATTGAATTGCAAAATTTTTAAAATAATCGAATCACTTTCGTTGATTTGTATTACTATATTTTCAATAGTCCTTATTTATTTGTTCTATAAATTTTGTCAAGTTTTTCAAGAATCTCTTTGAACTTCATAATCGTATTTCAAAACTTTTTTATCTAATAATTTATAAAAATTTCAATATCGAAATAAACTAATTATTTGATAAAAAAAATACTTAATGACTTAAAATACTTTTTCGTGAAGCAAGAAACTGTTTCATATAACTTATTTAGAGGCTTAAAAATTTTTCTCCCTATTCTTAAAATGTACAAGCAAGAAAATAAAAAAATAAACACACTCATAACTTAGTTAAATAAAAAAGTTTTTTTTCCATGACTTTCACGATTAAAAATAGTTTAAAATAGTTCAAAGTGTTGCATATTATTTCCTCTCTTAATCTCATATCTATTTTTATTGCCAAAACCGTTGAAAAAGTTGTCTAAAGTTTTCTAATTTTGAATATGAGAAGTTGATTTTTTCAGATTTTTTAGGTATTAGCTGTAGTTGTTGTCGAAAATTTTTATGAAGAAAAATGATACCATAATTCAGTAAAAATAAATGTTGCGACAATTTTTTAAACACAATCATCTGTGGTCTGTGGGTCAGCCTAATTTCTCACGTTGCAGACACGTTTGCCATTCCTTGAGGTTTTCAACTCTTCCTCCGACACACGTAAAATTTGCGTTATTTTTGTCAGCGTGAATACAGTATCAAGGTAGAAAGAGTAAAGAAGATTGAAAGAAGGCAATGTAAAAGTGAGAAAGCTTTTTGGATCAGACTTAGTTTGAACAAAGTCCTCCGGTCGGTTCGACGATCTCGATGTAGTCTTCCCGGTGCTAGTCTTCCATATCCGAACGAAACGACAAGTAAATCTTCATTTTAATCAATTAAGTCAATCATCAAGTACTTCTTAAGTGTCACGTGTTTTTAAGGTTCGCTTTTTTTATTAGAAAACGTTGAAATAATATTTTTTTCTGTTAAAAAATTATTTCTGTAGTCTCGAAGAATGATTAGAGAAGTATATGTGTTTACTGATGAGCATGTAACATTTAGGAAGAAGATAGACAGCTGCTTCTAATTTTATGTTGGTGTCGCATTCATCTGTGCTTGTGCTTAAGCAGGAATAACTGGTGTTCTAGTGCTTTCTAAATACTTTTTTCAAGAATCATTTGAAAACAGGTGTCACTTATTTACTTCTACTTCTCTCATTCCTTGAATCTCCAATGTTAAATTTGTATGATAGCAGTTTTTAAAAGAATGAATTATTTGAACGATTCTTATGATAATTAATAATTTATAATCATTTAAATCACTCAAAGTTCATATAAAAAAGTGGGACGAGGAGCTTAGATTTCGTCCATCTAAATACACCCGCGCATGGTCATCTTGATTTATTTCTGATTTATTTGCACGATACTTTGGTTTCCTGCCAAGCATACGTAACTCCAAGACAGTTTCAAGATACACTGGAAAATTGAAACTACTGGTAGATATCTAAAATATATTTCAGAAGAATAAAAATTAAATCGGAATTATTTTCTTTTATTTTAGCTTTCAAAAATGTTATTAGAACAGTTTAATTTTTAAGTTTATGATTTAAATAACTTATTTATCAATTCCGATTGAGATTTAATAAATTCACAAGTTTACAAATATGGAAAATGAATATAAATCGATTGATTAATTTTTTATAGTCAGCAATTTATTAAATTAATATCGAGAATTGAATAAGGTTTTTGAGGTTGTCACAGTCTCAGATTCATTGCACCACCAATAAATTCCATTCATTGGATGCATATGTTAACAGTTTGATTAATCAGGACGCCTATTAATAGCGTTATGATTCAAAGAAATAATACTATGAAGCCATCGAAGATTTATTTTTATCAATAGACGTTTATTATAACAAGTGAAATAATAAGCGTACGAAATACATAGATGTAAGTTCAATATAGTAAGAAAGTTAGGCTTGAATCCTCAATGTCTTGTCAATCATCGAAGAGTGAAAAGAAGCCAAGGGAAAGTTTAGATACAAAAAGAATAATAGTAAGACAAGGGCGTGAGGGAGTTGTGCCAAAAGGTTATTGCCAATCTATTGATAACCTCGATTAATCATGATCATGTATGCATACAGGTGAAGAGACTCAGGTGACGGTGAAAGGGGTGGAGGACGTTGAAGTAGATTTGGTAGCGAACAAACCCGATATGCAAGCTTCAAGCAGTAGTGAGAAACACTTCACAACAGAAAGGAGAGTGTCACCAGGCGACCAAGTGGATGAGAGTGTTCTCACTAAAATGTCGTCCTCAATTACTCAGTCTTCAACAACAAGGTCTAGTTGTACTAAGGAATTCAAATCTTCTACCACATCAAGCATTGTTGAACCTCAATTCCGATCTGGACCAAACAATTTTATTACAAAATCTCACGTTGAAAGCAGAGAGTACAGTAGCCAACAGAATGGAGGTCCACCAGTTGTTCAGGTGAATAATTAATTATTTATAAAAATTTTTATATTAAATCTTTGATTTATTTTTATCATTATAACCAACAGTAAATTCTTTTCATATTGTCAACATTTTCTAATTATAAATATTATAGAATTCATTGGTCTTGAAATTTTTTTTCACTAAGAAAACAAAATAATTTTGTTTAAAATAATACTGAAGTATTTGAGTTTATGAAAAATATTTAGACGGAAGTTGGAACTGATAGTGATTGATTACTACAGTCGTGTTGTTTTCATTCATAGAGTGTTAGAAGCATGCCCTCTAATATTATATTTCTATTATAAGCGTACCGTTTCTTACGTGTTTCGGTCATTAAACTCATTCTTCTTCGTTAAGATAATATGACTAATATGCTGTAAAGAATAATAATTAATTAATTAATTCATAAAATATTTAAAAAATGAATTATTTAATAGAGTCAAAAAATCGAAGAGTTTGAAAAAATTATTCAAGACACGCCCGGACAAGTACAGCAAGAGAGAACAAAGATTATTACAGAAGGAACAACTACTCCAAGAATGCAAAAACCAGCGAGAAAAAATATTGCTCCAAGATTTGTAACACCTGTGACAGGAATGATTGTAGATCAAGGCAGTGATGTGATTTTAGAAGGAATAATTGATGGTAAAATTAGACTGATTGATTTTTATCTATAAAATTGATAGTATTCACCTATTGGAAAATAACTTTCTTTCATTATTACTTGAGGTTTTCCACAACCAACAATTACTTGGTCGAAGAATGGTCAAGATTTGAAAGATAACGTCAAAGCAACTTTTGAGCACAATCATGTTCGTCTTGAATTAAAAAATGTTAATGTCAAAGATGCTGGAAGATATACTTGTACAGCAGTTAATGATGTTGGCAATGCCAGTAGTACGGCAGATCTTGTTGTAAAGAGTAAGTATTTTTATTTATATATATATATATATATATATATATATATATATATATATTTAGTTTTTTTCTAATTTAATTTAATTTATTCAATTTGTAATAAATTTTTTTAGAGACAATTTTTCCACCTGTTTTTGGCAAACGTCTTCAAGCGCAAGTAGCGAAGAAAGGTGAGCGAGTAATTATGGAAGTAGAAATAACAGGAACACCAGAACCTACTGTTACATGGTATAAAAACGATGAACCTTTGATGGATGTTGACGGACAATTGAAACAGCTTGGCAATTGTTACTTGTTAATTATTGATGCAGGTTATTATCACTTTCAATCTCAAATTGAATTTTATATTGTCTATATTTAAAGTAACAATTTCATTTATAAATTTTAGCTGAAAAACGACATGCTGGTAAATATATGGTTCACGCAACAAATGCTGGAGGAGAAGCTCAAAGTATTGCAGATTTTGCTGTCTTCGAACCAACCCCGGATACTATGGTCGAAGTGCATAAAACAATTGTTTATGAAAATGTTGGTGACAAAAATATAAAGGTAAATACTTTCTTTTCTTCATGAAAGGAATACAATTACCTATTTACTGTTAAGTTATTATCTAATAAATATATATTTTATTAATAATTATTTATTATTAAAAACAAACTTAACAGTTGGAAGAAAAAAAGAGTGAGTTACCTTCAGCAGCGTTAACTGCAGAGCATATTGCAACAACCACAATTCAGCCAAGTTCAACATTAAAAACTTTAATTCCACCTTCCTCTTCCTCATCTAAATCCTCTCACATTCGAAAAATTGAAGTAATAGAACCTAAGAGCTCACATAAAACAGAGGAGTCAATGATAGAAAAAGCAAGTCGATCTGAATATATTTCTTCAACGATTGAGTCTCATCAAAGTGAAACAAAATCAGAACAAAAATTCCATATGAAACTTCAACATCAAACACCTCTCCTATTCGATTCTGAAACACTCACGGCACCTTCGGAACCTACGATAACGACAAAAACAACGAAAATTAGTACAGAAGAAACCCAAAGTGGTGGACAACCAGTCTCATCGAAGACAACAGAATATATGGAGACATCGAAAAGCGAAGGAGGAAGGGTTGAAGAAAATGAGTATGTTGAAACCTCAACAATTGCTAAAAAAGATGCTCTTAGTTTCTTTGAATCAATATCCAAAGAAAGTGAATCTACTCCAAAAGGTCCAAAAGCAATGATTAAGCTTACAGAAAATGAAGATGGAAACTATGATGTCAAAGTAAATAAATTAACAAAAAATTACGAGCGATCGACTACGTTTCATGAAACAAAAAAGGCAGCTGATATGCCATCAAAAAAATCAGTCCAAGATATTTCTAATAAATTTGAAACTCCAATTATTACAAAAGGTGTAGATAACGTTATGATTGATTTTCCATATGAACAATATAAACTTCCAGCTTTAAATATTCAGAGAACCGTATTGGAAGATACTACAGCATCAGGATCACCAATTCATGGTACTTTAACTATTTCGAAACTTGTAGCACAGTCAGAAAGTGCAGAACAAATGCTTTCAGGATTTAATTTAGTACCAGAACCTCCACCAGAAATTGGCTATATGCCCAAGCCTGAAGAAGAATTAAAAAAACGTACAGATATTTCATTTAAAGCTAAACAGCTCGAAGAATGTCAGAAAAAAACAGTTGATGCACCAATAGGTGGTGTAAAAATTTTCCCCACATCACCAGAGAAGCAAGCTCCTGTTCCAGAAGTAAAAAAACCGGAAATGAAATCTATAAATATTCCTCCACCATTCGAATTAAGCCAAACTAAAGAATTTGCACGAAAAGAAGTCGTTGAAGAGAAATGTATTAAAAGAGACGTTCATAAGAAAAATGATATTAAAATGTCAACATATAGTCCAGCTCCCTCATCTCCACCTAAATCAGAGCAGAATGAAAAGTGGTGGTCATCTACATCAGATTTAGAAACTCGTTCACATGTTTCAACAGATTTATCCGAATATCGATGTCAATCCGGAGCTTCTAGTCATTTTGAAGGTCGTGCGACGTCTCCCAAACCATCTGCGGATGGTTTAGCGATGGAAAAATCATGGGCAAAATCAAAAACTAGTGAGTCTAATCGAAAATCTTGGCCACCACCAGCCTCTGATAATAAAGAAACAACGAAATGCTTTACTAAGAAAGAAGAGTGGAAAGAACCTGAGATGGGTTTCAAAACATCCACGCATGAAAAACGTCAAGAAATGGAAGAAATACCTGGTGGAGGATTTACAAAAACTAACATTGAATCTTCGACGAGCTTAGAATCTCGTTCATGGAGTACTCGTGAAAACCATATAGAACAAAAAATTACAGAAAAACCATCAGAACCCGCTCTACCAAAATCAATCATCAAACTAGCAAAAGCTCCATCTCCACCGAAGCAAGCTCCAGTAACAATGTATAAAGCAGAAACAACTAAAGTTGACCATATTGTGAATTCTGTACAAGAAAAATCATTAATTGAGAAGTATTCATCTGAATGTGAAATAAAAAAAATGGAAAGTTCAGAAAAATTCAGTTCGTACGAAGAACTAAAAGCTCCTGGATTAGTGAAAGCTGTACCGATTCCGAAAGTACAACTTTATCATGCTATTGGAGAAGCTCCAAAAATGGAATCTGAAAATATAAAATCATTTAAAGAATCAACTTCAATGTTTAAAGGATCTTTAGCAACAGCTCCCAAACATCCCGTTGTTCAATTATACCACTCAATACCAGAAATGTCTAAACAGAATGAAATCATTCTTGAACCTGGAACGCCACCAGAAATTGGTTATGTTCCTCCATCTCCAATTTGTGAAAAAAAGATTGAAAAAGTTGAAAAAGCATTGGAAATGTCTTTAAAATCACAACCAGCTCAAATTCCACCACGTGCAATCCGTACCATTCCACCGCCAATTCCACCAAAAGATGTAAGAGAAACTCCGCCACCGTTACCAGCAAAAAAATTAGAACCATTTTCTTCTGGATCTGCTCAATCATATGAAAAATCTTCTTCAATGTGTAAATATATAAAAAGTCAAATGATTGAATCAGATTATGAATCAGATTTTGAGTCCTGCCGATCTAAATTTCAATCTTATGAAAGTGAAGAAGAGCCTAAATATAGACATGTTGAGCCACCAACGCCAAGACCACCACGACCTAAATCATCAGAACCTGAACCACTTCCTCCTTCGCGTTTTGAAGTTCCTTCTTCAGATGTCACAGGACCACCCAGACCAACTGTAACTTCAATTTATCCATCAGAATCGTCTTGTAAGCAGACATCAACAATGATAAATAGGACTGAAAAAATGATGAAACAACAACATTATCAAAACAAAGAATGTTCACAAGAGCCTATTTTGAAACCAGGTTCTCCGCCAATTTATGTGCATCCTAATCAAAATTTAACTTCAAAGTCTCTACCAATGAAATGTATAAAACCAGAGTCCCCTAAATTTAAAGTTAAAAGCTTCAAACAAGAAAGTGGATATATGGCAGATACTGATGAGCCTTTTCATCAACGAGAAGGAACTTCAAACACCTTTGAGTCTAAACAATTTATGGAGAGTAAAAGTTATATGAGCTCTTCATCTTCATGTCAAAAAAAAGAAGAATCCTTATTTTCGTCTAGTCCTCATCCTCAATCTACTACTCCCAAGCAACAAATTCAAAAAAGTTTTTGTGAAAAAAATTACATGTCATCGACCTGTCCAAGAGGTCTTAAAAGTGATAAGGTTCGAATTAGAACAAATTTATACTGTGTGCAATAGTAATTTTATTTACTACCTTTAACAACAATGTTGAATGTTTTTGTTTTTTTAATTTATTAATTAATATGTGTTATGTATTATTATTATTTACGTTTCAGTTTTTCTATTACTAAATTTTACGTTTATAGCTAGTATAATCAATTTTGTTTAGATTTTTGTGTGTTTCGAGAGTTTATTAATTATTTATACGTATATGATTTATAATAACATATTTTTCAGACGGAATCATGCTATTCATGGCAAAGTCAAACAAGTTCAGCTCCAAGTCCATCCAGATTCGCACGTGGCGAATTCAGAGAAAGTGACTATGAGAGTGATTATGATGGACGAATTCCACCCCTTTGGAAACCACGGAGTGAATCTGATATAGAAGATCACTCCCATAAACCTATGAAGTCCAATCTTGCAGGTAAAATTCGAATCTATCAGTATATGTCTCTATTATTACAAAATTTAGTTATATCTTCTTCTTTACTTCATAATTTTATTTAATTTTTTTTTGTTACAAAATCCTATGTAAATAAGCTTCAATTGCACGATTAATAAGTATAGAAAGAGCATGAGTAAATCCAATAACAGTTAACCTATGAATAACTATATTTTTCCAGCTTTCAACTATTAATTCACACTCCCAGGCAAGAAATCTTTGCTTCAGGTTACGTTGCTTCTACTCCGCTGTTTTTCTTTTATTCTGGCTTTTTATGTATGACATTAATATTTTATTCTTTATCTATATATATATATATATATATATAGTTTTTTTGTTAAGAAATTATAATAGTAAATTGTATGGAAATAGATATTTTATTTCTTTAGCAGTCCAATTTTACCTTTTAATTTTCCATTTAATTTTATGTTCGCTCGCTATTATTTTTACACTTATCATTGGATCATCATCACTTGAGAAATGTCTCGTAGGGAAACCAATAAAACCGGCAGTCAGTGTGACTGAAACGGAAGCAGCAAAAAAGGAGTATGAAAGGACGGAAGAGAAAAAAACCTTTTATCAAAAAGAAGATAAAAAAATTCCACAATCAACCCCTAAACCAATTGCTGTGCGTCAAAAATCTGTTCTTCTTCCTGGATCTCCACCAGAACTCGCTTTTGCTCCTCCTCGACCTTGTCAGGGATATGAAGGTTACTCAGGGATGCCATATCATAATGTAATTGGAACAGAATTAAAAAAAACGATGAGGATGGATGAATCAACCGAAAATAGTAGACGAGTTGTGACTGTTGAGCAAACCAGTAGAGTCATAAAGTTTGGAGAAGATCAAAAATTGAATCAACAATCACAAACATGTTCAACGCCAAAATATAAGGTACCGACACCAACCAAGTTTATTCAAGGTCAATTCAGAGAATCTGATTATGAGAGTGACATAGATACAGGAAAAATAAAACCTAAATGGACACCAGCAGAAAGTGATACTGATGATCCATGTTATAAAAAAGTTCAACCACCAAAATTCAGATCTTCAAGTGTTCCTCCACCACAAGAAATACGTGAACGAGTTGTTACTCCAATGGAGTTTGATAATCCTCCTATTATGGCATCTCATACTCAAAGTTTTGAACAACATCTTCGAAAGTTAAATGAAGAAAGTGAGAAATTGAAAACAGTTAAAAAACAAAATTACAATTACCACACTTTACCAATGGAGAAGAAAGAAGAATGCAAAAGGAGTGTTGAGAGCTTTGGAGACTTTGAATATTTCACGAAGGATATGAAGAAAGCTGCAAATCGTAAGAGATCTTGATATTTTCAGATATTATTTTCATTTTTTTTGTTTATTTTCATCGCTTTGCATCAGGGAGACTAGATGAGTTGGTGCCACTAGGTGTTAGTCTTATTATTTTCTTTCTTTCTTGTATCTTTTTTTTTAAATTTTTTTTTTCAAATTTATTCTTCTTTTTTCTATCACAATTCTATTTATTTGATTGCGAAGTCTAAGTTAATTATTCAATAGACGTAGCTTCAAAACACATGATGGATATGACAAGCAGCTTCAAGGCAAAGACTGAAAAATTTGTCCAAGACATCCAGTCTGATCTTAAGCAGCAGAGTAAGCCAATTTTAAAACATTCTGATAAACGTCATCTTGAATCGTGTAATGATCCTCAAGCTTATCGTGAAGAAAAAAGGATGGCGCAATATGGTAAAAATATTAACATCAATCTATTCAAGTTTTTTATTTGTCGTTGAATATATCAATCAACGAGAATTCAATCCAGGAACTAAACACATTGATCCGGATACGGGCCTGATCTACTTCAAGTATGACTTTGGCTACGAGTTCGGCATTGTATTACCTGGGGAAGGAAAGAAGACTATTGCCAGTAATAGTAAAACCATCCAAGGTCAACGACGAGCAAGTGATATAGATATCCCAATTGTTCATGAATTTACAAGTCGTCAGGAGAATGCATTTTCTAGAGCATCATGGCAAAATCATCACCAAAATCAACCTAAAAGTCCAGGAAATAAATACTCAAGTAGTTTAAAAACTGTAAAATGGGAGCCAACATCAGAGAGTGAATTTTCGGAAGCTGAAGACTCGATTAGAAGGAAGAAAAGAGGAATGATACCATCCCCACCAAGTCTCTTTATTTCTTCAAGTCCAAGTTTTCCAAAGTGGGATCCGAGAACGCCATCACCAATTTCTCTCAGCCCTAGTCTTCCTAGCTTTTCGCCTAAACACTCCAGTGCTACTACAGGACCTCCTAGCAACGTTGACTCCATTGCAGGTACCTTATAATCAGCATTCATCCCCTCAAGAGTAAGACAAAAAAAAATAAAACATAAAAAAGAATAAAAATAATAAAACAAATATTAATAAATTCATTAACTCATCTCGACAATTTGGAATCGCCTTGAGTATTCTATCGCCTGCAAAAGCTTCATCTCTTTTTTGCTACGCTGCTAATTAAAGAATTTTTTAAGAAAAAAAAAATTATTACTATTGTTATTCTTATAAAAATTGAAATATGGGCACTGTAGGTTGTATTGGTGAATGTTTTTTGTAGTGAGGGAACGCAGAAAAAATCGTGGCTCAACGGTTGCTCGGGATTTCTGATTGTCTTCCCCCGGGATGTAAGGATGTCAAATCCTTCGTGTTTTAATAATTTTTTTTTAGTAATTTTCGATAATAAAATTTACAGAATCACCATGGCCAAGTAGCAACGGAGTTTCTTGTCCTAAAGAAGTTATTCAACCTTACCTTGATATATTGCCAAAGAAAGCTCCATTTTTTATAACAGTAAGTTACATCATTTGATTTCCTTGGATTTTTTTTCTTATTTAAATTTATTCCTTAACCATATCTTAATTATTTATTGCAGCCATTGAGAGATATTGCAGTTGTCAGTGGCCAAACAGCAAGATTTGAATGCATCGTTCAAGCAGAACCCCAACCAAATATTCTTTGGACTAAAGATGGGAGAATTGTTGAAAATTCAGTAAATTACGAAGTCTATTATAGAAACGGTGTTTGTCGTTTAGTCATCTTCTGTGCCTGTCCTAGTAATTTCATATTTTTTAATGATTTTATTCTTTCACTACCAAAAATTATAAATTAAAATTATATATTTTATTTTAGGTGATGCTGGCACTTACGTTTGTACAGCAACAAATAGTCTTGGTTCGACGACTACTTCTGCAACACTTCAAGTCCCAGGTAATAGAAGATCTATGTATATGGGTAAATAATTCAAGGTGTTGGGTATTTCAAGAAAACTCTCTAATCAAAATAATGGAAGACGATTCATTAGAAAAATTCTCCCGAAATTTTAATGAATAAAAGAAAAATTTCTGAATAACAAAAATTAATTTCAGTATCTTGGGATTCTGTTGTTACTTATCCATAGAAATAATTGCTTCCATACGTTAAAAATTACTCTTGTAAAAAATGGCTTTTCTTAGCACTTTCGTCCATAATTCATGATTTTTTTGCTTTGGTGAATGGCGTATTGAATGAAAGGGGAATTTTTCATCACATTAGATAATGCACAATATACTAACGGTAAATAAACAAATACTAGTCAGTAAAATTTAGAGAAAAATTTTTTTATAATTAAATAAGTACTCAAGTAGTACTTAAATATATTTGATCAAATATATCATTATCACGTCATAATAATATTTATATTTATTATGATTACTCATAAATCATCGTTGATTTTTTTGTTTTAATTTTAAAAGTCTATTGTATTATCACTATTAATCGTTATTTGTTTTTTTTTTTATTTATTACTTAAACGAAAAAAAATCATTAATCTATATTTATGATCAACGAAATATATAAATATATATTTAAGGAAAAAAATAATAACAATGAATGGCAAAAATTATACAAGGTGTAATTCTTACACATTCATTATAGTTATGTAAATAAAAGTGTGCTTATTATAAAAAATACTTGGGTATTATGGTGTAATATTATTTCTATCATCCTCTAAACCTCTACTCAAACTAATCACTTCAATTATATCTTATTACTAATTATTTCAGATATCATTATAAATATTATTTATTCTTATAATTATAAACATTGTGACTTGATAAGTATAATATTCAGGTGATGGAACGAAGTTGTATTATAAATAAAGAAATAACTTATTACAACTAATTTCATTATTCAGTATAGCTGTATACAGCTATACTTGATAATAAAATTTACAATTATAATTATAATTATAATTATTGGAAAATAAGTTCATTTTTATTCAATTTACAAGTTGTAGTTATGTACTTGTAGGGTAAATTTCAGATCAACTAAAGTCCGACTAAAATGGTGAAACATGTGTTAAAATAGATTGTAAGGTAATCTTGGAATGTATAAGATAATGTGAGTCGTCGTTCCGAAAATAAGTGGAAAAAAATTAAATCCACAGTTAAGAAGACCTAAGAAAATATAAAGGCCAAATAACGATTTCTTCAAATGCAAAATTCTTTGAAAATTAACAAAACATTGTACGTTCTCGTTTTCCTACATTATTATAATTGCATAAGATAACAAGATTCGTATGTATCTATGAATGAAGTAAAAAATATCACCTAAAAATAATTATAACAATGATTAAATATAAATCGATGAAAAAAAATTACAGCATACTGTTTGTAAGAGCAAAGATTTACCAGGAGAAACAGAAATTGAATAAGTTAAAAGCTTCTGTAAAATATACGTCTGGTTTTCATCTCGTTTAATTTATCTTTTGGAATATTTCATAAAATTAAGTAAAAATCCGTAGAAAGCTCGAATTTCATAATAAAAATGAATTTATATTTTTTCGCATTCCTGTTATTTTTTTTCTGTCTTTGTAAAGTGGGGCAAATAAATAAATTGATATACCTTCGGATCGAGGGTTACGGTGTGGAATGCGTGGAAAAGAAAGAACATGCAATGATTACGAATCACTCTAGGAGGTCGAGACATTGTAGGAGGCGTGAGCGAGACTAAAATAAATGTTTCATCGACAAGATATTCACAGAGCGTGCCAACTGTATAATTACACTCCTATCTATTCTAAATTTTTCACTTTTCTTATTAAATAATAATATACTTTTTTGTAAAATATTATGTATGATAAATTAATCTGACAGAGTGTAGATTTCTAGCATAATATTTTTATTGTTATATTCATATTACAACTCGTTTTGAAAAATTTTTATTATATATATATATACATATATATATATGCCTAAGTCATTCAACTTTATCAATTTACTCATATACAATTAGTTTTATGCTAAAAAAAAATGTAAATGTGCTTATAAGTGAGCCTTTTGAAGTCATAACCTAATTTTTGAAATCTGACTTAATATATTCGAAGGCCCTTCTATTCGTCGAAAAAGACAACAACTCTACCGATAAAGTATGAACTGATAACATTTATTAAAATTTCTGTTTTAAACAATATTTCAGGATTAACTTGTTTAAATGATCAGTGGAATCTAGACTCAACACAGACATCTCCTGACAGTTCTAATTATGTTGCCTTAAGTAATATCCTCATATCAATAGGAAATTCATTAAATATTCCGCAAGAAACTAAATCAAGCATCTGTAACATTGAAGAAAATTTGGATAAAAATATTAACAGGTAAAATAGCTGATTATCATTTTTCTGAGTACATTATTTCTTATTTTTTATACTCATTTTTATAGGTCATTTAGCAGTATAATTAAAAATGATGATAATTTAAATTTTTATAACCAGACACTTGAACATAGTGTACAATTATCTAAAAATTATTACGGAGAGATACCTGATCATTTCGAAACTTTCAGTCAATTGGATTATGGAGTTCCAGAGTTTTATTCAACAAATAAAATTACTTATGAAAGCTTCAGTAGTCCAGAATTCTTTAGAAATTTCAAATCCCCAGGTAATGCTTTTCTTGCTATAATATTTAAATTATAAAATATAATCTAGACGTAGGATTTATGTTTTTATAATTAATAAATCATTATCCACTTAGTTGAAAAAATAGAAAATGAAAAATATAAGAAAAATATTTTGCGTATAAATAAATAGAACTCAGTTGCAGGTGTTTTAACTTATTACAATTAGGTTAGGGGCTAATGGAATTCTCAAGAGATATTTGAAGAAAAAAAACAAGATGGTATAAAGCAAAAAATAAGTACATCCACTTATGTTGACTCATTGGATACTTATGATAAATAAGAAGAGTTGAGAAAATTTTAAAGGAAGACTCTTTCAAAATGAATATCTAAATCTATGAGTAGAGAACCCAAAAATAGTTCGTCAAAAGACAAATTTCACCTTGAGTCGCCGGATTATTTACTTAATACCTCTATAGTAAATTTGGATAAGTTGATTAAATTAAACGATCACGTTGGCTTGCTTTAATTAACCGAGGAAGATTCGCTCTCTAAATTGAAATTATTGTAAAACATTTAACTATTCCTTCTTTATAATTGTTTCATCAAACGATTTACTATGTGGGTATACTGAGATGCATGTAATATTGTGCAAGATGGTATAAGCGTAATGTGAATACTCTATGTAATGAAATGCGAAACTGTGTATTGTGTACGATTGAATTGCTTATATAAGATTACGGGGCTGAGCTTTACTTTGACCTACTGCAGCTGTGAAGATGATACGTACAATAATGTATATATATATATATATATATATATATATATATATATAATCATGATGAGGACAACAGTTTATCTAAAGCATAAAAGAAATTTTTTCTAAAATAATTCTAAAAAAAAGTGATTACGAAAAAATCAAGAATATTATTTCTCAAAAAAAAGATAAATTTAATTTGTACGAAGAATATAAGCAAACGCTTTACGATCCATAGAGTAATTCAGAAATTAATTACTTGTCTTATAGATGGAAAGCCTAACAATTTAATTTTAATATAATAAAATAATAATAATAATAATAATAATGATATGATTATAATTCAAGGGCAAGATAAAACTCTCTAAAACTTTCTCAAGAAAACTTACTGTACGTTTTTGGAGATAAAACTTTTTCTCTTTCTATTTCAGAAATGATACAACGGTATTATACTATTAGAGTGCGTATAAAGGATCGTAGATATATGTGTTTCTCGACATGAAATAAACGAGCGTGCGGTCGTACGCGTTCATGCAAGCACGCACGCTATGAATTTCCTTGTTTCTTCCTTTCCGAAGTAAAGGTAATAAACAAGAGCGTTAATAAAATCTAGAGCGAAAATAAAAAAGGAAGATGATAATACGTCCAAATAAAATAGTCAAGAGATGACAGAACTTTTGCGCGGTAAAGAAAGTCTATTGGATATGTGTACACGCGTGAGTGCTTTTAAATAAAGAGCCTTTAAAATTAAAGATCAACTACTTGGACAATAAGAAATGTTATGATATTTTTTAAAACGAAAGTGTAAATTGTGGAAGTAACAAATGGTATTCAGTGATTTAATTTATTGTTGGAGCAATGTTTTTTACAATTATTCTTTACTGCTACCCTATTACTGATATGAAGTGCGTGCTTCTTCAAGAGTTTGTTGAGGGAGCGGAAGAAATTCTCCCCACTTTAAAGCCGGCTCCTCTACAGTCGATGGGTAGGAGAGATCGTTTCTTCAGAGCTCGAATCTCGCTACCGGCTTACTCGCAATTCGCATTCGATCGACGTCTTGGTTTTAAATGTCTCGGGGAAATTTTCGATTATAATGACTTGACTACTTGCAAATATTAAAAAAAGTAATTTAATAGAATAGATTAAGTATAAGAAAGTAATTAAATAGAAAGAATAGGCGTGGCAGACAAGAAAATAAACGAAAGACGATATTTTTAAGTTAACGAAAAAAATTATTACACGAAACGAAATTAATCAAACGAGGAATAAGGAGAAGGATAACTTCAAAAAATAGTGAAATTGATAACAATTGTGATTTTTATTGTGGGTGCTTTAGATACTTATTATAGAAATAGAGGAATTCAGTGATTTTCTATAGGAAGTTTAACATTTTCATTTTACCTATTGAATCTAAAACGGCCTCAAGATGAAGCGACAGACGTCGCAAGAACAGCAACAACAACAGCAACAAATGTCCACCATGCAACAATACAGTCAACATAGATCAGAACGACAAACTACGAGACAACAAATCACCACACAACAAAGAGGTCTGTTGCTGGAGATAATTTCAAAGAAAAAAATAATCAATGACACTCATGTCATAAAATATGAAGTATTTTGTGTTCAATTTTATATTGATTTGTTTATAATTTATTCACGACAAAAAGATTATTCCTCTGCTCTCATTAACCGAGGTTCTATTTTTGTTCGAGCCCCAATGCATGCCTCTCCTTCTTCAACTAAAGATAGACCGTTCTGCGTCCGTGCCCGGTGCTTGAAAAAATTCTTTCTGGGTCCGCTGATTCTTTTTTTATTAAAGAAATAATTGAGTTTGTTTATTAAAAAATTCCTATAAATGATTTAAGCATTATTTTTATATAAATTATTAATAATAGTCTCAAAAAATCAAAACAATCATCAATTTTATCATTCGCAACTGATACTATTAGGTACCAAGTTAGTTACTGATTCATAAAATGTTAAAAAATAGCAATGCCAAAATCAGTAGATAACGTCATTAAGAATGTATTCCTCTCGTTAACTGTTTAATGCATGAATACCAATATGTATCTGTTTCCTTGCCAAAGATTGTTAATTTCACAACAAATGGAATTTTATGGTCCATTTAAATTTGCTGACGTGTTCTTAATGCATTTGTACACTATTTTATACTAAGTAAAAAAAGTGTTACGAAAAATTGGCATAGTTTTGCTGAAAGAAATTGATGATTGTTTCTTCTATGGAACCTATGTCATCACAAGAAATCGATTTATTTAACAGCATACAAACAATGTTTATTTATAAATATTACAGCTGATAAATTTAGAGTCGATAAATGTTAAAAGTGAGAAAACAAAATTCCATGGAAAAATGAGATAAACAAAATTTTTAGAAACTATATTGAAATAAAGTAATTATTTAATATTTTCTATGTGAATTTATATGTAACATTTTCTATGTAATAATTAGTTGACTTAATAAGAATTGAATACATAAGAAAGAGTTGACGATAAAGTGAAAAGAAGAAGAAACAAGATATAAAGAATCACACTGCGACTCGAGCGCGTAAAGATAGTTGCTCCTAAAATGGGTCCCGGTAATGCGATCTCGTGCCGCACAAAAATAGTTTTCTCGTCATCCCCTCGCTTTACTGCTGACATCCCCGATGTCGGAACGATATAATACACACAAAGTAGACACGATGATCCCCAAGAAAATATGCATTCATGCTTATTCATATTCAATACTTGAGATTACTCAAACTGTCAACGATTTTTTTAGCTTTGATAGTGCTAAGAAGAAACTAGAAAAAATAGTTATCTTTTACCACTAGAATATTATGAAAAATGATATTTATTGATATTTTATGTTTACTTTTGTAGCCATGAAGTTTAAGGTTTGATTTAAGGTCATCTGAATATTTTTTTCTACTCTAATATAAATAGAAATAATTAATTAAATAATTTTAAAGTCATTCCAAATTATTTATAAGAATTAACTAGATATGTAATTCAAGGTGATTCACAGGATATAGCCTCTCCCTTGCAAGTACTTTAGGCACGGCCTAATTTCTTTGTATTTTACTGTTGCGAGTTTGAAGAGTAATTTAATTTAATTACTGCAGTGAGACCAGTATAGTGATAAGTCAAAATGAAAACATGTCGCATTACGTTCATCGTGCGTAACGTGGGCGAATTAAGAAATACATTCAACGTTATTCAGAGTTCTAAATTTATTTCTTCTTTAACACTCTTATTTTTTTTTCAGTGCAAGGAGAAATAATAATGACAGCGTCACCAGCACCAGCGTAAGTATTTTTGTCACAAATTAAAATATTTCACTTCAAAAAAATTTTCAAATCTAAAATTAAATGCTTCATCATCTTCTTTAGATTTACTGGAAGACCCGGTGATCCTTCTCCACCTATTTTTGAACAGATTTTCAAAAATGCTAGGTTTGCGCAAGGTGGAAATGCTATTTTTGAAGGTAGAGTTAAAGGAAATCCTAAACCTACGGTTTCCTGGACACATAAAGGAGTTCCGCTAAGGGAATCCCAAAAAATCTTAATGTCTTATGATGAAAGAACTGGAAATGTTACTCTACAAATTAATCAAATTGGTCCTGGAGATGAAGGAGAATATACTTGCAATGCTAGAAATCAATATGGTATTTATTATTCATTTTTTTCAATTTACATTCGAATTTATTCATGACTTTTTGTATTTTCAATTTTTTTCTTGTAGGTGAAGCCATCTGTTCAGTTTACATTCAACCTGAAGGTTTCGGACCTCCACCTAAACAAGGTTATAAGGATTACCAACAACGTTATTCACAAACCATTGATAAACGCTATACAAATGGATCAACAACGACAACTACAACGACAATTGAAGATTTTAAAGTGGACACATTTGAATATAGATTGTTACGTGAAGCTGAGTTTCGTGAGTCCATTACTCGTCGATATGTTGGTGAATCTGATTCTCAAATATCTACTAATGTAGATCGTAGTCAAGGTCCTGTTGCTCCACCTCAAATTGGTCAAAAACCAAGAAGTTCAAAGCTTGTTGAAGGTTCTGACGCTATCTTCACTGCTAAGATTTCTGGAAATCCTAAACCTAGGGTAAGAATTGGAATCTTTATGTAGTCATACAATTTATTTCGATGGTTAAATTAATTGTTATTATTATTTTTAGACAACATGGTTTAAAGATGGTCAAAGACTCCGTAACTCTCAACGTATTGAAACTGTTTATTCAAATCAACAAGCAACTCTACGCATTAAAGGAGCAGCACCGAATGATAGTGGACATTACACACTCCTTGCAGAAAATCCTCAGGGTTGTACTGCATCATCAGCATACTTGGCAATTGAACAAAGTGATCAAGTTGATTATGCACAACCTCAATTTATACAAAAAGAAACGATAAAAACTGTTGAAATATCTCAAGCCCCCGATCCAGGTAAAGTCCTGCCACCTAATTTTATCCGTACCTGCGCTGATCGCGAGGTAACTGAAGAAAAGATGACGAGGTTTGATTGTCGTGTGACTGGAAGACCTTATCCTGAAGTAACTTGGTATATCAATGGATATCCAGTGGCTGATGATGTAACACATAAAATACTTGTGAATGAAAGTGGTAATAATTCATTAATGATTACAAATGTTACACGAGCTGATGCTGGCATTATTACCTGTGTTGCTAAAAACAAAGCTGGCGAAACTTCATTCCAATGTAATCTTCATGTAATTGAAAAGGAGCAAGTAGTAGCCCCGAAATTTGTAGAAAAATTTACTACAACGCATGTGAAAGAAGGAGAGCCAGTTGTTTTCTCGGCTAGAGCTGTTGGTACACCTATCCCTCGAATTACTTGGCAAAAGGTAAATTAATCGAAGTGGTTAAATAATTATAAATTAATAATTTTATTAAACTAATATTTAGGACGGAGTTCCAATAGTCGCTGGCTCTGATATTAGGATTACAACGGAGGGAAATGGATCCTCAATGTTAGAGATTCCAAATGCTAAATATTCAGATGCAGCCTGGTATCAATGCACTGCTCAAAATATAGCTGGATCTACTGCCAACCGTGCTCGACTTTTCGTCGAAATGCCTAAAGGAACAACTACTGAACCAAGACGCCTGAATTTACCTCGACCGACGAAAGTCATCGAACCAGAGTAAGTATTTAAAAACTTATTCTGAAAATGTACTTTCTAGAAAAGAATCTTTTATGATTAATTTTTTTATTCTTTTTAGACCAATATCTGGCCCTGAAGTAATCTATCTACGACACGTGGAACGTGCTAAACCTTATTTACCACCATCAGAAGAAGATAGAATATATCCACCACCGAGATTTATCGTTCCACTCCGAGATGTTCATCAAAACGAAGGTGGACGCATTCACTTCGAAGCCAGAATCGAACCGGTGGGTGATCCTACCATGAGAGTAGAGTGGTATGTTAATGGTAGAACCCTAGAAGCGAGTAAGTAATATTATATATGCATAAAATTTTTACGCTGTAGAATACTGTTGATTACAAATACACAAATTATTTTTCTCTTCAGGTTCTCGGGCAACGTATCTCTTCCGCTTTGGCTTTATCTCTCTCGACTTAATTAGCGTGGTAGTTCAAGACAGCGGCGAATACGTTTGTCGTGTTGTCAGTTCTACCGGAGTCGCAGAATCTCGTGCAATGCTTAGTGTTACTCGTAAGTAATTTATTGTTAATGAGGGTTCTATGCGATTCTATAATAAACACTCTTTTCATTATTTAGCACGTGCGACTATCGAACAAACCAGTCAACATCCAGACAGTCTTCGATATATTCAGCAGCTTGAGGATTATTCCAAGTATCAAAGACAAGAGAGTATAGAAGATCTTTCCTCCCAACGTCCAGTCTTTATTCGTCCATTACAAGATATTGGTGAGCTTCAAGAAGGCAGGAATGCCCACTTCGAAGCTCAATTAACTCCAGTCAGTGACCCAACTATGAAAGTTGAGTGGTATAAGGATGGACGACCAATCACAGCTAGTAATTATTATTGTCTTTTTTTAAAAATTTCTCTGCATGACAAAAAATTGATAACTATAATTTATATTTATTCTTAGGTTCAAGAATCTCGACTATCTTCAACTTCGGATACGTCTCACTAAATATTATGCACCTACGGGCTGAAGATACGGGTTCTTATACCGTGAGAGCTGTGAATCGTATAGGAGAAGCAATAAGTAGCTCAATTCTCCGTGTCTTAGGTATAAAAAAAAATTCTTCCGTCAATTATGTACTAAAGCTGAACATGATAGAATAATTTTATATTGATACTTTTCATTATGTTATGTTAGCACGCACCAGCGTAACTTCTGACCTTGGAATTCCAGAGCAGCAAAAGTATATTGAAGCTGCAGAAGAACTAGAAGCATATCAACAAGCTATACATCAAAAATATGTGAGAGAACAGCCAGAGCCCACGAGTCCACCGGAATTTAAATCGCCGATCAAAGATCAGATTAATGTTCGTGAAGGAGGATTTGCTCACTTCGAAGCTCGTTTAGAACCAGTGGGTGATCCTGACCTTCGAGTTGAGTGGCTTAAAGATGGTCGTCCACTAGAAGCAAGTAAGTAATAATAGTAAATTTATTAAAATAGATTGTAATCTTTCAAATATATCTATGATTTTTCATTATTTTTTTAGGCTCACGAATTACCACTTTTTTTAATTTCGGATACGTTGCCTTGACTTTAAAATATGTGACAATTTATGATGTAGGAGTTTATACTTGCCGTGCATATAATAGAGTTGGTGAAGCACATACAACCGCTCAAATGAGTGTAATAAGTAAAAATGATATTATTTATGATAGCCAACATCCACAAGGATTACAAAAAATTCAAAGTCTTGAAGATTCAAGCCGTTATCAGCGACAAATGCAAGAAGAAATTCAAGTAATACAAAAACCTCGCTTCCTTGGTCCTTTAAAAGGAACTAATAAGATTGTAGAGGGCCAAAGAGCACATTTCGAAGCTAGAGTAGAACCACAAAATGATTTGACAATGAAAATCGAATGGTATCATAACGGAAAACCCATCACTGCTGCTAATAGAATTCAAACTTATCATGATTTTGGATATGTGGCTATTGATATTCTTCAAGTTAGAGCTGAAGATACTGGAACCTATACTGTTATCGCTCGAAATGCAATAGGAGAAGCTCGTCTTCAAGCTACAATGTCTGTTGAAACTCGTTCTGGCATTGATACAAGTAGCATGCATAGAAAGGCATACGAAAAAACTCAAAAACTTGAAGGATCTCAATTTGTTGAACCTCAATACTATATTGAAGAAATTTCCAAATCCAAACCAATATTTGTGCAGCCTCTTAGTAATCCTAAACCAGTTAGTGAAGGTAAAAATATTCATTTAGAATGCAGATTAGAGCCCATGGGAGATCCAACAATGCGCGTAGAATGGTTCCAAAATGGTCGTCCAGTTACTGTTGGATCGAGGTTCAGGACTTATTATGACTTTGGCTTTATTGCTCTTGACATTGTTCATGCAACAGCTTTGGACTCTGGAGAATATACTGTTCGTGCTACTAATCATCTTGGAAGTGCGCATACTTCAGCATGTGTAAGAGTTATTGGAAGATCAGACGTTATAACTGAAACTCAGAATGAACAATCTTTAGAACTGATTCAGATGTTAGAAGATTCTTCAAAATATAGACGATATATTCAAGAAGATGTAACTGTTGTTCAAGCTCCTCAATTCACTCGTCCACTTCATAACATTGAAACCGTCGAATTAACAAATGTTCATCTTGAATGTCGCCTTCAACCAGTAGGAGATCCCACAATGAGAGTTGAGTGGTTTGTCAATGGAGTTCCTGTAACCACTGGACATCGATTTAGACCTTCATATGAGTTTGATTATGTTGCTTTAGATATTCTTGGAGTTTACCCTGAAGACTCAGGTGTTTATACATGTCAAGCACGTAATCAACTTGGTGAAGCTGTGACTTCTTGCTCTGTTCGTGTTCATGCTAAAAAAGATTTATTATTAGAATCTCAACATCCAGAAGGTCTGGAAAGAATTCAATATTTGGAAGACACTTCAAGATATAAAAGGAAAGAATTGATTGATGAAGTGGTTAATGTCAAACCAAAATTTATTACTGCACCAAAGAATCAAGAAAATCTTCGAGAGGGACAACATGCTCATTTTGAGTGTAAGCTTGAACCAGTTACAGACTCGAATTTGAAGGTGGAATGGTTCAAAAATGGACGTCCGGTTACAATAGGTAATGTATTAATTATAAATTTTTTCAGAATATTTTTTGAATTTTATAAAACTTATCAAATATTTTAAAATTTTAGGACACCGATTTCGTCCCATTCATGACTTTGGCTATGTTGCGCTAGACGTGATCGACCTAATTGCCGAAGACTCTGGCACTTATACATGTCGTGCAGTTAATCTCGTTGGTAGTGATGAAGTTCATTGTATTTTAACTTGTCGTTCAACAGCTCAAGTTCTGACTAATACTCAAAATGAAACTGGATTAGAACAGATTCATTATCTTGAAGATCGATCAAAATACCATCGTCGTGAGGTAGTTGAAGAAACAACAACCCAAGCACCAATCTTTACGACGTCATTGAAAAGTGTTGAAATAAAAGAAGGCCAACGAGCACATTTCGAATGTCGTTTAATTCCAGTTTCCGATGCAACAATGAAAGTTGAATGGTTCCATAATAATACACCAGTAAAAGCCGGTTCCCGCTTTGTTGAAACTAACAGCTTCGGATTCGTTGCTTTAGACATTATGTATGCATATCCTGAAGATTCTGGTACTTATACTTGTCGAGCTAGAAATGCAATCGGCGAAGCAATGACTTCAGCTACTGCAGTTGTTCATTCAAAGAAATCTATTTACATGGAAACACAACGTGCGGAAGTTCTTCAACGACTTCATCAGTTGGAAGACCATTCAAGATATCAACGCAAACAAACACAAGAAGAAACAATCACTCAAGCACCAGTTTTTACAATGCCTATTAAAGACCTTCGTGTTGCTGAAAACCAAGCAGCTCACTTTGAAGCTCGAGTAATCCCAGTTGGAGATTCACGACTTAAAGTTGAATGGCTTCGTAATGGAGTACCGATTGAAGCCTGTAAGTAATACATATATTATTATTTTAAGTAGAAGTGAAATAAAAAAATTTATAATTCTGTGTAATTCTTTTATAGCTAATCGAATAACGACCATGCACGATTTTGGATATGTTGCTCTCAACATGAAATATGTGAACCCTGAAGACTCAGGTACCTATACTTGTCGAGCTGTGAATGATTTAGGCGAAGCAGTAACATCAGCTACACTTTTTGTGCAATGTAAGTGAAATTTTATGGGTCTTAGTATTTCATTGAATTTTTATCTTTACTTTAAAAAAAATATTCTTGAAGCAGAAGTTTTTATTGTTTCTGTGTTTGAAATTGTTACTCTATTTGTTTTTTTTTTAATTCATCAAACAGCTAAAGCAGCTCTTCAACTTGAGTCACAACACGAAACTGCATTGACAAAAATTCAGGTATTAGAAGATACCAATAAATATCAACGTCGTGAAGAAGAAGAAATAAACGTGAAAGAGCAACCACGTTTTACGGTGAAACTTAATGGTCCAACAAAGTTAGTTGAAGGACAAAGTGCACATTATGAGTGCCGTATTGAACCCTATCCTGATGCTACCATGAAAGTAGAATGGTTCCATAACGGTCAGCCACTTTCTACTGGGCACAGATACAGAACAACGTGTGATTTTGGTTTTGCAGCTCTTGACGTATTGACCGTCTATGCCGAAGATTCTGGCACTTACACGTGCAAAGCCACCAATAAACTTGGCTCGGCTCAGAGTTCTATTGAACTTTCGGTTACATGTAAGTAATAAAGCTTTAAATGGTTTTCATATTTTCATTGCATGAAAATATCAGACGTATCTTTATTTAATCTTTTTTGTTTCGTTTATGTATTAATACAAAAACCAAGTAAAATATCTGATTCACAGCTCGAGCTTCGATTATACGTGAAACACAACATGAAAGTGCATTGAAGAAAATCCAATATCTTGAAGATGATTCTCGTTATAAGCGTATCCAACATGATGATTCATTTATCGCTGAAAAACCGAAATTCGGAAGACCTTTGAAGAATATTGAACATTTGCCAGAAGGCAAAAGTGCTCACCTAGAAGCGACTTTAACCCCTGTTAATGATCCTACAATGGTAGTTGAATGGTATCGAGATGGACAACCCATCCCTCAAGGACACAAATTTAAAACTACTTATGATTTCGGTTATGTTGCGTTGGATATTCTTTATGCCTATCCTGAAGATTCCGGAACTTATATGTGCAAAGCTAAAAATGCTGTAGGAGAAGCTGTTACTACTTGTGTTATTAGCGTTGATTGTAAGTATTATTTTTTATGATTAAAAAAGATGATATGTTTTTTCTTTGTATTTAATTTTTTAAATTTTCATTTAAAGCTAAACAAGGTTTATACTTGGATACTTTGGATGTGCAACGTCTTGAGAAAATCCGTGAATTAGAAACGGTTGTAGTTAAAGAAGTTCCAGAAAAGGAAATTACCTACCAGAAACCAGTGTTTTTGACACCTTTGAATAATTTAGATCACCTTAAAGAAGGTGAACATGCACACTTAGAAAGTCGAGTTGAACCGATAAATGATCCAAACCTTAAAATTGAGTGGTTTGTTAATGGTGTTGCTGTTAAAACTGGTCACCGTTTCCGTACAACTCACGACTTTGGTTATGTCGCTTTGGATATACTTTATGCTTATGCTGAAGATTCTGGTACTTATATGTGTAAGGCTACCAATCTTGCTGGTGAAGCAGTTAATACTTGTACTATCAGAGTTGGCTGTAAGTATCTTTTTAATTTAATATAAGTTATAAAAACAGCTTTAAATATTTATTGAACTTTATTTCCTATAGCACGTCGTAGCATTCTTTTTGATACTCAACATCCTGATGGATTAGAGAAAATCCGTGAATTGGAAGCACAAGGCCATCCAACACGCCTTGAAGTTGAAGAACCTCCTCCCACTTTTCCAAGATTCGTGACAGAGCTTAGAGTATAAATCTTTGATTTTGAATTAAATTTTTTTTCTTTTTTAAATAAAATTTTCTAATTAATTTTATGTTTTTTTTAAAGGGAACAACCGAAATATATGAAGGGCAAACAGCTCATTTCGAATGTCAAGTAGAACCTCTTCATGATGCCAATCTTCGAGTTGAATTCTACCATAATGGAAAGCCTTTAGCATCTGCTTCTCGATTCCACGTGACATTTGATTTTGGATATGTAGCTTTAGACATTACCCACGGTGTTCCTGAAGATGCTGGAGAATATTCGGTTAAAGCCATAAATGCTTTAGGCCAATGTACATCCTCTATTAATTTGAATGTAATTCCGCGTGATAACATTATCAAAGACGCTCAACGTCCTGAAGGATTAGAAAAAATTCGTGAGTTAGAATCACAACAACCATGGAAGCGGCCTGAAGTTCCAGAACCAGTAACTCGTCAACGACCAGTCTTTACTCAACCTCTTCAAAACATTGACAGCGTTCCTGAAGGACAAACTGCTCACTTTGAGTGTCGATTAATTCCTGTAGGTGATCCTACATTGAAAGTTGAATGGTTTAGGAATGAAAAGCCTCTCGGTGACAGCTCAAGAATTACCAAAGTTCATGATTTCGGTTATGTTTCTCTTGATATTGGACATGTACGAGATGAAGATCAAGGTGTTTACATGTGCCGTGCATCCAATCCTCTTGGTGAAGCTGTGACAACTGCTTCAATGAAAGTTAGAACTAAAGCAAGCATTCAATTAGAAAGTCAACATCCTGAAGCTCAGAGAAGAATTGCACAACTCGAGGCTGATAAACCCAGTCGTCCAGAAGAGCCAGAAAAAGTATTCGATAAACCAATTTTCACACAACTTCTTACTGGACCTAATGAGCTCTGGGAAGGTCAAATGGCACGTTACGAATGTCGTGTTGTACCTGTCGGAGATTCAAGCTTACGATTCGAGTGGTATGTAAATGGTGTAGAATTAAAAATGGGTTCTCGATTCCATGTAAGTCATGATTTCGGCTACGTTACTTTAGATATACTAAAAGTAATTCCTGAAGATTCTGGAGTTTACTCGTGTAAAGCTATTAACAATGCTGGAGAAGCTATTTCATCAATATCTCTCAAGGTAAAGGCACGATCAGCTATTGAAAAAGATGCATTACAACCAGATGCTTGGCAGAAAATTCAATTAAAAGAAGCAGAAATGAATAAAGTTCCTGAAATGTTTGTTGATACTACTCCTCAACAAGCTCCAGTATTTACTACACATTTAAAGAGTTATGACAAGCTTCAAGAAGGTCAACATGTATATCTGGAAGCTCAAGTAGAACCTAGAGCTGATCCTAATTTACGTACTGAATGGTTTAAGAACGGTATTCCTCTCCAAACTGGTACACGGCTTCGCTGTACATTTGATTTCGGTCTTGTGACTCTTTCTATCAATGGTTTACGAGCTGATGACTCTGCTCTTTATACTTGTAGAGCTACGAATCTTCTAGGAGAAGCTGTATCTACCTGTAGTTTAAAGATTGATGATAAACATTGGTTGTTGGGCGATACCCTTCATCCAGATGCTCTATCAAAGATCGATGCTTTAGAACAACCAGCACCAAGTGCTCCAGAATGTCCAGAGCCTACATATGAGGAACCAGTATTTATTACACATTTGAATAATGTTGAATGCACTGAAGGAGAAAATATTCACTTCGAATGCAATGTTGAACCATCAAAAGATCCGACAATGAAAATCGAGTGGCTCTTGAATGGAAAACCATTACCAACAGGAGCACGGTATAAATCTACATATGATTTTGGATATGTTGCATTAGATATTAATCATGCATATGAAGAAGATTCTGGAATGTTGACTGTGAAAGCAACTAATTCTAAAGGATCTGCTCAAACAACTGGAACATTAAAGTGTACAAGTAAACAAAATATCTATCTTCAAACTCAACATCCTCAAGGTGCTGTTGGTTTAGAAAAAGTTCAAGAAGTTGATGAAGCCTTCCAATCTAGATCTAGACGTCTAAATGAAGGTCCAGAAACTCAATATCCTAAACCAATCTGGACAGTTCCACTTCAACCAGAATTTAGACTCGGAGAAGCCGAACCTCTCCATTTAGAAGGTCAAGTAGAACCAAAGGATGATCCTAACTTGAAGATCGAATGGTATTTTAATGGAAAAGCTCTCGAACATGGATCTCGTTTCAAAATGACAAGTGATTTTGGCTTTGTTACTTTAGATCTTACTGATGTTTATGATAGAGACTCAGGAATATACACATGCAAAGCTTACAATAAAGCTGGAGAAGCCTTTACATCAACAACTGTTTACTGCACAACTAAAGAGAGTATTATTGAACACTCGCAACATCCAAAGGGTAAAGAAGGATTGGAAGCTATTCAAGATCTTGAAGAATCATTGAAGAAACCAGATGGAAAACCAACAGATGTAGAAGAAGGTCATCCTCCAGTATTTACATCACAGTTTGAAAATCTTACTAATTTATCTGAAGGAGATATTGCTCACTTTGAAGCATCATTAACTCCGACTGGTGATCAAACAATGAAGGTTGAATGGTTTTACAATGGAAAAGCTCTAGAAGCTAGTCATAGAATCAGAACAGTTTATGCTTTTGGTATGGTTGTTCTAGAAGTTCTTGGAACCAAGATAGAAGATTCAGGAAGTTATTCTTGTAGAGCAACAAATAAATGGGGCAAAGCTGAAATATCTGTTAAATTAGAATGTGTTGATAAATCTAAAGGACAAAAACCAAAATTCACCACTCATATTCAGTCTCTAGAGGGTCTAAAAGATGGTCAATCAGTTCACTTTGAATGTACTTTAATTCCTGTTGGTGATCCTCATATGAAAGTTGAGTGGTTCCACAATGGAAAACCTTTGAGGCATTCGTCTCGCTTCAAGATGGTATCTGATTTTGGATTTGTTGTTATGGATATTGCTGGAGTAATGTCCCATGATAGTGGAGAATACGTGTGCAAAGCAAGTAATAAATTTGGTGAAGACTATACAAAAGCAACGATTAAATGCTTTGGAAAAAGTGAAGTTTATCTGGATTCACTTCAACCAGATTCTTTGGCAAGAATTCGTGAACTTGAAGCTTATGGCCGAGAACAGCCTACTTCTCCGACAACTCCAGTTGGTGGACCACCGACATTTATTACTCAGATTACTGACATTACTAAATTAGTTGAAGGACAGTCAGCACACTTCGAAGCACGACTCACTCCTGTAACTGATCCAGATCTCAAAGTTGAATGGTATTATAATGGTAAAAAACTTCCTCATGGTCATCGTTACAGAACTTTCCATGATTTTGGCATTGTCATCTTAGATATTTTATATTGCTACGAAGAGAATTCCGGAGTTTATGAGTGTAGAGCTGTTAATAAATATGGAGAAGATTCAACAAAAGCAACTCTTAAATGTATTTCTAAGGCAAATCTTATTTTAGAATCGCAGTTGCCTAAAGGCATGGAGAAAGGTTTAGAAAAGATTCAGACTCTTGAAGATTCAATGATTAAAATCAAAGATGAAAAAGTTACTGAAGAGAAAGGTAAAGCTCCAGTATTTACCGTTCCTTTGAGTAATATTGATGGACTTCGTGAAGGTGAAAGCGCTCACTTTGAAGCTCGATTAACTCCAACTGATGATCCAAAACTCAAAGTTGAATGGTTCTGGAATGGAAAACCTTTGAAGACTGGATCTAGATTCCGTACATTCTGTGACTTTGGTTTTGTAATTCTAGAAATATCTCCAATTTATCCTGAAGACTCTGGAGAATATAGCTGTCGTGCAACGAATGACTATGGTGAGGCAGTGACAAGTTGCACAATGAAGTGTACTGGGAAGAGAAGTATTATTTTAGAATCACAACTACCAAAGGGTATGGAAAGTACAATCGATAAAATTGCGGAATTAGAAGGTCTTGGTGGAGAACCGGGTCAAATAATACCTGATGATGATACTGGAAGACCACCAGAATTTATCACAACACCTTCGGATTTAACGTTAAGTGAAAATTCCTTGGCTCATTTCGAATGCCGACTTGTACCTATCAATGACTCTAGTATGCGAGTCGAGTGGTTCCATAATGGAAAAGCTTTGAATGCAGGATCAAGAATTAAAACCATTCATGATTTTGGTTTCGTTATTCTTGAAGTAGCTAACTGCTATCAACGAGACTCAGGCTTATACACGTGTAAAGCTACAAATCGTCATGGTGAAGCAACTGCTTCTTGTACTCTTCAAGTTCGAGGCCGTCAAGGAATTATTTTAGAACCTCAGCTTCCTATGAATTTCAAAACTGGAACTGAAAGTATACAAAAACTTGAAGAAGCTTTGTATAAGAAAGATGAAATTCTTGCTGAAGAAGAAAAACCAAATCCACCTAGATTTGTTGTTGAACTAAAAGACATCGAAGTTGAAGAATCAGCACCTAGTCACTTTGACTGTAAGGTAGAACCCGTTGGAGATCCAACAATGCGAATTGATTGGTTCCATAATGGCAGACCATTTGCTACTGGTTCTCGAGTCCATCAAATTAATGACTTTGGTTTTATTTCTCTCGATTTATCATATACTTACGCTAGAGATAGTGGAGAATATGTTTGTCGAGCAACCAATAAATGGGGATTTACTACCACTAAAGCCACAATTACATGTAAATCTAAGAAAACCATTGATTTTGATTCTCAACTTCCTTCTGGCATGAGTGGTGAAAAATTGAAAGAACTTGAAAGAGGACCTGTCAGTGAACCACCACCTCCTGAAGATCTTCCTCGAGTGCCTCCGAAGTTTATTACACAAATTCAGTCAGCAACTGTCGAAGAATCAGAACCTTTAAGGTTCGAGTGTCGTGTTGAACCGAAAGAAGATCCAACTTTGCGTATTGAATGGTATAGAAATGGAAAATTGATTCCTGCTGGTCATCGATACAGAGCTGTATATGATATGGGCTTTGTTGCAATGGATATTCTTTATGTTTATCCTGAAGATTCTGGTGAATATGTTTGTAAAGCAATCAATAATTGGGGAGAAGATACAACACGAGCTTCAGTATCTTGCAAGACCATACCAAATATTATCCTTCAGAACCAAGTTCCAAAAGGTATGAAGAAGTCTGAAGCTTTGATGCAGATGGAAGCAACCATTAAAAAATACACATCAGAAGTTCATTTAACTGAGGACGATCTTTATGATGCTGAAAAGAGACAACCTCCACGATTTGTCACGCAAATTCAAAGTCAAACTGAATTAATGGAAATGAACAGTACTAAATTCGAATGTCAGCTTGCTCCTGTTGGTGATCCGAACATGAAAGTTGAATGGTTCTTTAATGGAAAACCATTGCCTCACAAAAACAGATTTTCACCTATTTATGATTTTGGATATGTTGCGATGAACTTTGGTTGGGTTTATCCTGAAGATAGTGGAGAATATCTTTGCAGAGCTACTAATCTTTATGGAATGGATGAAACCAAGGCTATTATTAAAACTTCTGGTAAACCTGGAATTATTTATGAGTCTCAATTACCTAAAGGAATGAAGAGTATTGAAAAGATCAGAGAAATGGAAGCAGCTTGGCAAGTGTAAGTAGTATTTATTTATTTATTTATTTTAATTCATTATTTTCCTTGGCCAAACTATAAACAAATTAATTTCACATTACAGTGTTTCTGAAGAAGAAATTGAAGAAGACAAACCTCGAACAGCTCCAGTATTTGTCAGTAAGCCAGAGCCTGTCGAAGTTGAAGAAAGTGATTGGGCTAGGTTTTGTTGTCGTGTAACTGGTCATCCACGTCCTAGAGTGATGTGGATCATTAATGGCCACACAGTTATTAATGTAAATAAATAGAATCTTCATAGTAAATTTTATGATTCGATTATTAAACTTAAAGACTTTTTTTTAATTTCAGGGTAATCGATATAAACTGACTTATGACGGAATGTACCATTTAGACATACCGAAAACTCGTCAATATGATCATGGAAAAGTTGAGGTAGTAGCGAGAAGTTCATTGGGAGAAGCAAAATGCGAAACAACTTTAACTGTGAAACCCAGAAGTGATGATTATCGTGGAGTTTTGAAGAATTCTCCAAGACGTGAGTATTTAAGCCCTTGGGGCCGCGGTCGATGGAATACAGAGAATTTGACAGATCCTCCGCAATTTTTAAAATTTTCATCACAAAATCAAAAATCAAAAGTACGAATTAAAACACTTGAAACTAAATACCCTATATATGAAAAATATTATAGCTCACTTTATCCAAATGCGGAGAATCTATCAAAGAAAAAATCTCCAATCGAACGTCAAAGTCATTTTACATGGGAACATCTCAATGAATACGCACACAATTCAAAAAACATGATTCAACATGTAACATATAAATCAGTCAAAAAATTAAGAATACAAACATTATCGATACGGCACATGCATAGTATTCGAGAACAAAACGAATCAGAGACAGAAACAACAAATCCTTTTCCTCATTATAACTCTCATCCTGACATCCAAAAACCCGTAGTAGACATCCCTGCAGCTTCTACCCCTAGCGAAGCTTCTTCTCTGATCATCGAGACTTCCGGTTGTAAACAAAAGCTTGAATGTAATGACGAACGTCGTTTCATGCATACCGCGAGGAAAAACTATGCCAGGTATGGAATACAATACAGATAGTCGGGTAGATGCTTCAAAAAAAAATTATTGTATTTTATATATATTACTATATTTAAAAATGTTTTTATTTTTTTTTTCTATCCGACAAAGAATTGACCTGTGTAAATGATAGAATTGTATGAATTAAATTATTTATTATTTTACACTCATTAAAATAATTGTAATTTAGTAACATTAAATATTATAATGACAAAATTTTATTGCAGGATTCAAGATTTGTAGGTATTTAAGTTTACCAGTTTTTAATGAAATTCATACAAAATTATCATTTTATTATTGTTCGTAATAATTTTTTTCCGTTCTTCATGCTATTTATTTGTGAGTCCTTATCCTGTGATCATTAAATCAGGAGAAAACAACAGCTTGCTTTAACTCCAATATTTGATGATTTTGATATTAACGAAAGATAAAAAAATCAATTTCTACTAAATATAAAATCAATGTATTGACTAAACCTCAAAAACCTTCGTAATTTTATCTTTCAACCGATGAAAAAATAATTAAATTTTCGATCAAATTTGTTGAAAAAAAAATAATCTGTGTTACAAATGAAGTATTGTGTCGTATTTATCCTAGTTTTTAAAATTTAGGATCGTTTCTTAGTGTCGGCATTGAGAATGTTGATGGGCATGTTCATTCATGTGATTTTATTGTAAAATTAATTTTGACGAATAGAACATACGTTTCAAGAAATTCTTTTTTAGCTTGGTACGACATTGGGTTAACTCAATATCAGACAGAACGTCAGGATACAGAACTAGAGCGAGTCTTTGATGAAAGACAACACAATGTTTCTCAGGGAGTTGGAATAGCTACAGAACATCTTGGTCATAAAGTTTTTAAAGAGCCTGATACTGAATGGCAAAAATCAGTGAGAACAAAAAAGAACGAAGAAGGATACTACAATAAATTGATGAATCTCGAAGAAGAACAAATTCTTAAAGAAGCGAGATTAAGAGAAGCAACCCACCAGTTTGCTATTCCTGGTGAAAAAGTTGTGAGCAGTTCAATGGCTAAAGGAATGGCTCAAAAATATCAGGAAAATTTGTAAGTTATCAAAATTATTATTTTTTATTGCAAAAGTTTACGTAAAAATTCTATAGTTATAAATACATTTAATAAAATTAATTTCAGGGAACAATCAACACAAGAAACTACTTTGGTAACATCACCTCCAAGAGTACTGAAAAAATTCATTACTGAGGTCGATATTGATACAGAAAGAGTTAAAGGAACCGGTAAATATCCTCTTAGTCCAGCAGAATCAGCAGTTCATGGTAAAGAGATCCATGTAGCAAAATCTAAACAAGTTCAAAAAGAAACTAAAGGTGACACAGAGATCACCAGAAAGATTACAGCAACAGAAACAACAGAAGTTGAACATAAAGCAAAGACTCAAGAACGTGTTGTCCAAGGTCCTGTAAAACCTGCAATTCCTCCAGTTTTCACTAAGAAAATTCAACCTTGTAGAGCTTTCGAACAGGAACAAGCTAGATTTGAAGTTGAATTTGATGGAGATCCATTGCCAACTATTAAATGGTACAGAGAAGACTTCCCAATCCAAAACTCTAAAGATCTCCAAATTTATACATTTAGTACGAAGTCAGTGTTGATTGTTCGTCAAGTTTTCATGGAAGATTCCGGAGTTTTTTCAGTCGTTGCTGAAAATCGTGGAGGTACAGCAAAATGTAGTGCAAATTTAGTTGTCGAAGAAAGACGCAGACAACCTGGAAGAGGAGGAAGTGTACCCCCCAGTTTTCTTACTACAATTCAAAGCACTTCAGTACCAACTGGACAATTAGCTAGATTTGATGCAAAGGTTTCTGGAACCAAACCTTTAGATGTCTATTGGCTTAAGGTTAGTAGAGTTTCATTTCTCTTATTAAAGTAAAATTAGAAATTATTATTAAACATTCATTAATGATTTGTGCTTTACTCTTAAGAATGGTAAAAAAATCACAGCGGATATCCGATACAAAACTCTTGAAGAGGACAACACTTATACTTTATTGATTCTGGAAACTGTACCAGAGGATACAGCTAAATACGAATGTGTTGCAATCAATAGTGCAGGTGAAGCACGATGTGAAGCTGAATGTAACGTTCGTGGACCGCAATCTCCATCTACGGTGAAACCATCAAAGCCATCACCACCAGGAGTAGAAAAAGCTCCTTTGATTGTTGAGCCTTTGAAAGATCAAACAATCAAAGAAGGAGCAGCTGTTGCGTTTGCTTGCAAAATTAGTGGAAAGCCAATTCCTACTGTGTTATGGAAGAAAGGAGATAAGGTAAGAATATCAATTAAATTTTGTCGTTTTTATTAAATATTTTTCGGTATATAATAAATACATAACTAATAGGAATATTCTATTTAAATCTATTAATGAATATTTCATAGGTTATTAAACCATCAAAATACTTCCAAATGCAAAAAGAGGGAGATCGATGTACTTTGAGAATTTCTGAAGCTTTCCCTGAAGATGAAGGAGTATATAAGTGCATTGCTAAAAATTCAGCTGGAGAAGTCACAACATCAGCTAATTTAAGAGTTTTAGGTAAAATAATTGAATACTTGAAATAAGTTAATTGCTCGAATCAATCATTAATATCATTGATTAAAATTATTTCGTATATTTAGCACCCGAAAGTACTGATGTACTTCCAAAACTAACACCCTTAAGGGATCAAGTTGTTCTTGAAGGTCAACCGGCTCAATTTAAAACTCAAATTAGCCCTCCGAAACTGAAACCTACAATTCAATGGTATCGGGAAGGGCTATTAATTCCTCAATCACCAGACTTTCAAGTAAGAATCACTTATAATGATAATGCTATTTAATATTTTTTTATTCTATAATCAATTAAAAATTTTACTATTCTTTTGTTATCAGATGATACATGAGGGTAACAATGCAGTACTCTTAATAGCCACAACTTATGAGGAAGATTCAGGTGTTTTTACCTGTCGTGCAACAACATCTACTGGTACTGTTGAAACATCAGCAAAACTCATCGTAAAAAGTAAGATGTGAATGAAAAATAATCTAAATTAATAGCTAACATAATTTAAAAAGTGTGATAATGATTTTTCTCTCTATTCTTCAAATTCAAAATGAAAACTAACAAAGTAAATTATATACTTGATATTTTAATCATAAATGAAGAAAGAGAAAATTAAAAATTATTCAATATTTAATGTTCTCATTATCGCTGCTTATGAGATCTTTAATGAAATATAATTTTCCCCTTTAGTTATTGTTGAGAGGCGAATTAATTAACTAGTCGTTTAATCATAATTTACATCGCGTCGGGCAGTTAATTTTATGTATTAAATAATTCATTATAGGAACCAACTAACTTTCTTAAAGATGAAAATTAATTTAATAAGAGTAGAGTGATAATAATAGGGTGGTCCAAGGTATAATAATTAAATGATGGTGGTGCTGATATAAATTTTTTATCTGAACAGTCAAGAAGCCAGGAAAAATATAAACATTATTATCATTGTTATTATTAGTAGTGGAACGTAAATACAAATGATCAATAAAATTTTGTTATGTTTGTCTTCTTTTTGACTGGTTGAATAAAAAAAAGCTTACCTAAATATAAAAAAGAACACTTGAAAGTTAAGCTCAAGGTTAATATCGACTTTTAAACATGTGAGTCTGTAGAATTTGAGCAAAAATAAGAGAGATTGTAAAAGAAAAACGTTTTTAAGTCATTAACTCATATATTCTTAACCCCATTCAAAAAAAATAATTTGAAGTATATTAATTATAGAAATATTCATTATTTATTAAATAATGTTATTAGGAAGTTCATTTGAGTAGAAAAATATCAGTCTACATATAGATTTAATGATAATTTACTAATTAAAAATATTAAATATTTATTTCTGTACAATAAAATGATTAAAATAAAAATGTGCTTTGTGTAATAACAAATAAATAAAATTTATATCAAATATTCTGCTCCTCGAAAAAATGAGAGAGAAAGAAAAAGAGAAACGTCATATAATAATATTAATAGTCACAATAAATAGAGATTGAAATTATTTTTAAATTAATATCCGTGCTTTTCTGTTGAAAGGTGTTTAAAAGTGTTAACTTTTAAATTTATTTTAAATTTCATGAGTGCAGTCGAGAATTTTCCACGAAATACCGAGTTTCCAACACATCGTAATGTAAAGATGCGCGCCTTTTTATGTGCCGTGTGCACTCGTAGCTAGACTTCACATGCTATTTCTGCCTTCGTGATGTGTATTACATTACGTATCTATATTTGGCTACACTCAAGACATAGTAAAGTATCTCATGAACTTTCCACAGTTTCACAAAAACCTCCTCAAGCCTTTGCTTCCTGAATAAAAAACTTGTATGTTTTAGCTGAGTAAGCCAGGTGTTTCTGTAACTCTAAGTTAAGAAAATATTCATCTTTGTATAACGGATGTCTTCACGCTTTTGTAGTTACCGTACCTCTTTTAGTTACGTTGTACCTGACCCACCGTTATAAACCACAATCCAAAACTAAATTAAATTCTCTAGGAATTTTTTACAGTGATACTTGTAAAGATAATGGAAATTGCGTGCCGTTTCTATTTATTCTCTTTCTCTCTGATTTTTTTCATTCCTTTATTCTTCACTATAAAAAAATTGATTCTGTAACCCTGGACATTTTTTGGCGACATCGACCTTGAATCGACCACCTGATGAGTTAAAATCATAATGTTGGAATAAGAAACTTTTGCCGATGAGTCGTCAGAATAAAAACAACTAAGTTGAATCATCGAGGACAGTGACACATCATTGCAACCGATTATACCAAGTGTTAACATCATAGTAGATAAAAGAACAAGAGCAGAGGGAGAGAATTTGATGGAGCAGACAGAGAGGAGTAGAGCTCGCGAACCAATTTCGGAAAAGCCCGGCTAAGCTTGGGTGATTCAGCAGTCCAGAAATAAGCCGACATGTCAGTGTACTCTCTGGTTTCTCTGGAGGAAATATATTCTTGGCAATACAGTCAATTTCTTCAGTCTATGGAAATTCTTGTGGTATGAAGGAGACCAAGATAAATGATGGAATGACTTGAAAGCGATAATAAATTTAATTAAATTCTTTTTTTTTAATCTAAAAATAGGTTCTTAGGTGACAAAAAATAAAGAAAAGTTGAAATATGTATACATTTTTTTTCATTTTCAACAACTGCTGTAATAAATTCAACACTTATTTATTATTTACATCAATAACAATAATAAATGTGTATAAATATTTTAATAAAAAAATATTACTTTATAAATTATATCTATTGTAAATATTTTAATCTCTAAGTATCATCTAGAACATACGATAACATTTTCCATGTTCTAATCAATGTAAATAGTTATTATTCTATTTTTGTACGATATTTTTCTTGAAGTTTAACTAAATGAAGCTCTCAGATAGAACCATTAACTGAGTAGTAATAATTGATAATTTATCATGAAGAAATCAAATCTATTTGTAAATTTTTATGACTTAATATCAGAAAATCAGCACTTTGAGTATAAAAACTACTTTGGACCACCTTCATAATTAATTTTTTCAGCTTAATTTAAGAAGTATCCAGTTTAATACTGGCCGCATTTCAATAAAACCCTGACTTAAGTTTCTTTGGGTTTTATCAAAAGCGACCAGTGAATTATATTTTTTTTTATGTACACTTTATTAACCAACTGTCAAACATATGTCACTTAAACTTTTCTCGCACTCTTATATTTATTACACTTGATTTCACTAAGGAATTTTGCCGTGACTAATATTAAAGAACGTTGAAAAATTTAAATGTAAAGGATAATAAGCAAGAATTCAAAGCGCGGCAAAATGAAGAACAAAATTAATGGATTGCTGAACAGCTCGTGAAATTAATTTTGGTGCCTCTGCTGATGACTTTCAGTAGATGACTGCAAGTCTGAGCTTATGCCGTAGCTGCAGAAGTCAGAACTCTTGCCCCTCCATAATATTTTGAGACTGTCAGAGAGTAAGGGAAGAGTATGATGATTCTCTTAAGCATATATATGCAACGGATACTCTCCTACTGAGTTTCATTTCTACTTCTTCAGGGTCTGATGAAGTAAAAAATAGTGATACGGTGGTGTAAACACGACACACACGTTTTCCAGATGTTTATAATAACATAAAAACAATCACCGACCTCTGCAAATCATTTCTTCACTCTTAATTCCTCCCCTTCTCCTGTCGTTTCGTTTTCTAACATTACGTCAATTTTGGACTCGAAAATAAACTACGGTTAAGAAACTCTAATGTAAATACAAAATCAATCAAATGTGATTGATGACCTAGCTAAATCAACTATTCTTTTTTTATTGTCGTTGTTTACCAAAACAATTTTTTATTTTTTTCTGTTAAAATATAAATGATTTCAAAAAACAACGTCATTAATTTAATTTTACTTCCAGTTTATTTTATTTAGTATAAATAATTCATTAACTTTGAAACAGTATTCACTGATTTGATGGATGCTTATTATAATTTAAGATGTATTGACTGGCATCTATGAAAGTAGTAACATTTAGAAATCAAAAGCTATATTAATAATAAATTAGTCTAAAGATAGAGGCGATCAAGTTTTTGTATTAGTAAGCAAGTGTGTCTAACTAATAGATGACAAGGATTACCTTGATAATTTTTCAATTATTCTAGACGACGAGAATGTAATTTTGCCTAAAAAACAAGTAACTATTAACATGCCAGCCAAACGAGCTCTCTTGGCAACTCTCCATACTTTACGAGCCCGTTTTACATGCATAAATTCTAAAATGCAATTATTATAGACGTACTCTGGGAGACGCATAATTTATTTCTAGTGGCTTTCTCGTCTTCTACATCATTTCTTTCATCATTATATTTTATTGAGCCAAAAACCACTTACTGAAAAATATGAAAATTAGGTCGATATTAATTATACATTCATATACAATTCATTTAACTTTTTAATTAATATTAAATTACCGGAAAAAAAATGTGCTCATAAAAGTCGATGAATAAACTTTTTTGTTAATGATGTACTCTTCATATCTTTCAGCAGACTTTACTTAACATTTTAAAATATAATCATTTTTCATTATAAATGATAATATAAAGTTAATTATAGTTTTTCTTTTTTAAATTTTTTTATAAGGTGCGAAAACTACAATACCTCTTTATAATTTTGAACTAATAAATCACTATTCCAGAAAGGACAGGAGTTCAATATGAAATAGTTGCTTCTGATGATGTATCTGGTTCGGGATCAGAAGCTCGAAAAAAGCCTTATTCTGCAACTTCAGTTGGAGGTCTACAAAAATCAGAATTCAAATATGAGCAAGTACAAAAAGGAGAAGTTACAGAATTAAGTGAGAAAGAGATAGTAATTACATCTCTCCAGCCTGGTGATGAGTCTCTACCATGGAGAAAAGGCAGAGTGATTCATAGAGTTCAACCAAGTGGAATAGCACCTTGGAAAAAGGCTCAACCAACAATAAAAGATGTTACAAAGCAGCAAGCAAAATTGGCTGAAGTTCCAGAAGTAAAACCATGGACAGAAGAAAAAATTGCTTTGAAAAGTATTCCTCCAGTAGTTCGAGAAATACCACGTAAAGTATTGGAAGGAGTGGAATTAAAGCCCTCAAAAATTGAAAAGAAAGAAATTCCAAAGTCAAGTCTAGAATCTGTGGAATTAAAGCCTGTAGTAAAAACTACTGATGAGGACAAAATAACTAAAAGACTTCTGCGGGAGACATATGTAGAAGAGGAAGACACAATTATTCAAGATGTGTCACGAAGTGAGCAAGAAGTAGAGAGGAAAGTAAGACCTTGGACTGAAGAAAAGCGTGAATTGAAACCTTCAAAGCCAATTAAAAGAGAAACTATTAAGGAAAGTATTGAAGAAGTTCAATTAAAAAGAACAAAAATAGAAAAAAAAGGAATAGATAAACCTATGCTAGAAAATGTTGAATCAAAACCAGTAACTAAAACAGTGGTCGATGAACAAAGTTTGACTTTAGAATACTATGAAGAAGATGATTCATCTTTGTTGAAAGTATCAGACATATCAAAGGACATTTCAATCAAAAAAATTAGAAGAGCTGAAAAACAAGAAATCATCCAAGAAAGGACTGATAAAACAAAACCTTGGACTGAAGAAAAAGTTGTTTTAAAGAAGTCTAAACCATTTAAGAAAGAAGTCATCAAGGAAAAAATAGAAACAGTAGATTTAAAACCCGCAAAAACAGATAAGAAAGATATACAAAAACCAAGCATTGACAAAGTCGATTTGAAACCGGTAACACAAGAAGTTGATACAACAGTAAGCAGCATTAGTGATTATTATAAAAAAGAAGATGTTGCTACATTAAAAATATCTGAGGAAGTTCTCGCGAAATTAAACAAAAAACCACAGAAACCAGCAGTTACGGTTGCAACTAAAGACGAAGTAAGACCTTGGACAGAAGAAAAAATTTCATTGAAACCTTCGAAACCAGTTGAAAAGGAAGAAGAAAAAGAAACTGTTGAAATAACAAAGGATATTATTGAAGAAGCAGAAAGAATTGAATTAGGTACAGTGGATTACAAAGTAGAAGAAGATACTATTTTTTCAGATATTTCTAAAAAAGAAAAAGTTCAAGTGGCGAAAAAACCTGAAGTGATACCTTGGATTGAACAAAAACGAGAATTAAAACCATCAAAGATTAAAAAGACTGAAATACCTAGACAAAGTATTGAAGAATTTAAATTGATACCAACTTCACGAAAAACGAAACCGGAAGAAGAAAAATCTGATAAAGTTAAATTAAAACCCGCCCAAAGGTTTAAATCCGACGAAAAGAAGCAAGAGGAAGTTAAATTAAAACCAATTCCACGAAAAGAGCAAGCAAAAGGAGACCAAAAAGAAGTTACTGAAGAGCAGGTATTAATTGAGAAATTTGTTAAAGAAGACATTTCAACACATTTAGATGTATCTAAAGCTGAACAAGTTGACATTAGCACCGACAGACTAGCTCAACCAAAACCATGGACTGAAGAAAAACTTCAATTAAAAAAATCTCGCCTGATTCAAAAAGAAATTATTAAAGAAACTTTGGATACAGTTGAGCTAAAACCAGTGAAAAAAGAAATCACTACTAAAGATAAAAAAATAGTCAAAGATACAACGTCTCAATTTATCGAACAAGAAGGTACTAAATTAATTAAAGTTACAAAAGATGAAGTTACTGTACAAGATCAAAAAATTGAACAAACTAAGTTAGATAGGAAAAAGGCAACAGAAATTTCGTATCATGAAGTCGAAGATATACAATTATTAGAGGTTGATAGAAAAGAGAACATTACTGAGAAACGAACAACTGAAGAAGTTCCAGTACCTTGGACACGAGGTAAAAAGCCAAAAGAAATTTTGAAACCTGAACAAGTTAAACCTAAAGAAAAAACAGAAGATAAGCCTGAAGAGATGTCTCAAATACCTTGGATACGAAGTAAAAAACCACAAGAAAAGAAACTTAATGAAGTTTTACCACAAGAAAAGACTGATGAAAAAGAAGAGATTGCAAAGACTAGTATTTCTTGGCGTAAACAACAAAAGAAACCTAAAGAAATAGTGCCAATTGTCGAACAAGAAGATAAGACGTTATTGCAAGTTGATCAGACTGGAGAAGAAATAATTGCTAACAAAGAAGAGGTTGCAGTTCCATGGATAAAAGGAAAAGCAACACCTCAAAAGGTAAAACTTGAGGAATTAAAGCCAGAAGAAATTGAATCTGAAGAAGATAAACCATCTCAGACATCTCAATTACCATGGATGCATAAGAAAGTTAATAAAGTTGTTAAAAAAGAAGAAGAATTAACAGAGGACATTAAATCAGTAACCTTAAAACCTACTAAAAGAGATAAAAAACCAGAGAAACTCGAAGAGAAAGAGAAAATTACTTTAAAACCTGTAAAGAAAATTCCGAAAGGAGAAAAAGACAAAATTGATATAAAATTAAAACCGATACCAGAAAAAGAATTAATACCTCAGCAGGTTCATGAAATATCCGAAGAAGAGAAACCAATAGAAATTTCTGAAGCTCCTTGGCGACATACGCAAAAAAAAAAAATAGACGAAAAAGTTGTAAAAGAAATTGAGGTTGAAGATTGTAAATGTGTAAGTTTGAAACCTACTCAACGTATTGAGAAACTAAAAAAATCTGAGGAAAAAAAGGAAATTACATTAAAATCTACTGAACGTCGGCCAAAAGATGAAACAATAATTAAAAAAGTTCAACTTGAACCGATGTCGAAAGAAACAGCTGTGTTAATGCCTCAGAAAGTTGAAGAACAAATTGATTCTGAAAAACCTGCAGAAAAATCCGAAGTATCATGGCGTCGTAAAACTCAAGTACCAAAAGAAAAAAAGATTACACGGGAAGATGGAGAATTAAAAGCTGTTGATGAAATTAAAGGAATTTCTGGAGTAGAAGTAACTCAGCTAAAACCGGAAAAAGTAGATGGAAAAATCGTCATCAAAGTAGGTGAGGTCGAAGATTGGAAGTCTATCAGTTTAAAACCAACAAAAAAAGATGATAGAGTTGAAAGAATAAATGAAAAAGAAGAGATTACTTTGAATTCTTTTAGACAAGGACAAAAGAAACAAGATATTACAGATGAAATTAAACTCAAGCCGATTTCTCATAAAGAATTGTCTGAAGAAAAAAAAATAGAGAAAGGTCTTGAACCGGTGCAAGAAGAGGTAAAGCCCGAAGAAAAACCGACAGAAAAAACTGAGCTTCCGTGGATAAAAAGTGAAAAGAAAAAAATTGTTCACAAGAAAGAAACTGTTGATAAAACATCAGATGCTCAAAAGATTCCTAAGACAGAAATAATCGAAACCATGGAAGAAACGAAAGTTTCAAAGAGAAGACCCAAAAAAGTGGAAGAAAAGGAGAAACCAGAAGAAATCAAATTGAAACCAGTTCAAAGAATTAAACCCGAAGAGGAGAAACCAGAAGAAATTAAATTGAAACCAGTTCAAAGAATTAAACCCGAAGAGGAGAAACCAGAAGAAATCAAATTGAAACCAGTTCAAAGAATTAAACCCGAAGAGGAGAAACCAGAAGAAATTAAATTGAAACCAGTTCAAAGAATTAAACCCGAAGAGGAGAAACCAGAAGAAATCAAATTGAAACCAATTCCACGAAAATTGAAGTCAGAGAAACAGAAACCTGAAAAAGTCGATTTACAACCTTTATTTGTTGTTGAAAAATTAGACAAACCTGAGCAACAAAAATTTGTGGCTCCGTGGAGACGTGAACAAAAACCAAAGGAAGTCTTAGAAATAAAGCCGGAAGAAATAAGAATAGTTGAATTACCAGAAGAGGTTGTAACAGTTGAAAGTGAAGTGATGTGTATGACAATTGATCAAAAATCAAAGAAATCGAAAAAAGCAGTAGAATTCAAAGAAGAAGTTGAAATTGTTGCTATAGACCAAGAGAAAGTTGTTCATGAAGAGAAAAAGATAGAGGAAATCTCTGAAATCATTAAACCACAAGAAATTACGGATCAAGTTGATGAGATTAAAGAAGTTACTGAAATATCTTGGAGAAAAAAGAAATCTTTACCTCAGAAATCTAAAGAGTTATCGGTAAACGTCGCGAAAATTGAAGAAAAAGAGGAAGAAAATGAGGTTATTACCTTTAATCGTGGAAAGAAAATAATAAAGTTAGACGAAGAAATACCTGAAAAAATAGTACTTAAGCCTGTCAAACATGAGAAAATTCCAGAAGAAAAACCAATTGAAGAATTACACTTGAAAGATATACCACAAAAAGAAATGCCTAAAGAAAAATGTGTACCTGTTGAAGTTAAACCTATATCAGAAAAGCCTGCAGAAATCATTAAAAAGTCTACAGAAGATATTACAATAATTAAGAAAAAGAAAACAATGACAATCGGTGAACCAATAATTAAGGAGAAAGATATAGCACCAAGATTTATTCAAAAACTTCAGCCAGTTATAGTTGAGCCTAAAAAGTCTGCTAAATTTACTTGCACTGTTGTTGGTACTCCTACACCTGCTATTACATGGTACAAAAATGAGCAAGAACTCCATGCAACTGAAAGATATGTTATGACAGTCGTTGAAACAACTGCATCATTAGAAATTGTTCAAGCAACTGAAGAAGATGCTGGAATGTATACATGTCGAGCTTCCAATCGAGCTGGCAATGCTTTCTCTACTGTAAACCTTATTATTTTCGGTAGGCTAGAGTTTGAGCGTGTTAGGAATGATAACAATTCTAATTTCATATTTGCAATAAAAAGTCCTAATAGTAATAGTAAAAGTAAAAGTTCTAATATTTAATACTTATTAAGAACTTATCGGAATAATGATTTGACTTTATCCTTATAACATTTAATAGATGCGTCTTTTTTTTTAGATGAATGTTATATTTCGCATGATTTGTGATATTTTTTATTTTTTCTATTTTTCATCGACAAAAAATAAAATGTTTTCTTTTTTTTTATTTAGAAAAAGAAGAAGAAGGCATTGCTCCGCATTTTATCACACCGATAAAGCCGTTGGTAGTTCAAGAACATCAGCCAGCAAAATTAAAGTGCATTATAACTGGTACACCAGCACCAGAGGTCAAGTGGTACAGAGGAGAGAGAGAAATAAAACCACAAAAAGGAGTAGAATTTACATTCAAACCGGAAACCGGTGAAGCAAAATTAACTATTTTAGAACCTACACCTCAAGATGAAGTAATTTATAGAGTTCAAGCGGTTAATAAATTTGGAAGAGCTGAATGTCGGGCAAATCTAATTATCAGCAATGTTCCTATTATCTCTAAACCCCAAGTTCTTCATGCTCCAAAAATCACTAAACCTGTAGCAGCTATAATAGCTTATAAAGGAAAAGAATTTAGTCTCACTTCTGAATATGAAAGTACACCTAAACCCGAAGTTAAATGGTTTAGAAATGGTGTAGAAATAACTCCAGCTGACAATAAAGTAATAAAAATCTATGAAAATACAGCAGAATTAACAGTTTCTGATATCACAAAAAAAGATTCTGGAAAATATGAAATTAGAGTTAAAAATCCTGCTGGGGAGGTAAGGAGTTCAGGTTCAGTGACTGTAAAGGAACGTGAAGAAGTTGTTGAAGAAACTGAAGAGCAAATAAAAGCCCCAAGATTTATAGAACCAATAAGACCTCAGATTGTAAACATCGGAGAGGTTGTCATTATGGAGGCTACAATAGATTCTTATCCTGCTGCTTCATTCCAGTGGTTTTTTGAAAGCAAACCTTTGGAAATTTCACCTGCATTCAGAATTGTTACAAAAGTAAATCGATCAGTATTACTAATAAAAGAAATGAAACCGGAAAATGCTGGTAGCTATACTTGTAGAGCAGAGAATGTTATGGGTTCTATTACTTGTACTGCTAGTATAAACATTTTGGAAACTACTTGGGAAGAATCTACTGAATTGGTTTCACCGACTTTTGTTAAGAAATTATCTCCATTACGAGTAATGGATGGAGAAAGTGTAGACTTAACTTGTATTTGTAAAGGTAAACCTACACCAAAGATACAGTGGTTCCATGATGAAAAACCAATCAAAGAAGGAAAAGAAATAACAATATTCCAAGACTCCGAAGGTGTTTGTAGTCTTGCTATTAACGAAGTTTTTCCTGAAGACGCTGGTGAATATACTTGTCGGGCTGTTAATCCAGTTGGAGAGGCTGTCTGTACTACATCACTTATTGTTGAAGGTATATTTTATTTTCTGCAAAAAATCTGTATCATTTACTTACTTTTAGTGAAAATAATTCAATTTATTGCAGCTTATGAATATGTTCCGGATTCGGAAATCGCTTCTTCAGCTATTGCTACTTCACTAACTGGACAGAGTGGTTCCGAAGAAGATCTTCTGTCTCCAAAAGTAATTTCATTATAATTATTATTAAAAAAAAAAATTAAATGATTTAATAAATAATTGATTTCATTATTGTGATTAATCAGGAGATACAACTTTCTGATACTGACACTGAAGAGTTCGCTCCAAAGATTGTTAAATCACTTCCTCAACTGATACCTACTAAAGACGGTGAACTAACTCGGTAAGTTTTTTATTTTCTGTGTTATAAGAAATGTAACTTCAAAATTTATTCAATTTTTATTTTATTACAGATTGGAAGTCAAAGTGAAAGGGAAACCTAAGCCACAAGGAAAGTGGTATAAACAAGGAATTGAAATCGTACCTTCACAAGAATTCCAAATAGAAGAGTTTGAAGATGGAACTTCAGTCTTAACTATATCAGAAACTTATCCGGATGATACTGGTGAAATCATTTTTGAAGCACATAATTCTTTAGGTGTTTCTACTACGACTACGTATTTGTCAGTAGAAGGTACTTATTATAATCTAGCAAACAGAAAAAATTTAACCAATATAAATATTTCTTTATTAATTAATGAAAATGTCTGTTTAATATTGAAAAAGTTATTTTCAGATTCATCAGCTTCGCTTTAAATATTTTGTCCGCAACTTAAAACCTTATCAACTTTCCTTTACACTTCAAAACATTTGAACTCATTCTGAATTTACTCATAAAACTTTTTACTCAATTTAACTCACAATACTTATGATATATTACTAATGAAAATTATAAATTAACAGGAATTCTTGGAACAAAAGAGTACAGAAAACCAGAATGGGTTACGCATATGGAAGAAATGCAAGAAGCTTTGCGAGGTAAGAGTGAACTCAATTATTCACAAAGTAGCATGCTGAGTGTGCGTGGCTACGATTTTTCTACTGATAGTTTGGATAATCAAGCTTTACGAGAAGAAGAATCGTCTCATCGAGATAGTTCAACAATTATAAGTGAGTCTTCTTCAACAAAAACCCTAATGAACATTGATGAGGATAATAAGAAAAATTTTGAAGATGTTGGAGACAGCCCTGAAAGTTTTTTCTTGACTAAGACAAGTATAAAGAATTTATCTGAAGAAGAAAGAAAATTGAAGTACGATCATAAAAAGAAATCATATATTAAAACAAAAAGATCAAGCAATTGTAAGAAAAAAGAGTCTATAAGTTATCGAGAAAAAAAACGTTTTTTGTTTTCAAAAGATGAAACAGATAACGAAGAAACTCTTTTGTCACCATCTGTAAGATCATCAAGCTCTCATAAATATCATCAAAGTCGAGCTCTTGATAGAAATTTTTCGTTGACTTCTAAATCAATGAAAAATAAAACAAAAAATGTAAAGAAAGCCTTAGAATTTGAAGTTCGTAAAACTACTTCTCCATCACCATCAAGAGAATCAAGTTCTCCACGGTTTGCTTCATTAAGGATATCACTACCAATGTCCAAAGTTAATACTAAAATTACCGTGAAAAGTAAAAATATAGAAAGAACTTGTGTTAAATCAAAAGCTCGAGCAAGTTCAGTAAAATCACCATCTCCAACACAAGCTAAAAAAGCAAAAACATTAGAATTAAGAGAAAAATCTCAATCACCATCCCCGACACGTAAAAGGCAAACTGTTGATATTGATTCAGAAATACATAAGTTGGAGTTACTGGAAAAATTGAAGTGTCAAAAAAAAATCAAAGTCGATCGGGATATTGATGAAGAGTTTCCTCCATTACAAATAGATTCTGATTTTTCAATACCATCTGAGTTTTATAGAGGAATAAGTGATAAAAAGTTACATACTGGATATGTTCAAGTGTCAGCTCCAAGTTTTTATTTATCTCCTATCGAAGAAAATAGTGAGACTTCTAGCAATAGCAGTCGGAGTAAACGCGAAGACATAAAATATAATCAATACACTACTTTAAAAGAAGAATCTATAGCAAACCGAAAAGAAAGCCAAGATGATTTTGAAGGGCATTTTTATTCTGCATGCAGAAAATATCATACTTATCCAAAATCAAGAATTCCTGTATTGAAAAAATCAAATGAAAAAAAATTTAAAATGATGGATCCACGAATGTATCCACTAGAACCTCGAGAAGTAGATTTGGATGCCTTTCAACAGCTCCATACAGCTAATAGTCAAGAAGAATTACAGGAATTTTTACTTTTAGAAAGTCAATGTAGTGGAACGATGGGATTAGCTAATAATATTTCTTCACATGAAATGTTTTATCATGAAGGGCCAAGTGAAGATGATAGGGGTACAATGTCAGGTAGTTTTATTATCAACTAAATCATTAATATTGCTTATACTTTTATTGATTTTGTTTTTACTAATTATGCATGAATTCGTGTTTGATATTAAATTAATTAATTAGATTTCTGATACCGGAATTGCCACAGTCACACACTCACCAAATATTTAAGGTATTTATTTAGTTAATACATCTTTATTTCAATAGCTATACATTTTGAATTGTAGAAAACATAATTACTAATAGACATTGTGATCACTTATTTTTAGCATCTCAACAAATTCCACGGTTTATTAAAGAACTCACTGATATATATGTTAATGCTGGTCAGAAAGTAGTATTTGAAGCGATATATTCAGGAAATCCTGCACCGAGTAAGACAATATAATTACTATTGAAAAAAAGTTTTAATAGATTGTTATTAACACTTTTTGAATTTTTACAGTTGTCGTTTGGTTTAAAAATGATAAAATGGTGGCAAGTTCCGCTAATGTTAAAATAAGCCTTGATGAAGATAAAAAGAAAACAATTTTAATAATTTTAAGAGCATCACCTCAAGATGAAGGATTTTATGTCTGTAAAGCTACAAGTGATATTGGATTAGCAGTTACAAAAGCAAAATTACGAGTCTCTGGTAAATTATATATTTTATTGTATACTATGTATTTCTACGTATATATAAACCTGTTTTTTAATGTAATTTTTTAGGTATTTTAGAGGAAGCTCTAGATGATTGGCAAGTAGAACAGCCTGAAGAAATACCGGAAGAAAAACCAAAAAAGAAAAAGAAACCAGAAACGAAAAAGGCCAAAGAAACAAAGGAAAAAATAAAAGCTCTGAAAGTGAAAGTTGAAAAGAGAAAAGAAGCTCTTAAAGAAAAGGCTATACCAAGTGAACAGTCTGAAGAAAAGTTAGTATACATATATGTACATAAATATAATTATTTATTTATTATATCTTATCTTTTACAGAAGCATTGTAGATGTTGAAGAAACACAAATATTGGAAACTACTGAAACTATTAAACCTGAACAATATGAAGAAACAAAAGCTCATCGTGTGATTCTAATTAAAGAACCAGTTATAACTGAAGCGACAGCTTTATTGAAGAAAGTAGATCAGAAGACTCAGAAGATTCAACCTAAACCCGATGATCGAGCTCGACCAATTGTTGAGGAAGCAGAGGCATTAGTTGTTTCATCGGAATTGGTTACTGAAGATACTGTTACCGATTTCAAAGTCGAGTCTACCTTTGATCGAGCTCAAGTTACATCTGAAACTTTTGAAACGGTTTCAGTATCTGAAGTACATACAGAATCTAGTATTCAAGAGCTAAAAAAAATTGATACGAAGACTAAAAGAGCTAAAAAGACCGTAGTGACGGCTGAAGAAGGTGTTATTGAAGTTAAACAAGCACAAGTTGAAGAATATCTTGAAGAAAAACCAAAGAAAAAGAAGAAGGAAAGGAGACGTGATATCGTTGAGGTGACAGTTGAAGAGTATAAGGAAACTTTACACCGAGCAGTTGAGGAAGTAATGGAACTTGTTAATGCAAAAGAATTTGGTCCTGGGGAATCCCCATTGCGAGAATTGGCAACTATTGGATTTTTAGTTCGTCAAGGAGTTCCTGTTAGTGAAATTAATGAAAGTTTGTATAGAACTGATCAATTTCCTGCTTTAAGAACTCCAGATGCGCAAAATGCTTTAGTACAATTAGTAGAAAGAAAAGGTCATGGAGCCCTAATTACTCAAGTACTCACTGAGGAAACAACAACTGATGAAGCTTTCGTTGCTGCTACTGTTGGCTTCCGAGCGTTTATGAGGATGATTGAACTTCAACATACTACAGTTGAAGAAGTGATTACACATTTTGCACCAGAAGATTTCCGACCAAGAGCTTGGGAAGTAACAGAAATTACAGAGGTATTGAAAATTTTTTATATTATGTAATATTTATTATCAATTTAACCAATTTATACAACAAATATTTTAGGCTGACGCGGAAGAACACGTTCTAGAAAGAGTATCCGTTGTCCAAACTACTGAGGTCCGCGTAATGGGTGAGTTACGAAAAATCGGTGTGACATTTGAAGTTTAAAGAAATTTGATTAATCTAAATAAAAATAATATTTTTAAAGAATGTATTCTCGATATTGAAGTTTGTGTGTGGCTGAGTATTTTGGAGTATTTTAAATAGTGTAAATAATAAAGCTTTAGTCAGACTTTGATGCATGTGAATTTGTAAATTTTTAAAATAATAAATTAATTTAATTTAATTGTATGTTAAACTGTGTTCAACACAGTCAATAGAGAGTCAAAAGAAAAAATTTATTAACATATTTACAATGTATTAATGTGTTTGAATTTTTTTCTAGCTTAAAAATTGCATATATATTTTTGTTTTTTTTTTTTCAATTTTTAATGTGTGGTATTCTGTGTATTTAATTAAAAAAATTTTAATAAACTGAAAAAACAGACTTTGAAAAATGAGTGTCAATGTAAATTTATATTCTTTAATCCCAAAAAAAAATTTTCCATTTTTTTGCAGAGAGGCGTGAGGAGAAAAAATCGATTCTGAAGCAAGATGTTCGCGAAATTAAAGGTTTGCTGTTACGAGTTACAATGATGCATGAAAGATATATTCTAGTAATGAAATTATATCAGATCAAGAAAGATTATCTCATAGAAAATCAGGGAATTACTTATATTAGAATAAATGAATATTTATTAATTTATATATATTCAGTAATTATAATCTTTCTCGAATCTTTCTTATGAACAGTTAATCGTGTAATAAAAATTTTCTATTATAGCATAGATGATCTTAGAACTTTTGATGCTTCGTGTAATTAAAAACAATTTATGAAAGATGTGTATTCTTTTCATATTCTTTCAGATGCATGAAGCTTTCTTGACAAACAGTATTAAGCCAGTGCAAATACTTACCGCTTATGCCGCTATGCTTTCTACATGCAGTATCTTCATTCAGTTCATTTTGAAATGCAATAAAATTAAAAAAATATATATATTTATAGTATATCCATGTTAGTTTCCTTTAGAAGCATCCAGCTGTATTTTCATCGTTTATATTTAAGCTAAAAATTAGCAGCTTTTACTAATATCATGCCGTAAGTAGAAATTAGATTCCTAAATAGTGATTTTTGACCCATCTTTGTTAAATGATTTTTAAACCAATCAAATATACTGTGACTAAAAGTAAAAAAAAACCCATATACATTAAATGTTTGTTTTCTGATATTGTCTTATAATTTTGAATCTATTGCATATGACGAATATTAGAATTATTTGAATTATAAATTAGTATTTATAAATAAATTTTATCGTAACAAGTGTTTGCAACTTGCTATTATATGTGTCAAGTAGTATTAAACAGAGATACGTTTTATTTTTTAAAGTTAATTTTCCAATTTAAGATGAAATTAATAAAAGTCCAATACGTTTCTCTGTATTTATATTGGTTTGACTTCTGTTAATCGATAAATAGTAAAACAAAAATATATTTAGAATAAATTATAGTAGAATAAGTAAATATATTTATATCAGAAGTGTTGACATAAAATACTTTGTAGAAGAATATTTATCTCAAAATACGGCACCTCTTCAGAAGCATGGCATATCTATTACTCTAATTATCTCTCTACACTATACAATACTATTAATTATTTCTATTTGCTAGCACTTATTTTCTTTACTCATAAATCAAAACAACCGCACTTACGCTGATTAGACATCGTCGCATGAATAGCACGGCTGCAGTTTGTCTCAAGGTATTGTCGATTCGCCAAGCTCTCAAGCAAACATTAAAAACTAAGTTATTAAGTAAAACTCGTAGTTAAATTAATTTATTTAAGGGATTATTTATTTTTTTATTTTCAATTTGACATATACACTACGTATTTACACATACCTTGTTGACATACTTTCCACAGAATACGAGGACACTCGGAAAGAACACGTTACACTGCATAAAGAAATAAAACCAGAAGAATACGGGCCTCGTGTCATTGAGGATGTTGCGGATAGGGAAAAACAGGAAATTGAGGAAGAAATAATTGTTGTTGAAAGGGATGATAAGGGTAAATTAATTCAGAAAAACATTCCGGAAGTAAAGAAAACAGATGAAAAAGTAGCGATAGTTGAAGAAGAAATAATTACAACAAAACGAACCTTTAAACCCAACAAGGAAAAAGAAATTGAGATAGAAATTGAGGAGGAGGAGGAAGAAGAAGAAATAATTAAAGAAGGTGAAGAAAAACGTAACAAGAAAATAATTAAAGCAAGAAGATCAAAGAAAGGTGTTGATGAAATCGAATTTGAAGAAGTGGAAGATTTGGAAACAATTCAAGATAAAGCAGTAATGTCAATACCAGTCAATATTTCTACTCAAAGTCATGAAGTTGTTCCGATAACAAGAACTGTTGATCAAGCACCAGGAAAACCTGAAATAGAGTCTGCTAAGTTGGCTTTGGACACTGTAAATGCGTTAATTGGAGCATATATTCCAGTGCAAGAAAGTGAAAATAACATTGATAAGTTTAAACCTGAAGAAAGAAAAGCTTCTCTGTCTATTTCCCCTGTTGAACCTTATTTAATTACTGAAACAACTGTTCAAGGTTCACACGGAGAATTAAAAGGTACTTTCAAACCTACTACATATGAAGCTAAATCTGGAGTAGTGACAAAACCACAAGAATGTCTTCAAATCACAGAAACTCATCCAAGTGATGCTAAACTTACAGAATTAATATTAAAACATGCATTAGCTACTCAAAAAGCAGAAATGAGTGTAACTGTTCAAGAAGCGCCAACTATCATCGAGACTACAATTAATCAAAGTGAACTTCCAATTGAAAATTTTATTACTCCCGCAACTGTTAAAGCTGAAAATTCTGTTTTGCCAAAAGTTAGTTTATCAATATATGAAGTCAATGAAGGATATACAGAAGATAATTTGATATCGCCAAAAACTATTTCAGCAAAACCCAAAATTAACATTAGCCCTATGGAGCCATTAACTGTTGAACAAGTACAGACAGAAGATAAACCAGGTAAATATTATCCTGAACTAATTGTGCCAACAGAAATAGCAACAACCACTGTGATAGCACAAAAACTTCTTGTTACTGAAGAGGTTTATGCAACAGAAAAAGAAGGAGAATACATTCTTGGTAAACTTCCTATAACACAAAAAGCTCAAGTAGGCGTTTCAGAAGGTGGCGAAGCTCTTATAGTTGGAGAACAACCCATTCAAGAAATGGAAAGTGTCTTTATTCCTGAGAAAAAATTAGATGGATTTGAAGCTGAAACAAATGTGAATGTTTTGGAGAGCATTACTGTTTCTACTATAGATGCTCAACATCAAGAAGTCAGTTTAATTATCGAAGAAGCTAAAAAAGCTCAAGCTGATTTCAATGTTATTGAAAAGACTTCTATATTTACTTTAGAAACAATTACTTCAGAGTCAGAATCTGAATATAAACCTGATGAAAAACCTGTAGGGAAAATTGCTGATAGTTCTATTCTTTCTCTTGAAATTGGAAGTACATCAAATACAATTGTTCAAGAATCTGAAGGTGTTTACAGTGAACAAATAAAACCTAATTCTGCAATTGCTGAAACAACCCTTAGATCTGAAGAACACGTAATGGTTTCTCAAATAGAGACAGCAGATGTACCTTCGAAATTTACTGATGACTTAAAATATGTTACAGAAAGGGGAACCGTTTCAGTTCAATTAATAGAAGCTAAAATGGTACATGAAACATTCACTCATGATCGAGAAGATAAATTCAATGAATTAACAAAACCTGAAGAAAAAATGGTTGATTTTACTTTTGATGCTATAAAAGGTATTCAAGTTTATCAAACTACCTCGATAGATAAAGAAGGTAGTTTTCAAATCTATGAAATGCCAGAAAGCCATCGAGGAAAAATTGTACCAACTCATTCAATAACTTCTGCTCAAGTCGAAGAAACCCAATCTGAAGATACTCTTGGACGTGTTAAAGATTTAATCCTGCAAACTGAAAAAGCCAGAATCGAGCATGAGAACTTAACTGAAACTATCGTGGATGTAACAGTTCTCGCAGAAGGCCTTAAGCCTGTAGAAAAAGATAACATACCAAAATCTAAGTTTGCTCAAATTGGATTAAATGAAATAGAAAGTGTAAAAACGACTGAAATTATTGCGAATGAAGCAGAAGAAGAATTTAAAGAAGTACCTAAATTTGAAACGTTTACAGCAACAACAGGACTTACAACACAATCAGCTATCGAATTTCAAGAAATCAGAACTGAATCACCGACAGGAGAATTCACTGAACAAACTCGAACTAGTGAAAGAGCTCAACCATCAACTATTCCTTTAGAATCTATTGCCATTAATGTTCAAGAATTTGTAGAAAAAGAAGGATCTTATCAGAAAGATATTAAACCTGATAGTAAAATAGCAAATATTGATTTAACTGAAACAAGACCTGGTGCAACTGTTCTTGAAATTATTATTCACGATACTGAAAATGTATATCATCCGGAACAAAAACCACAAGATTTTGTGGCAACGAGTTCAGTTGATAGTCGAACAATTGCTACAAAATCAGAAGTTTTAATTGAACAAAGTGCTGGTAAAATACTTGAAGATAAGCCAACGACTGTAAAAGCATTTGGAACTCAAGAAGCATTTAACGAATTAATTATTGTTGAAACAAACATTGATGAGACCGAAAAACCCAGACCTAAAGAAATTACACCATTGCAACAAAAAGCTCAAGTTGACGTGACAACAACAGAAAATATTTCTGTTATAGAAGTTATAGTAGTTGATAAAGAAGAAATTCTAAAAGCTCAAGAAGAAACAGAGAAAAAGAAAATTATGATGAATTTAACATCAACTCATACAGTTGCCCAAACTGAAGAAACAATTATAGCTAATAATATTGATTTATTTTCTCAAAAAAAACCTAAATCTGAAAGTGCAGTTTTACATCAAAGTGGATTAGAAATTGCACAACAAACTGAATTAACAGTCTCAGAAAAAGAAGCCATACTTTCACAAGATGTTACACCAGAATTTAAAAAAATTGATGTTAGTTTTACAGAAGGTGAAGGTGTTCAAATATATCTTATTCATCCTGAAGATAAAGAGGGTGATTTAAAAGATAAAATGAAGCCTAAATCTGTTGAAGCATCAGTAGATTTTGAAGTTCAAAGTGTAGCATCTAAATATGAAATTTTAAGTGATACAGGCATAGGAGAATTTACTCCTCAAGTTGTAGAAGATGTAAAACCACGAACAATTTTGATGCCATTTGAAACTGCAGTTGCAGAAGAAGTTCAAACACGAGAAACTGAAGTACCATTTACTGATATAAAACCAGGCAATAGAATAGCAGATATGATATTTGAAATCGGAGAAGGTGTAGTTGTATCTTCAGTAGAAACTGGAGACAAAGAAAAACCCCTTGCAGAGAATGAAAAACCAGAAAGTAAATTGGCAATTTGTTATTTTACATCTCATCCAGTTGCGGAAGCAACTGAAATGATTCTTCAAGATGGCATTGGTAATTTGAAGTCTGAAGTAGTACAACCAGCAACTGCATCAATCGATCATATTGTTCACAAAAGTATAACAACAACAGAAACTTCTACAGGTGATCGAGTAGGATTCATAGACTCATTTATAAAACCCGAAGAGAAAAAAGTTGATATAGCATTTGAAGATACTCAAGTTGGTTTGAGTATTACTGAAACTGTTACTTCGGATCGAGAGAAAGAGTACGTCACAGAAGAATATATTGAAAAACAAAAAGCTACTTTCAATTTAGATGCTCATAAAGTAGCTGAACGTACTGAAATTACAACTGCTTCAGGAATCGATGAATTTAAGAAAGTTTGTCCAACATCAGTAATAGCTAAAGAAAAACAACTTTCATTTGAAGGAGTTATCCAAACAGAAATATTAGTATCAGAGAAAGAAAATGAATTAATTGAAAAGCCAACAATTGCAGTAAATAAAGCAGAAATAACTATAGGTGACCAAGGACACGTAACGAGTATTTCTGAAGTAATGGTAGCAGATAGTGAAGATTCACTAAATTTATCTGAAAAATCAACAGAAAGAAAGGCTTTAGTAAATATTACTAGTCACACAGTTGCAGAGAAAATAGAAACTATAACAGATACAAGTACTGGAATACTAGAAGAACTAAAACCAGTTTATGCAACTGCTATGCTTTCTCAGCTTCCTTTAGAACCTATCATAAACACTGAAACTCAATTATCTGAGTTGGAAGGAATACTCAGCAAAGATAAAAAACCCACAACAGCTTTAGCTGATTTATCTGTGGTTGAAGGTTCAGGATTAGAAGTTACAATAACCACAACCGAGAATAAAGAAGGAATATTCAAACCTAAAGAACTTCCTGATACTCAAATTGCGGACCGAGCATTAACTGAAAGTCATTTAGTAGCGCAAACTACTGAACATATTGTTGATTTTAGTACTAATGATTTGATTCGAGAAAAGATAGAAACGTCTACAGCTATTATTGATCAAATGCTTGTAAATTCACTAATTAGTTCTCAAATTATTCCAGGCGAGACAGAAAATCAAATTATTTCTGATATTAAACCTGACGATCATACAGCTACAATTGATGTGGAAGTTGGAAAAAGTATTGCTACGATCTCTCAAGTAATATCTGGAGATAAAGAAATGATTCGTCTACCTGAAATTTCACCTTCTAAAAAATTAGCATCTATAGGTATAGATGCAGTCCATGAAATTGCTGAAGTTTCTATGACTAATGTTGATTTTGCTCTTGGAGATATTAAGAAAGTACAAATGAATGAAGTAAAAGCTACTCCAAGCCAAGAAATGTTTAGAAGTCTTTTGATATCTGAAGAAATTGCTCATGATAAAGAAAAAGATTTTGATAAAAACTTTCTAGCTGATATTAAGAAATTTGATATTACTATTGAAGAAGAAAAACAAGTGACTACTATAACAGAAGTTACAACTGGTGCAAAAGAAGATGTTCTTGAGCAATCTATTAAACCGGAAATGAAATCAGCAATTTCAACATTAACATCCGGTCACGAAGTTGCAGAGCAATGTGAAATCATACCCGAGTTATTTGCCGGCGAAGTAGAGGTTTTATCAACAACAACAGCTATTGCAAAAATTAGTCAAAGACCTTACGAAACAGTAGGGTTAACAGCAGAGTTTTTGGCTGAACGAGAAGCTGAAATAAATGATACAAAAATGACAAAATCCATCGCTAAAGTATCTCTTAACGAACAAAGTTCTGTTATTATTGAGACCACAATAACTCAAGATCTAGAGAGTGAATTTTCTACTCCTAAAAAACCTAAAGAAGTTATGGCGTCCTCAGCGATTGAAACTAAAGAAGTAGTAGAACAAAGCGAAATTACTCCTAGAGAAAATATTGAAGAGCTTAAAGTATTAAAACCAACATCAGCAGAAGCTAAAAAATTACAAAATATTTTGGAAAGTGTAAATGTCACTCAGGCAATACCTGAAGAACTCGGTTTTGAATTTAGTGATAAGTTTAAACCCGATCAAAAAAATGCTGCTATTTCATTTGTTGAAGGAAAGAGTTTGACTATTGATGAAGTTATAATCCAAGACAAAGAAGAAGATATTACAGTAAGTAAATATATTGAAGAAATTGCCGGGGTAAAACTAACACAAATAAGTCAAGATGTTGCACAAACAACAGAAATCATCGCTAATCAAAGTACAGGTGTAATTTTGCCATTTGAAATTGATCAGAAAACAGCCCATACTAAGCAAGACACTTTAGAACCGATGATTGTCGAGGAAACTTCAACTAGAGAAACTGAAGGTACTTTTGTGAATTACCTCAAATCTATTTTCAGTAAAGTTTTACCAACATTTGAAGAAGACCATAGTGTTTCTGTAACTGAAGTAACATCTGGGGAAAAAGAAGATATTTTAGAAGAACAAAAAGTTATTGAGTCTAGAACAGCGGAGAAAACAATCATTCCCCAGCACGGAAGCATTTTAACAACGGTTACAGACTCACGAGTTGATATTAAAACTGAAGTGGAAACAGAAAAAAAAATTCTGCAAAGTGCTGTACCAATACAAGATACATTCGAAAGTATAATAGTCGCAGAAAATATAATAGAAGAAAGTGAAAATATATTTGATAGAAAGTTTAAACCAATAATGAAAAAAGCCCAAGTAGAAATTCAAGAAATAAAACCTTTGCATATATCCGAAACGATGACTGAATGTAGAGAGGAAACGTTTATCGAAGTTCCTAAAATTCAAGGAGTTCAAGCCAGCCCTGGATTTAATGTTTATGAAGCAGCAGAAAAATCCGAAATTGAGACTATTCATAATATAAATGAGTTAAAAAATGAACGGACAGTGGAGTCGCAAGCAATTCTAACTCAAATGACAGTAGAATCATTAATAGAAACGGAGATAACGGTTGATGAAAAAGAAGATACTTTTCGAGATCGGTTGAAACCTGAAAAACAAAAAGGAAAAACAAAAATTGAAGGTCTAAGTACGGTTACAGTAACTGAAATAATTTCTGATGAAATTGAAGACAAGTTGGTTATTGCAGATAGACCAAATGATCACAAAGCATTAACAAATATTTCTGAAAGAGAGGCTGCCGAAGTAACCGAAGTTGAAACTATTCTAGGAGCTGAAGAATTCAAAGAATTTAAAAGACCGCGAGAAGTAAGAGGTAAACCACAGGTAGACACTTTGATTTCAGTTATTGTTAGTCAAACGGAATCAAATGAAACTGAAGAAATTCTCCCGAAGCTTGAAGTACCGGTACAAAAAGGAGCTGTACCTGATCTAGATGCACGAGAAATAGCTGAAATATCGGAAATTGAAATGATTTTATCAGTTGGAGATTTCGTTAAGATGAAAACACCAGAAATACAAAAAGGTAGACCTGATGTAGAGGAATTCGTGCCATTGATGATTTCTCAGATTCTGACACACGAAACAGAAGAAGAAATAACATTTGCCGTGAAACCAGGAATAAAAACAGCGCAAACAAGCCTTCAGAGTCATGAAGTTGCAGAAACATCAGAAATAGAAACGTTGTATAATGCAGAAAAATTACTTAAAGATACAATTCCTGAAGAAAAAAAGGGTACAATAAACATTAATGAGATGACTTCTGTCATTGTATCTCAAACAGTTTCTAGTGAAACTGAAAACACACTTCCAAGTCAAGAACAACCTAAAACAAAGACAGTTCAAATGGATATAACAGGACATGATATTGCAGAAACCTCACAGGTACTAGCATTATCGAGTTTTAATGAATTTTCAGCGGAAAAACCTGATAAACAAAAAGGAAAACCAGCTGTCGAAGAACAAACATCTCTCTTTGTATCACAAACTTTGTCTAATGAATCTGAAACAGAATTGCAAAAACTAGATACACCCAAACTCATGAGAGCAGAAAAAAGCTTATTAGGACGAGAAATAGCAGAGTTATCAGAAGTAGAAACTCTGCACAGTATTCAAGCATTAGTTGGTGAACAGATTCCTGACGAAAAAAAGGGTGTAATTACTATAGACGAAATGGCACCTGTGATTGTATCTTATACGGTGTCTGGAGAAAGTGAACAAACACTTCCAGATTCAGAAAAACCAAGTATAAAAAAGGCTCAGTCAGAAATCACTAGTAGAAATATTGCTGAGACAACTCAAGTACTGCCTTTAATAAGCTTCAATGAATTTATTGATTCTAAACCAGAAAGTTTTCAGGGAAAATCTTTAGTTGAAGAATTCACATCGGTTATAGTATCACAAATTGTATCTAACGAAATTGAAGAAGAATTACTAAGTTCAGAGGTACCGTGGCTGAGGAAAGCAGACCAAAGCTTATTAGGAAGAGAAATAGCTGAAAAATCAGAGACAGAAACATTATGTACCACTCTAAACTTAGATGAGCAACAATTACCTGACACAAAAAAAGGAACGATTATTTTAGATGAAAATAAATCTATTATAGTATCTCAGACAATTTCCGATGAACATGAAGAAATTTTTAAAGGTCAAGAAAAGCTGAACACAAAATTAGCCCACTCAGATATTCTTGGAAGAGACGTTGCCGAGGTTACCGAAACACTTACCTTAACAAATTTTGATGAATTTATTGATAAGAAACTTGAAAAACATACGGGGAAATATGGTGTCGAAGCCTGCACTTCAGTAGAAATATCGCAAGTCTTTTCTAATGAAATTGAAAAAGATTTACCGAGTTCTGAAGCACCTAAGAAAACGACAGCTGAACTAAGCTTGTTCGGCAGAGAAATAGCACAAAAAACGGAAATTGAAACATTTTTGTGTACTCAAACATTAGATACAGATGTTATACCAGAAGAAAAGAAGGGAATCATTACGATTGATGAAGTATCATCAGTTGCCGTATTTCAAACTATATCAGGTGAAGTCGAGGAGCGCCTATCACGTACGCAACAACCCAGCACTAGAACTCTTGAAGCCAAAATATCTGGACATAAAGTTGCTGAAACCTCGCAAATTTTAACGATGGCAAGCTATAATGAACTATTGAAAGAAACACCGATTCAACAAAAAGGACAACCCGCTATTGAAGAATTAACATCAATAGCAGTATCACAAATTATTTCTAATGAAGTTGAAGAAAAATTAGCTACTATTGAAATGCCAGAACGAAAAGTAGCTGGAACAAGCCTTCAGAGTCATGAAGTTGCAGAAACATCAGAAATAGAAACGTTGTATAATGCAGAAAAATTACTTAAAGATACAATTCCTGAAGAAAAAAAAGGTACAATAAACATTAATGAGATGACTTCTGTCATTGTATCTCAAACAGTTTCTAGTGAAACTGAAAACACACTTCCAAGTCAAGAACAACCTAAAACAAAGACAGTTCAAATGGATATAACAGGACATGATATTGCAGAAACCTCACAGGTACTAGCATTATCGAGTTTTAATGAATTTTCAGCGGAAAAACCTGATAAACAAAAAGGAAAACCAGCTGTCGAAGAACAAACATCTCTCTTTGTATCACAAACTTTGTCTAATGAATCTGAAACAGAATTGCAAAAACTAGATACACCCAAACTCATGAGAGCAGAAAAAAGCTTATTAGGACGAGAAATAGCAGAGTTATCAGAAGTAGAAACTCTGCACAGTATTCAAGCATTAGTTGGTGAACAGATTCCTGACGAAAAAAAGGGTGTAATTACTATAGACGAAATGGCACCTGTGATTGTATCTTATACGGTGTCTGGAGAAAGTGAACAAACACTTCCAGATTCAGAAAAACCAAGTATAAAAAAGGCTCAGTCAGAAATCACTAGTAGAAATATTGCTGAGACAACTCAAGTACTGCCTTTAATAAGCTTCAATGAATTTATTGATTCTAAACCGATAGAACAAACAGGAACTTTTAAAATCGATGAATTAACTTCTACAACAGTCACTCAAGTTCTTGTGAGTGAAAAAGAAATAGAAATACCACTTTTAGAAAATCCATCGACGAAAACCGCACTATTTGATATCACTAGTCATGGAATTATAGAGACAACGCAAACTATGACACTATCAACCACTGGTGAATTTATCGCGGACACATTGCCCGAAGTAAAAAAAGGAATAGAAAAACTTGACGAAATGAGTTCACTAATAGTATCACAAACAATTTCTAATGAAGATACACATCAACTTCCGTCTGCAACAGCACCAATAAGTGGAACAGCAGAAAGTGAAATTTTGGGTCACGATGTTGCAGAAACAATGCAAGTAACAGCACTCAATAATATTAAAACATTCGAGAAAGAAATCATGGAGACACAGAAAAGTACAACTACGTTTGAAGTATTGAAACCATTGGTAATATCGCATGTTCTTTCGAATGAAATGGAAAACGAAATATGGAACATTGATAGACCAGAAGAAAAAACAGCGAGACAAAAGATCACAAGTCATGAAATTGCGGAAAAATCACAAGTAATAACATTGTCCAGTACTGAAGACTTAATGGAAATTCAAGCGCCAGAAACAAGAAAAGGCAAGCGGGTAATCCAAGAAATAACACCATTAATGATTTCGCAAACTATCTCAACAGAACGCGAGACATTTCTGCCAGAGATGGAGAAACGATCTCCTAGAACTGCAAAGCCGAGTGTTCTAGGACAAGACGTCGCGGAAAAAACACAAATAATAACATTATCAGAATCACAAGAATTACAATTACCAACATATGAAGAAAAAAGAGGAAAACTTGGAATAGAAGAATTGTCGTCAGTTATTGTATGTCAGGTAACATCGAACGAAACTGAAGACAAATTACATACCCTTCAGCAACCTGAAAACAAAAGAGTGAAATCCAAAGTGATAGAGCTTGATACAGGCAGATCCGTAAACGTTACAACAGAACACAGTATTAAACACAGCACCGCTAAGGAAGACAGAACTCAACAGAAGGAACAACAACCAGCGGAACATAGTGGTAAGTATGACTGGCATGATGTTAGGATAAAAATGTATTCCTATTGATCTCTAATTATAGGACGAATACTAACTTAGAATAAAAAGCATATATCTAATATGCACAAAAAAACCCAGGTAAAAAAATGTACTACTAATAAAAAAAATGCGTTCATGATGTTAATCGAAAATATTACATTAAAAATTCCCCGAAAGAGATCCAATAAAAAAAAAATTAAAATATCCGAGAAGTCAAACCAAAATATAGCAAGCAGCAAACAATACACTTCATAGACATGAATAATCACAAATCAACTTATTCTCTAATCGTTCCAGAAACACCAAAAAAGATCACCAACGACAGTAAAATACCAATTACACATGCGACAACAAACAACAATGACATAATCACACAACAACACACAAATTCAATTAAGGAAACATCCAAACCAAGATTAGTCAAACACAAAGGAGAAGAGATAAGAGAACTTCAAGACGCTGAAGAGCAAACAGTTGAAGAAGATGGCAAAGAACCGGTCGCTACAACTGTTGAAAGACCTGAAGAAATAACAATAACTGATGAAACTACTGATGACCTTCCAGCTGTTGAAATGGTCACTCCTACCGAAAATGTCGAGGTACGAGAACTCGTATCAGTTACTCACGAAACAACTAAAACAGGCAAGCCTAGGAAAGTCACCAAGAAAAAGATTGTACGTAAGAAGGGTGACCAAGTGCAAGTAACTGAAGAGCAGACAGTTGAGGAAGATGGCAAAGAACCGGTTACCACAACTGTTGAGAGACCTGAAGAAGTGACCATAACTGATGAAACTACTGATGGCCTTCCAGCTGTTGAAATGGTCACTCTTGCCGAAAATGTCGAGGTCCAAGAACTAGTAACAGTTACTCACGAAACAACAACAACTGGCAAGCCTAGAAAAGTCACCAAGAAAAAGATTGTACGTAAGAAGGGTGACAAAGTGCAGGTAACTGAAGAGCAGACAGTTGAGGAAGATGGCAAAGAGCCGGTTACCACGACTGTTGAGAGACCTGAAGAAGTGACCATAACTGATGAAACTACTGATGACCTTCCAGCTGTTAAAATGGTCACTCCTACCGAAAATGTCGAGGTCCAAGAACTAGTAACAGTTACTCACGAAACAACTAAAACAGGCAAGCCTAGAAAAGTCACCAAGAAAAAGATTGTACGTAAGAAGGGTGACCAAGTGCAAGTAACTGAAGAGCAAACAGTTGAGGAAGATGGCAAAGAGCCAGTCACTACAACTGTTGATAGACCTGAAGAAGTGACCATAACTGATGAAACTACTGATGACCTTCCAGCTGTTAAAATGGTCACTCCTACCGAAAATGTCGAGGTCCAAGAACTAGTAACAGTTACTCACGAAACAACTAAAACAGGCAAGCCTAGGAAAGTCACCAAGAAAAAGATTGTACGTAAGAAGGGTGACCAACTGCAAGTAACTGAAGAGCAAACAGTTGAGGAAGATGGCAAAGAGCCAGTCACTACAACTGTTGAGAGACCTGAAGAAGTGACCATAACTGATGAAACTACTGATGACCTTCCAGCTGTTAAAATGGTCACTCCTACCGAGAATGTCGAGGTCCAAGAACTAGTAACAGTTACTCACGAAACAACTAAAACAGGCAAGCCTAGGAAAGTCACCAAGAAAAAGATTGTACGTAAGAAGGGTGACCAACTGCAAGTAACTGAAGAGCAAACAGTTGAGGAAGATGGCAAAGAGCCAGTCACTACAACTGTTGATAGACCTGAAGAAGTGACCATAACTGATGAAACTACTGATGACCTTCCAGCTGTTGAAATGGTCACTCCTACCGAGAATGTCGAGGTCCAAGAACTAGTAACAGTTACTCACGAAACAACTAAAACAGGCAAGCCTAGGAAAGTCACCAAGAAAAAGATTGTACGTAAGAAGGGTGACCAAGTGCAAGTAACTGAAGAGCAAACAGTTGAGGAAGATGGCAAAGAGCCAGTCACTACAACTGTTGATAGACCTGAAGAAGTGACCATAACTGATGAAACTACTGATGACCTTCCAGCTGTTAAAATGGTCACTCCTACCGAAAATGTCGAGGTTCAAGAACTAGTAACAGTTACGCACGAAACAACAAAAACAGGCAAGCCTAAAAGAGTCACTAAGAAAAAGATTGTACGCAAAAAAGGTGACAAAGTGCAGGTAACTGAAGAGCAGACAGTTGAGGAAGATGGCAAAGAACCGGTTACCACAACTGTTGTTATACCTGAAGAAGTAACAATAACTGATGAAACTACTGATGACCTTCCAGCTGTTAAAATGGTCACTCCTACCGAAAATGTCGAGGTCCAAGAACTAGTATCAGTTACTCACGAAACAACAAAAACAGGCAAGCCTAGGAAAGTCACCAAGAAAAAGATTGTACGCAAAAAAGGTGACAAAGTGCAAGTAACTGAAGAGCAAACAGTTGAGGAAGATGGCAAAGAGCCAGTCACTACAACTGTTGATAGACCTGAAGAAGTGACCATAACTGATGAAACTACTGATGACCTTCCAGCTGTTAAAATGGTCACTCCTACCGAAAATGTCGAGGTCCAAGAACTAGTAACAGTTACTCACGAAACAACTAGAACAGGCAAGCCTAGAAAAGTCACCAAGAAAAAGATTGTACGTAAGAAGGGTGACCAACTGCAAGTAACTGAAGAGCAAACAGTTGAGGAAGATAGCAAAGAGCCGGTTACCACAACTGTTGAGAGACCTGAAGAACTGACAATAACTGATGAAACTACTGATGACCTTCCAGCTGTTAAGATGGTCACTCCTACCGAAAATGTCGAGGTCCAAGAACTAGTAACAGTTACGCACGAAACAACAAAAACAGGCAAGCCTAAAAGAGTCACTAAGAAAAAGATTGTACGCAAAAAAGGTGACAAAGTGCAGGTAACTGAAGAGCAGACAGTTGAGGAAGATGGCAAAGAGCCGGTTACCACGACTGTTGATAGACCTGAAGAAGTGACCATAACTGATGAAACTACTGATGACCTTCCAGCTGTTAAAATGGTCACTCCTACCGAAAATGTCGAGGTCCAAGAACTAGTAACAGTTACTCACGAAACAACTAAAACAGGCAAGCCTAGAAAAGTCACCAAGAAAAAGATTGTACGCAAAAAAGGTGACAAAGTGCAGGTAACTGAAGAGCAGACAGTTGAGGAAGATGGCAAAGAACCGGTTACCACAACTGTTGTTATACCTGAAGAAGTAACAATAACTGATGAAACTACTGATGACCTTCCAGCTGTTAAAATGGTCACTCCTACCGAAAATGTCGAGGTCCAAGAACTAGTATCAGTTACTCACGAAACAACAAAAACAGGCAAGCCTAGGAAAGTCACCAAGAAAAAGATTGTACGCAAAAAAGGTGACAAAGTGCAAGTAACTGAAGAGCAAACAGTTGAGGAAGATGGCAAAGAGCCAGTCACTACAACTGTTGATAGACCTGAAGAAGTGACCATAACTGATGAAACTACTGATGACCTTCCAGCTGTTAAAATGGTCACTCCTACCGAAAATGTCGAGGTCCAAGAACTAGTAACAGTTACTCACGAAACAACTAGAACAGGCAAGCCTAGGAAAGTCACCAAGAAAAAGATTGTACGTAAGAAGGGTGACCAACTGCAAGTAACTGAAGAGCAAACAGTTGAGGAAGATAGCAAAGAGCCGGTTACCACAACTGTTGAGAGACCTGAAGAACTGACAATAACTGATGAAACTACTGATGACCTTCCAGCTGTTAAGATGGTCACTCCTACCGAAAATGTCGAGGTCCAAGAACTAGTAACAGTTACGCACGAAACAACAAAAACAGGCAAGCCTAAAAGAGTCACTAAGAAAAAGATTGTACGCAAAAAAGGTGACAAAGTGCAGGTAACTGAAGAGCAGACAGTTGAGGAAGATGGCAAAGAGCCGGTTACCACGACTGTTGATAGACCTGAAGAAGTGACCATAACTGATGAAACTACTGATGACCTTCCAGCTGTTAAGATGGTCACTCCTACCGAAAATGTCGAGGTCCAAGAACTAGTAACAGTTACGCACGAAACACCAAAAACAGGCAAGCCTAAAAGAGTCACTAAGAAAAAGATTGTACGCAAAAAAGGTGACAAAGTGCAGGTAACTGAAGAGCAGACAGTTGAGGAAGATGGCAAAGAGCCGGTTACCACGACTGTTGAGAGACCTGAAGAAGTGACCATAACTGATGAAACTACTGATGACCTTCCAGCTGTTGAAATGGTCACTCCTACCGAGAATGTCGAGGTCCAAGAACTAGTAACAGTTACTCACGAAACAACTAAAACAGGCAAGCCTAGGAAAGTCACCAAGAAAAAGATTGTACGTAAGAAGGGTGACCAAGTGCAAGTAACTAAAGAGCAAACAGTTGAGGAAGATAGCAAAGAGCCAGTTACTACAACTGTTGAGAGACCTGAAGAAGTAACAATAACTGATGAAACTACTGATGGCCTTCCAGCTGTTGAAATGGTCACTCCTACCGAAAATGTCGAGGTACGAGAACTCGTATCAGTTACTCACGAAACAACAAAAACAGGCAAGCCTAGAAAAGTCACCAAGAAAAAGATTGTACGTAAGAAGGGTGACCAAGTGCAAGTAACTGAAGAGCAAACAGTTGAGGAAGATAGCAAAGAGCCGGTTACCACAACTGTTGAGAGACCTGAAGAACTGACAATAACTGATGAAACTACTGATGACCTTCCAGCTGTTAAAATGGTCACTCCTACCGAGAATGTCGAGGTCCAAGAACTAGTAACAGTTACGCACGAAACAACAAAAACAGGCAAGCCTAGAAAAGTCACTAAGAAAAAGATTGTACGCAAAAAAGGTGACAAAGTGCAGGTAACTGAAGAGCAGACAGTTGAGGAAGATGGCAAAGAGCCGGTTACCACGACTGTTGAGAGACCTGAAGAAGTGACCATAACTGATGAAACTACTGATGACCTTCCAGCTGTTGAAATGGTCACTCCTACCGAGAATGTCGAGGTCCAAGAACTAGTAACAGTTACTCACGAAACAACTAAAACAGGCAAGCCTAGGAAAGTCACCAAGAAAAAGATTGTACGTAAGAAGGGTGACCAAGTGCAAGTAACTGAAGAGCAAACAGTTGAGGAAGATAGCAAAGAGCCAGTCACTACAACCGTTGAGAGACCTGAAGAAGTGACAATAACTGATGAAACTACTGATGGCCTTCCAGCTGTTGAAATGGTCACTCCTACCGAAAATGTCGAGGTACGAGAACTCGTATCAGTTACTCACGAAACAACAAAAACAGGCAAGCCTAGAAAAGTCACCAAGAAAAAGATTGTACGTAAGAAGGGTGACCAAGTGCAAGTAACTGAAGAGCAGACAGTTGAGGAAGATGGCAAAGAACCGGTTACCACAACTGTTGATATACCTGAAGAAGTAACAATAACTGATGAAACTACTGATGACCTTCCAGCTGTTGAAATGGTCACTCCTACCGAGAATGTCGAGGTCCAAGAACTAGTAACAGTTACGCACGAAACAACAAAAACAGGCAAGCCTAGAAAAGTCACTAAGAAAAAGATTGTACGCAAAAAAGGTGACAAAGTGCAGGTAACTGAAGAGCAGACAGTTGAGGAAGATGGCAAAGAGCCGGTTACCACGACTGTTGAGAGACCTGAAGAAGTGACCATAACTGATGAAACTACTGATGACCTTCCAGCTGTTGAAATGGTCACTCCTACCGAGAATGTCGAGGTCCAAGAACTAGTAACAGTTACTCACGAAACAACTGAAACAGGCAAGCCTAGGAAAGTCACCAAGAAAAAGATTGTACGTAAGAAGGGTGACCAAGTGCAAGTAACTAAAGAGCAAACAGTTGAGGAAGATAGCAAAGAGCCAGTTACTACAACTGTTGAGAGACCTGAAGAAGTAACAATAACTGATGAAACTACTGATGGCCTTCCAGCTGTTGAAATGGTCACTCCTACCGAAAATGTCGAGGTACGAGAACTCGTATCAGTTACTCACGAAACAACAAAAACAGGCAAGCCTAGAAAAGTCACCAAGAAAAAGATTGTACGTAAGAAGGGTGACCAAGTGCAAGTAACTGAAGAGCAGACAGTTGAGGAAGATGGCAAAGAACCGGTTACCACAACTGTTGATATACCTGAAGAAGTAACAATAACTGATGAAACTACTGATGACCTTCCAGCTGTTGAAATGGTCACTCCTACCGAGAATGTCGAGGTTCAAGAACTAGTAACAGTTACGCACGAAACAACAAAAACAGGCAAGCCTAAAAGAGTCACTAAGAAAAAGATTGTACGCAAAAAAGGTGACAAAGTGCAGGTAACTGAAGAGCAGACAGTTGAGGAAGATGGCAAAGAGCCGGTTACCACGACTGTTGATAGACCTGAAGAAGTGACCATAACTGATGAAACTACTGATGACCTTCCAGCTGTTGAAATGGTCACTCCTACCGAAAATGTCGAGGTCCAAGAACTAGTAACAGTTACTCACGAAACAACTAAAACAGGCAAGCCTAGGAAAGTCACCAAGAAAAAGATTGTACGTAAGAAGGGTGACCAAGTGCAAGTAACTGAAGAGCAAACAGTTGAGGAAGATAGCAAAGAGCCAGTCACTACAACTGTTGAGAGACCTGAAGAAGTGACCATAAATGATGAAACTACTGATGGCCTTCCAGCTGTTGAAATGGTCACTCCTACCGAAAATGTCGAGGTACGAGAACTCGTATCAGTTACTCACGAAACAACAAAAACAGGCAAGCCTAGAAAAGTCACCAAGAAAAAGATTGTACGTAAGAAGGGTGACCAAGTGCAAGTAACTGAAGAGCAGACAGTTGAGGAAGATGGCAAAGAACCGGTTACCACAACTGTTGATATACCTGAAGAAGTAACAATAACTGATGAAACTACTGATGACCTTCCAGCTGTTGAAATGGTCACTCCTACCGAGAATGTCGAGGTTCAAGAACTAGTAACAGTTACGCACGAAACAACAAAAACAGGCAAGCCTAAAAGAGTCACTAAGAAAAAGATTGTACGCAAAAAAGGTGACAAAGTGCAGGTAACTGAAGAGCAGACAGTTGAGGAAGATGGCAAAGAGCCGGTTACCACGACTGTTGATAGACCTGAAGAAGTGACCATAACTGATGAAACTACTGATGACCTTCCAGCTGTTGAAATGGTCACTCCTACCGAGAATGTCGAGGTCCAAGAACTAGTAACAGTTACTCACGAAACAACTAAAACAAACAAGCCTAGGAAAGTCACCAAGAAAAAGATTGTACGTAAGAAGGGTGACCAAGTGCAAGTAACTGAAGAGCAAACAGTTGAGGAAGATAGCAAAGAGCCAGTCACTACAACTGTTGAGAGACCTGAAGAAGTGACCATAACTGATGAAACTACTGATGGCCTTCCAGCTGTTGAAATGGTCACTCCTACCGAAAATGTCGAGGTACGAGAACTCGTATCAGTTACTCACGAAACAACAAAAACAGGCAAGCCTAGAAAAGTCACCAAGAAAAAGATTGTACGTAAGAAGGGTGACCAAGTGCAAGTAACTGAAGAGCAGACAGTTGAGGAAGATGGCAAAGAACCGGTTACCACAACTGTTGAGAGACCTGAAGAAGTGACCATAACTGATGAAACTACTGATGACCTTCCAGCTGTTAAAATGGTCACTCCTACCGAAAATGTCGAGGTCCAAGAACTAGTAACAGTTACTCACGAAACAACAACAACTGGCAAGCCTAGAAAAGTCACTAAGAAAAAGATTGTACGCAAAAAAGGTGACAAAGTGCAGGTAACTGAAGAGCAAACAGTTGAGGAAGATGGCAAAGAGCCGGTTACCACGACTGTTGTTATACCTGAAGAAGTAACAATAACTGATGAAACTACTGATGACCTTCCAGCTGTTAAAATGGTCACTCCTACCAAAGATGTCGAGGTCCAAGAACTAGTATCAGTTACTCACGAAACAACAAAAACAGGCAAGCCTAAAAGAGTCACTAAGAAAAAGATTGTACGCAAAAAAGGTGACAAAGTGCAGGTAACTGAAGAGCAGACAGTTGAGGAAGATGGCAAAGAGCCGGTTACCACGACTGTTGATAGACCTGAAGAAGTGACCATAACTGATGAAACTACTGATGACCTTCCAGCTGTTGAAATGGTCACTCCTACCGAGAATGTCGAGGTCCAAGAACTAGTAACAGTTACTCACGAAACAACTAAAACAGGCAAGCCTAGGAAAGTCACCAAGAAAAAGATTGTACGTAAGAAGGGTGACCAAGTGCAAGTAACTGAAGAGCAAACAGTTGAGGAAGATAGCAAAGAGCCAGTCACTACAACTGTTGAGAGACCTGAAGAAGTGACCATAAATGATGAAACTACTGATGACCTTCCAGCTGTTGAAATGGTCACTCCTACCGAAAATGTCGAGGTACGAGAACTCGTATCAGTTACTCACGAAACAACAAAAACAGGCAAGCCTAGAAAAGTCACCAAGAAAAAGATTGTACGTAAGAAGGGTGACCAAGTGCAAGTAACTGAAGAGCAGACAGTTGAGGAAGATGGCAAAGAACCGGTTACCACAACTGTTGATATACCTGAAGAAGTAACAATAACTGATGAAACTACTGATGACCTTCCAGCTGTTGAAATGGTCACTCCTACCGAGAATGTCGAGGTTCAAGAACTAGTAACAGTTACGCACGAAACAACAAAAACAGGCAAGCCTAAAAGAGTCACTAAGAAAAAGATTGTACGCAAAAAAGGTGACAAAGTGCAGGTAACTGAAGAGCAGACAGTTGAGGAAGATGGCAAAGAGCCGGTTACCACGACTGTTGATAGACCTGAAGAAGTGACCATAACTGATGAAACTACTGATGACCTTCCAGCTGTTGAAATGGTCACTCCTACCGAGAATGTCGAGGTCCAAGAACTAGTAACAGTTACTCACGAAACAACTAAAACAGGCAAGCCTAGGAAAGTCACCAAGAAAAAGATTGTACGTAAGAAGGGTGACCAAGTGCAAGTAACTGAAGAGCAAACAGTTGAGGAAGATAGCAAAGAGCCAGTCACTACAACTGTTGAGAGACCTGAAGAAGTGACCATAACTGATGAAACTACTGATGGCCTTCCAGCTGTTGAAATGGTCACTCCTACCGAAAATGTCGAGGTACGAGAACTCGTATCAGTTACTCACGAAACAACAAAAACAGGCAAGCCTAGAAAAGTCACCAAGAAAAAGATTGTACGTAAGAAGGGTGACCAAGTGCAAGTAACTGAAGAGCAGACAGTTGAGGAAGATGGCAAAGAACCGGTTACCACAACTGTTGATAGACCTGAAGAAGTGACCATAACTGATGAAACTACTGATGACCTTCCAGCTGTTAAAATGGTCACTCCTACCGAAAATGTCGAGGTCCAAGAACTAGTAACAGTTACTCACGAAACAACAACAACTGGCAAGCCTAGTAAAGTCACTAAGGAAAAGATTGTACGCAAAAAAGATGACAAAGTGCAGGTAACTGAAGAGCAAACAGTTGAGGAAGATGGCAAAGAACCGGTTACCACAACTGTTGTTATACCTGAAGAAGTAACAATAACTGATGAAACTACTGATGACCTTCCAGCTGTTAAAATGGTCACTCCTACCAAAGATGTCGAGGTCCAAGAACTAGTATCAGTTACTCACGAAACAACAAAAACAGGCAAGCCTAGGAAAGTCACCAAGAAAAAGATTGTACGTAAGAAGGGTGACCAAGTGCAAGTAACTGAAGAGCAAACAGTTGAGGAAGATGGCAAAGAACCGGTTACCACAACTGTTGATATACCTGAAGAAGTAACAATAACTGATGAAACTACTGATGACCTTCCAGCTGTTGAAATGGTCACTCCTACCGAGAATGTCGAGGTTCAAGAACTAGTATCAGTTATTCGGGAAACAACTAAAACAGGCAAGCCTAGAAAAGTCACCAAGAAAAAGATTGTACGCAAAAAAGGTGACAAAGTGCAGGTAACTGAAGAGCAAACAGTTGAAGATGATAGCAAAGAACCGGTTACCACAACTGTTGAGAGACCTGAAGAAGTGACCATAACTGATGAAACTACTGATGGCCTTCCAGCTGTTGAAATGGTCACTCTTTCCGAAAATGTCGAGGTCCAAGAACTAGTAACAGTTACTCACGAAACAACAACAACTGGCAAGCCTAGAAAAGTCACCAAGAAAAAGATTGTACGTAAGAAGGGTGACAAAGTGCAGGTAACTGAAGAGCAAACAGTTGAAGAAGATGGCAAAGAACCGGTCACTACAACTGTTGAAAGACCTGAAGAAGTGACAATAACTGATGAAACCACTGATGATCTTCCGTCCGTTGAAATGGTCACTCCTACCGAGAATGTCGAGGTCCGTAAGAAGGGCGTTCTACAGCGGGTTACCGAGATCTTGCAAGCTCATGATAAGATCGATGCTTATGCTTCTGGAGAATCTGTCTTCTTATCACACCCAATACATATTAGCACACTTACACATACACAACCAACACTTCTTATTGATGACATTGTTTTTGTCGAAGGTGAGTTGTCTTCTTTGCGAACCTTCGGTTTTATTATATTCTCTGAAACTTTATCGGTCATATTCCATTCTGGCGTATGATCATTATACTTTTTATTTCACATTGTTTTTCTTTGTTTGTTGTTTGCGACTTTAATTCTGTTTTTTTTGGTGCAGGTATCGCTGAGGTTACCGAACAAGAGGTAAGTATTTTTCTCTACGTTCGTTTTTTGTTTCTATTATTATCTTAGATGATATTATTATCTTATCATCTCATTTTCGATTTTTTTTTAGGATCTTATCAAAATTGTGGAAGACAAGAAGGACGGAATTAAATCTCGTGATCAACAAGCAGTCGCTATTCATATTTTAAATAAAGATCTTGTCCAATTCGAACATAATAACAATGTTTTCCAAGATTTCCCTGAAGAAATTGGTTTGTCAATGCCTACTATTGAAGTGGCTAATATAACAATCGAAGAACTCCTCTTTGCTGAAGTGCGTGAAGTCGAAGTTTTGAAAGTGACCGAAACCCCAAAATTAAGGGTTACAAAAAAACGGAAACCAGCAACTAAAAACCAACCTGAAGAAATCGTTGAAGAAATAGTTCATAAATCACCAGAAGAAAGTGCTCTTCTGGAAGGTCAAAAAATTGTAGAAGTTAGTGAAACCCCAACTGAAATTGTAATCCGACGTAAGTCAAATGCTTCTCAAAGTGGCGTTCCTGAAGAAATGATCGATGAAGTTATAATACCGAAGTTTCATACAGAAAAAGCGACGTCTATTATAGATTACCTTCAAACAGTGAAAATTACTGAAGTCGATGTTCTTCAAGGACCAGTTGAGGAAACTATAATTGAATCGATAGAAACTCCTTCGGCGGTTGTTTTAAAGAAGAAACGAAAGTTGACAAATAAAAACGAGCCAGAGGAAATTGTTGAAGAAGTAAGACTTAAATCGAAAGAGGAGAGAGAAATTATGGAAAATAAGAAAATTCTTGCAATTATTGATACACCAGAAAAGAAATTGATTAAGATAAAAAAAGCTCTGATCGATAATGAGGGCATTGATGACGAATGTACTGAAGAAATAGTAATTTATAAACCAAAAGAAGAATCAGCTACAAGTATTGTTGACGATCTGAAAACTGCAAAAATGATTGAAACAGAAATTTTACAAGCTCCAGCTGGAGAAAAAGTTGTTGTTATAGTTGAAACACCCACCAAGAAAATAGTTAAAACCCGGAAGCCAATTCAGGAAGACAAACCTGTGGAAATTATCGAAGAAATTATTCTTAAGCCAGTTGAAGAATCCATTGCTATGGAAGAGCAACAGATTATTGAAATCACTGAAACGCCAACTAAAAAAATCATCAAACGAAAATTACCAATCCTTCAAGAGAGGTTTGTAACGGAAGAAGGTCTTGAAGAAATCGTTTTAACAAAACCGAACCAAATGAGTGCTACTGAAACTATTGATAATTTCGATATCGCTACTATGACTGAAACAGAAGTAATTGAAGTAATCGAAACGCCGGAAAAAAGGATTGTTAAAAAGAAAAAACCATCTACGAAAAAAAAAGGTGAAGAAGTTGTTGAAGAGGTGATAGGTAAGCCTCACGATGAAACTATATCAATGGAAGAACAACAGATTGTTAAAATCGTTGAAACACCTGAAAAAACGGTTATCAAAAAGAGAATTGCTATTTGCAAAGACGACCAAGTACCTGGAGAAACTGTTGAAGAAATCGTTTTATTAAAACCAAAACCACAACAGGTTTCTCCAATTGTTGAAGAATTAGAGACAGTAAACAATTCACAAGTAGAAATTATTGAAGTTATCGAAACCCCAAAAACACGGATTACTAGGAAGAAACAAGTAGAGAAGCCTCAAGTAATTTCTGAAGAAATTACACAAAAAACTGATGAAGAAGCTGCTTTAATGGAAAATCAAAATATTATTGAAATTAAAGACACTCCTGCTGAAACAATTATTAGACGTCAGTCTATAACTATCCAAAAAGAGAAACAGCCTCAAGATACAATCGAAGAGATTATTATACAGAAGCCTCGACAAGTATATGCTCAGTCTATCGTTGATGAATTCAATATTGAGACAATTAGAGAAATTGATATTCAAGATGGTCCAGTGAATGAACAAGTGTTTGAAAAAATTGAAACGCCTGAGAAATTAATCATCAAAAAGAAAAGAAAGTCGCTCAAAGATAAAATACCCGAACAAATTATAGAAGAAGTTATTTTAAAACCTAAGGATCAGCAAAAGACCATGGAAGAACAGAAAATAGTGGAAATTATTGAAACTCCGACTGAAAAAATTATCAAAAAGACGAAAGCTGTAATAACAGATAAAAAAATTCCAGAAGATATAATTGAAGAAATTGTCATTCATAAACCACAAGATAGAATCGCTAAGACGGACATTGTTCCTATAGAAAGTGTAGAAATGAATCAAATCGTTATACAGGAATTTTCCGAGTTAAAAGAAGAAGAAAAATCTAATGAACCAACAATACTAAAGCTACCAGTAACATTGAACGTTCCGAAAGAAGTTGAAGATAAAACGATTATTAAAGAGGTCGAGGAAGTACTTCCAGGAAAACCAAAGGAAAACATGCTACCGAAAGTTAACGGCCATGCAGTTGAAAAAACAGTTCCTGATGAGAATATTAAAGAGATAAAACCTACAGATGAGAAGAAGGAGAAAAAATTAAAAAATTAAAAAAAAAGAAAAAAATTGTCAAAAAGGCAGATTGGGAAGAATGGGTTGAACCAGAATACGAAAAAGCAGTTTTAGAACCTATGCCAGAAAAAATACAATGGGAACCCTCCAAAAAGAAAAAACAAAAATTGTCAGAACCTCAACAAGCGCAGCAATTCGTTCCTCAGAAAGTTGAAAGAGTTTCTGTGAAACCTACTAAATTAAGATATATGGAGCCGAAAGATGAACCTCAATTCGGTACAATTAAGTTAAAAAAAGCTCCAATCGCGAAAAAGAAAGATATATCGACACTTAAATTACCGAAATTTATGTTAAAAAGTCGCATTACATTTTACGGTGATTATCCACCTGCATTACAATATCCAACAATAACAGAACTGGAACCTAATCCCATTCAATCTGGAACTTTATCTCGTAACATTGAAGAAGGATTAAAACTGATAAAAAAGAAAAGAAAAAAAATTAAACTCTCAGAGAAAGATACGGTGGAGTTAGAAAAATTAGATAAAGAATTTGAAGAATTGAAAAAAGTACCCCTTGAGAAGATAGAAGACAAAACTATTTATGAAAGACAACCTAAGAAACTAAAAGAAGATGAAAAAGAATCGAAATCTTTAGTAATTGGCAAAGGCATAGTTCCCGAAAAACTCAAAGAAGTTCCTGAAAATATAAAATTGAGGACAATTTCTGGAGAACAACCAGAAAAGATTGAAGAAAAACCGAGTAAACCCAAAGAAGAGAAAACTGATAAATTACCTAAAGACGAAAAAGAAGAAGAGCCAAAAATAACACTAGAACGTAAGAAATTCAAACCAACTGATTTTGACCAACCTGAATTAGAAAAATATGTGCCAAAAGAAATTGAAAAAATAGAAGAGCCTATTCCAGAAAACGTATCAGTACCATACACAAAAATGCCAAAAAAAATACCTGAACAAGAAACTGAACAAATCCCGATTATTCCGGGCAGAGCAAAACCATCAAAGCCTGAAGAAGAGTCTGAAGTTAAATTCAGAATTCCGGAAAAACCTAAACCAGAAGATCAACCTGATAGAATTGGTCTTAAACCGTGGGAAGAAGATACTGCAATTACAGGAGCAAAAATTACCCAAGAACTAAAAATCAAACCTTCTTTGGAAATTCCAAAGATAAGAGAGGAAGAGCAAAAATCTAAGAAAAAAAGTACTTCTAAGAAACCAAAGACAAAACCTGATAAAAAAGACAGAGAACCATGGGAGGAATGGGTTGAACCAGAATATGAGCGACCAGTTTTAGAGCCAATGCCAGAGAAAATAGACTGGGCCCATACGCCAAAAAAAAGAGAAGGAAAAGTCTTGGAAGTAGTTGAAAAGTCCATTATCGAAAAAATAGAAGATTCACCGGAATACACACAACAAACAGTAGGAGAAAGACCAGAGCAAACGACAGCTAGATCACTGAAAGAACCGGTTGACTTGGAAAGTAAAGCAAAGAAAATCAGTAAAATAGTTCATATTGAAAAAGTGCCTTCGGAATCAACAGAATCAGAGAAACCAAAAATGAAACCAGTTACTGAAGAAGCTGCTGATGAGGTAACTATCAAGAAGCCTGTTATCGAAAAGCCAGACGAGGTTTCTGAAGAAGTAACAGAAGAGGTTAAGATAGTGAAGAAACCCAAAAAGAAACCAGTTACTGAAGAAGCTGCTGATGAGGTAACTATCAAGAAGCCCGTTATCGAAAAGCCAGACGAGGTTTCGGAAGAAGTAACAGAAGAGGTTAAGATAGTAAAGAAACCCAAAAAGAAACCAGTTACTGAAGAAGCTGCTGATGAGGTAACTATCAAGAAGCCCGTTATCGAAAAGCCAGACGAGGTTTCTGAAGAAATAACAGAAGAGGTTAAGATAGTAAAGAAACCCAAAAAGAAGCCAGTCACGGAAGAAGCTGCTGAAGAGGTAACTATCAAAAAGCCCGTTATCGAAAAGCCAGACGAGGTTTCGGAAGAAGTAACAGAAGAGGTTAAGAAAGTAAAGAAACCCAAAAAGAAACCAGTTACTGAAGAAGCTGCTGATGAGGTAACTATCAAGAAGCCCGTTATCGAAAAGCCAGACGAGGTTTCTGAAGAAGTAACAGAAGAGGTTAAGATAGTAAAGAAACCCAAAAAGAAGCCAGTCACGGAAGAAGCTGCTGATGAGGTAACTATCAAGAAGCCCGTTATCGAAAAGCCAGACGAGGTTTCGGAAGAAGTAACAGAAGAGGTTAAGATAGTAAAGAAACCCAAAAAGAAGCCAGTTACTGAAGAAGCTGCTGATGAGGTAACTATCAAGAAGCCCGTTATCGAAAAGCCAGACGAGGTTTCTGAAGAAATAACAGAAGAGGTTAAGATAGTGAAGAAACCCAAAAAGAAACCAGTTACTGAAGAAGCTGCTGATGAGGTAACTATCAAGAAGCCCGTTATCGAAAAGCCAGACGAGGTTTCTGAAGAAATAACAGAAGAGGTTAAGATAGTAAAGAAACCCAAAAAGAAGCCAGTCACGGAAGAAGCTGCTGATGAGGTAACTATCAAGAAGCCCGTTATCGAAAAGCCAGACGAGGTTTCGGAAGAAGTAACAGAAGAGGTTAAGATAGTAAAGAAACCCAAAAAGAAGCCAGTTACGGAAGAAGCTGCTGATGAGGTAACTATCAAGAAGCCCGTTATCGAAAAGCCAGACGAGGTTTCTGAAGAAATAACAGAAGAGGTTAAGATAGTAAAGAAACCCAAAAAGAAGCCAGTTACTGAAGAAGCTGCTGATGAGGTAACTATCAAGAAGCCCGTTATCGAAAAGCCAGACGAGGTTTCTGAAGAAGTAACAGAAGAGGTTAAGATAGTGAAGAAACCCAAAAAGAAACCAGTTACTGAAGAAGCTGCTGATGAATTAGTGATTGAACAAACACTAGTAATTGAAGAACCTGATGAAGTGGTCCAAGAAATTATTGAAGAATTTACCGTTCATCGTAAGCCTCCAAAATCTACTCCTAAATTAATTGAAGAAATTTGTGAAGATGTTACTTTGCGTAAACTACGACCTCGGAAAAAGCGCCTGGATATTAAGGAAATTACAGAAACTGAAAATGTTACTTTCCGTCCTCGCAGAACAAAAACAAAGGAAGATGTAGAACAAGAGTTCAAAATTTCTTTAAATACGTATGAAGAAGAAGATATTTCAATGACAGGCAAAGTTCGATTAAGGCCTAAAAAAAAAGCTCTTACTTACCATGAAGAAGAGGGTGAAGAAACAATTAGAATTATTCAGGGTCCTAACGACGATGGTCAACCAGTGATTGAAGAAATTATTTATGATTCTGAAGAGGAGACAAAGGAGGAATACAGTATTGATGAATTAGAGCCTGATGCATTTAATCTTGTTCTACAGAAAAAGAAAAAGCCCCGTCCTTATTCAATAGAACAAATAGAAGAAGATGATGTTAGAATAAAGTTGAAGAAAGAAAGAAAATATTCTATGGAAGAAACTGATGAATTTTTAGCACTGAAATTAATGTCTAAACGTCGTCCATCCACCTATGAAGAAGGTTCGAGTTACATTCTTTTAATCTTTTTTTTTTAATTTTTTTTCTTAGAAAATAATTTAGTTCCAGCTTCTAGAAAAGTTTAGAGATTATTTGCAGTAGATAAATAACAGATAGCAGCTAATGTAATTAACTTATGTGAGATAAGAGATGTGAGTATGACTCACCCTCATCCTTACTTCTAATCTATCCTAAAATAGAAAGACATCGGCATAAGCGATTGACACTGAGGCTTTTTTTTGGTTTCAAAGTGATAAAATTCCTTTCTTCGACATTTAATATTACTTTTTTTTCATTTACAGAAGAAGCAAGTTTAAGTATTACAAGAGAAGGAGATATTTATGAAGAAGAAGGTACAATTTTTACTTTTTCATTTAAAAAAAAACGAAGATTTTAATGATGTACTAATCAATCAATATTACTCTTGTTGAAATAGAAGGTGAATATAGTGTTCATGAAGGATCTGTAATGTTCTCAATATGTTCGTACGTAGCAGAGACAGATGAAGCAATTAATCTTGTTGAAGGAGAAAAAGTCTATATTATAGGTAAAACAAATTATTTTTTAAATATAAATTTGAGTCTTAAATAAAAATTCGATAAAATAATTGAGTGATTGGATATTTTCTTATATTTTTCAGAACATATCAATTCCGATTGGTGGTTTGTGAAGAAACATTTGACACAAGAAAAGGGATGGGTTCCAGCACAGTATTTACTTGACGAAGAACACTATACTATCTATTTACAAAGAAAATTAAACGAAAAAATCGATAAACTTCCTGTTTTTGAAAGTAAGTTTAAATAAAATTTCAATGATAACAATATGAAAAAGTTTCTTATCTAATTTACTTCTGTCAAATATAGAACTAGGGCCCGGAGAACAATCATCAGCACCTCGGTTTATTCAAAAACTTCAACCAATTCATACTCCCGATGGATATACAGTCCAATTCGAATGTCAAGTTGAAGGTTTACCTAGACCACAAATCACATGGTTTCGACAGACTGCAATAATTAAGCCATCGCAAGATTTCCATATTTATTACGATGAAGACAACGTTGCAACTCTCATCATTAGAGAAGTTTTTCCTGAAGACGCTGGAACATTTACTTGCGTAGCTAAAAATGCTGCCGGTTTTGCATCGAGTACCACAGAACTCACTGTTGAAGCTCCTCTTTCAGATCATGGTTCTGACATGACTGGGCATTCAAGAAAAAGTTTATCAAGAGAATCTTCCCTTGCGGATATTCTAGAAGGAATTCCTCCCACTTTCTCTCGCAAACCAAAAGCTAAGTGCGTTGATGAAAATAGTGATGTTATCTTAGAGTGTCGATTAGTTGCTGTACCAGAACCGGAGATCACATGGTATTATGAAAACAAAAAGATAACAACTAAAGAAAATGTAGTTGTTGCAACAGAAAGTGATATGCACATGTACTGCAGTGTCATGAAAATAAAAAAAGTAACGAAAAATCAAGAAGGGAAATATAAAATTATAGCAAGTAACAGAGAAGGTGAAGCTTCAATTGAAATACCTTTGAAAGTCAAAACTGGTGCTAAAGAACCTCCTGAAATTCTGGAACCTCTAAAACCATTCATTGTTCGGGAAGGAGAAACTGTCGTATTGAATACTCAAATTATTGGTACGCCAATTCCTAAAGTCATTTGGTTGAAGGATAGTAAACCCTTAAGGAAAGATTTAATTCCAACAAAAGACGGTGATACTCACACATTAACGATGATTCAGCCAAAGCCTTTAGATGCTGGAGAATATTCGTGTATCGCAACCAACGATTTAGGAACTGCAGAAACCAAAGCAATGCTTATTGTTGAAGGTAAAATTTGTTTTGAATTCTTTATTATCGCATTTTTTTATCTACATAATTTTTTTTTATCAAATTTTCTATCGATATTTACTAATTATCAATTATTATTACATAAAATTTTCTGATAGCTCATGCTTTTTGCTTACTAATATAATTACAGCTACTTATAAAATTTGTGATGGCTCTAACTGTGGAACAATCTCTGAAATAACAATCAATAACAGCTGTTCTGGCTCAGGTTGTGGAACAATAAATAACTCCATTAGTAAATCGAATTCTAAATGCAGTGATGGATTTCATTGTGGAACAGTCACAGAGTCTGTTTGCAAAAATGATTGCTGTTCAGGATCAGGCTGTGGTACACTCAATAATTCTACTAATGAATTCCATTCAGATGTTTATTGTTCTGGATCTCATTGTAGCACAATAATTGATTTTATTGATGGTCCGAACAACAAATCTTGTGATGGTTCGAAGTGTAGTACAAACACAGATATTTTTTATAAGAATGACTGCTCTTCAGAATCCGAAACTCTTTGTAATTCAATCGATGAGTCAATTGAGTATCCCTATTATGATGGATCAACTTGTCAAACGTTATTTGAAGTTTTAAATCCTGCTTATAAATTAAATAATGAACTAGTGTGCAAATTTTGCTGCCAATTAATTTGTAAAAAAACTTGTAAATCTAATAACTATCTTTTAATTGAACAAGTAGCTACTGAAGTTTCAAAAGTTATTGAATTTGAAGGTGATTCAAAGTTTATGCTTATCCATTGCATGGTTGAAATCATTCACGATTAACTAAATACATAAAACTAATATTAATATTTATTTAAATTGTTTTTTTAGAAACACCTAGTGGTGCTCCAGAACCCCCTCTCTTTACTAAACGATTCCAAGAATTGACAGTCCCAGATAAAAGTACATTTAAGCTCGTAGCTGAAGTTATTGGTTATCCAGTTCCAGAAGTAACATGGTTAAGAAATAACAAACCCTTGGAAAAGTCACCAAACATCAAAGAAACATACGATGGGAAAAATATTATCTTGGAAATTAAAAATGTAAACTCGGAAGTTGACTCAGGAGATTATAAATGTGTTGCAAGCAATCCTGTTGGAAAAGCTTCACATGGTGCTCGGGTAACTGTGGATGTTTCTGGAGTTACATTTACGAAGAAATTAGAGACAGAAAAAATTGTAGAAGAGTACAAAACGCTTGAACTCATTTGTGAAACATCTCACACGGTATCAACAACTTGGTTCCACAATAATGAAGAAATTAGTGGTATGGATCATCGTGAGGTAATTCATGAAGGTCGTGTGCACAAATTAGTGATCAAAAAGACTGGTGCTATTGACGAAGGAATTTATAAATGCACAGTTAAAAATCAAAGTACTTCATGCAATGTAAAAGTCAAACGTAAGTTGATTACAATTTATCTATAATATTATTAAATAAAATGTAGGATATAATTGATAATAATAAAAACGATAATATAATTTTACAGCAACCAAACCTGAGTTTGTGAAAAAATTAGAAGATTTCGAAATTAAAGAGAAGGAAGTGGCAATCTTAGAAGTTGAAATAACATCTCAGACTGCTGATGTTCAATGGAAGAAAGATGGGCAAGTAATTGAACCTCGTAATAAAAAGATTGAGTTTGTAAAGGAAGGACCTCTTCGAAGATTATATATTCGAAATACTTCAGTTCATGATGAAGGAGAATACACTTGCTCACTTTTAGATGAAGAATGCTCAGCGGAAGTGACTGTAATCGGTATGTTCAAAATGAAATTTTTGAATAACCATCATGTTGATCATTACATGAACTATTTTTTTTTTTTAGAATTACCACCAGAAATTATAACAAAAATGAAAGACGTCAAAATCGCACAAGGGGATAAAGCTAAGTTTGAAATTGAATTGACCAAAGGAGATGCATTAGTTCGTTGGTTCAAAGATGGTGAAGAACTTCAATTTTCTGAACATATAAGTTTATCAATTGATGGAAAACGTCAAAAATTGAAAATTTATGACACGAGACCCGAAGATGCTGGTCTTTATTCATGTAAAGTTGGAGATCAAACTTCAGAAGCAACTTTAATTGTAGAAGAACCCGAAGTTAGTTTTATTAAAAGACTGCCACCTGTTACTGTAGTTCCTCTCGATGAAGATGCATTATTTACGATCGAATTGTCACGTTCAGATGTCTTTGTTCAGTGGTGTAGAAGAGGTATGCCAATTAATAAATCCAAGAAATACACAATAATTGATGAAGGTAAAGTTAAAAAATTAATCATTAATGAATGTAATATCGATGATGCTGTGGAATATAGTGCAGTTGTATTAAATGCTAAAACATCATCTAAACTGAAAGTAGAAGTAATTGAGGCATCTCCAAAGATCTCAGCAGAATCACCGACAGAGTACAAAGTAAAAAAAGGTGATGATGTGAACATGACTGTAAAGTTTTCTGCTTCTCCAAAACCAACTGATGAATGGGCTATCAACAAAAAGGTAATCGTTAGATCAAAACGAATAACATCATCAGTTGATGAAGAGTTCGCTACACTAACCATTAGGAAAGTTGAAGAGGAAGATGTAGGAAACTATACTTTGAAATTGATCAATATTTATGGAGAATCAACAACAGAAATCAAATTAATTGTTGGAAAAGAACCTGGCAAACCACAGGGACCTCTTGAGATTAAGAATATCAAACCAAACTCACTTACGATTCAATGGAAGCCACCGAAAGATGATGGAGGCTATGAAATCACAGATTATGTTATTGAAATGTGTGAGACATCATTAAAGACTTGGAAACGTGTGACTAAAGTTGATAAAGATACTCTTAGCTATAATATCGGAGATTTAAAACAAGATATTGAATATATTTTTAGAGTAATAGCTAAAAATGAAATAGCATCATCGAAACCACTAGATTCGAAACCAGTAACACTCAAATCTTCAGTTGATAAGCCCGAATCACCCCGAGGACCGCTCGAAGTTTCAGGAATGACCAAGACTTCATTCACAATTAAATGGATGGAACCCGAAAATGATGGTGGATCTCCTATTATCGAATATACTGTTGAAATTAAAGAAGAAACAAAGAAAACGTGGACCAAAGTCGGTACAACAAAAGCCAAAATTACATGGATCAATGTTTCTGATTTGAAAACCGATGTCGCATATGAATTCAGAATTTCAGCAACAAATATAGTTGGCACTAGCCCTCCATATTTGTCAGAAGAATCGATTATTGCAGGAAAACAAATTAGTAAGTATTCATTAGTTATATATTGTGTTTATTGTTATTCATTAATTTTTTATTTGCTATAAATCCTTTAAATGCTTACGCTTAGTGCTAACTGTAACTGAAGAATCGCTTTATGCTCTGTTTGGAATTTTTCCCGTTACCAAAGCAGTAAAGAGTAAAGGTAAATGCTTTCACATGATGATAATTATTTTGCAATAGTCTTTTGGATTGCTTTTATTATGTTTGTTATTGTTTATAAATAAGTAACATCAATAAATTGATAAATATTTTTAATCGTATTAGCTCCACCATCTTGTCCACTCAATTTCCATGTTACAAATATTACAAGCAAGAGTGTAACTCTCAAGTGGTCACCACCTGCGAGTACAGGAGGCTCAGAACTCACGGGTAAACTTTTTTCTAAAACATTAAAATGATTAAAACGGTAAATAATAAATTATTAATGAAATAATAATAATTCTTGTAGGATATATAATCGAAAAAAGACCTTTAATAGGCAGAGGATCTAAATGGATTAAAATAGTTACCTTAGATGCAACAACTCATCAATATTGCGTTGAAAATCTTAAAGAAAGTGAATTCCTCTTTAGAATATTTGCTGAGAACAGTATAGGACTGAGCACACCAGCAATTTCTGAATCTATTACTCTTCAAACTCATGCCAGTAAGATTTTTATTAATTGTATTTGATAAAGTTTTCATTATTACAATAATATGTAACTAAAAATTTTTTTATCAACAGATGTGCCATCTCCACCAACTGCTCCATTAGAAATCAGACAAATTGCTGGAAATACAGTAGTTATTGAATGGGGTAGACCAGAATTCGATGGTGGAGCACCGTTAGAAGGCTATAAAATTGCTATAAGAGATTCTAAAAAGACAATGTGGATAGAAGTCGGTCGAGTTAATGCAGACATTCAAAAATTAAATGTTAGAGATTTACAAGAAGACCATGAATACTATATTAGGATATACGCAAGGAATGAGGTAGGATTCAGTGAACCTCTTGAATCCGTTGAACCAGTTAAAATTGTTCCTGCATCAGGTAAATTTAAATTTATAAGTTTATCAATTAATTACAAGGATAAAATCACGATCAATTAGTAACTGAATTTTTTATAGCTTTAGATGTCATCGAACCTGTAGCAGAAGTTTCTGAGCATGGTGAAACAGCATCTGTTAGTTATAGTACAGAAAATACTAGTTCATGGTTACGAGATCATAACATGGATGCTGATATTAGTTCTTATGCACGCACTCAACTTCTCAGAAAGGATGAATACTTTTTCCGAATTTGGCATTATGCTAAAAAGCTTTTCAAATAAGCATTTTCACAAATATTTTTTTCAGTAATGGTCAATCATTTTCATTGGTTACCTAAACAAAAATAGAAAGTTATATAAAGATTAAAATTATATAAAAATATCATCATACACATACTATTGACTAGATTATTCATTTAAAATGTATATAAAGAATGGAAAAAATTTATTTAATAAACTGGACGAGTCTAAAATCTAGTCATACAGTAGAAAAGATTATTGACATGTCAGACAGAGACATTAAACTTCTATGGACGATACATCAAAATAAGATCCTCTGTTATTTAATAATAATAATCAATTATCAAAATATTAATTATGATTTATTTAGTTGAAATCTTCATTTATACCATTTTTGATAATTGTCTATTGTCAAAATGAGATGACCAAGATTGTGTGGCAATGTCGAAAAATGTGATACAAGTAATCATTCTTGAAAAGTCTATAGACATAAATTATTGCAAGTACTTTTCAAGAAGTTAGAGATTTATTATATTTTAAAAAAATATTCCTTGTATTTATATGAAAATATTGTTTGAGATAGCAAATTATGTGCAATGCAAGCAATGCTTCCATCATTTTCCTATGTTTGTCAAAATTATTTATAATAGAGTCAAATATTTATTGCTATTTTAATTAAATGTTATTAATTCATTAATTATTATTATTATTATTATTAATATAATTCCGTTCATAATTATATCAATAATGTTAATTATAAACATTATTATGCAATTATTATAAGACAGATATTATGTATTTATTTATAATTTGAAGTTTGAGAGACTTATACGATGAAAATAAAATCGGTAATTGATGATTATGCCACACAATGCTGATATCCTGAGACGTAAATATAGGTGCAATAATCCATCTTTGTACTTATCAATATTGTGTTGCATTCATCATGAGCCTTTATATAATGTTTTAAACAATAAATGACTATAAATAATATTCAATGAATTATTTTATTTATATTAAATTCTTTAAAATTGCGTGTTGCAGTCTATCTGCTGAATACAATACACAAATCTCCCACATTACATGTGTCATTTTTTATTTCTACATTATGTTATATCTTTTATTCTTCTGCAGTGCTTGACTAGTTATTAAAACAATTCACGAGTAAATTCTAGGTAAAAATAATGGAAATCAATTCAAATAATAATAAGATAATATATTGTAACTACTAAAATGAAAAATTAAATTAATTTAATAGTATAAAAAGAATGCTGTAGGTTACAAATGACTTTTTGTATTTTTTATAAAGCATAAAATTTTTTTGCATTGTAAAAAGGCCGTCTGAAGGAGACTGACAAGAAAGAAAAGAAAGAGCAAGAAAGCCTGAAGCACAAAAATTTTTACGAACCATTACCCGACCCCATTTGAAAGGCTCGTCGCCCTCGCCATTAGAATTACAAATACCCAGCTATTCGCGACAACGATGAAGCCGCACCCGCAAGAGAACACCAGCACGCGCCCTGGGCACAAAACACCGTAATACCAGACATTTTGTGAGAAATTTACAGCTTCAGGCTATGATTTTTCAACCGTCTGTATACTCCTTGCTCTCCTTTCTTTTCATATTTTACGTCTATTATTTTATTTCCACTTTCGCAGCAGCCCCAGGAGATTTGAAAAATACTTAAGTTTTGAAACATTCGACAGATGGCTTTTAACAGCTAACAATTTGTACAAACTTGAAGTCCAGACAAACTGGAAAATTTTTATTTTCGTCTAATTTTTTACTCACTTTTTCTTTATGGATGTACTAAAAAAATTTTTACAAGAACTTATTGAAATTAAATAATAAATACTGATGCATAGTCAAAGAATGAATTTAATAATCCATGTAATAACACCCTTACAATTTATTGAAAAAAAAAATTTTTTTACTCATGCTTATGATAAATTTAAATAAATGTGTGATTTTAATTGATCATCTAACTATATGAAAAGATTAAATTTTAAAATCAGTGTCCACCTTGTTCTCACAATATTCCATTATTGGAAAATCTAGATGGCGAAAAAAACATCGATAAGTATTATATTAATAAAATGAAGCAAATATAACTTAAAATTTTGATGTTGATAAGAGTTCAATTTAATTAACTTAACGACGAAATCTCTGTCTCTGTCTTGTAGGACTAAAATGTATGTTCAATCAATCCTGACACGAGTATTTAATTATCACGGATTGCCTCCTCTATAGTGATGCAGTTCTTTTGTAATTCTACTAGTGAACACTTGCAAGATAACTACTTGCACTATCCTTTGTATTATTTTATTTTTTCTTGTATTTGCGATCCACGCTTGAATTTATACCTTTGTATGACTTTTTTCTGTTAATAAATAATGATAATAATAATAATAAAATGCTAGTTGAATTTGTTAATCGATCAGCGGTGCAAGAATGATTAAATAATTTGAATTCTTTATAGATCTCTAGATTCAAATGTATAGTATTGCATTAACAACAATCCTGTCATGAAAAGTTTGCTTACGAAAATTTTTGATCACAAGTAAAACCATCATGTCAAACAGAAGCTGTCCATAACATTTGTTGTAATCCCCAATATACACCTAGTTCATTGTCCCATCATTTGTAGAGTTTGATTACACGAACAGAACTAGTTTATACGAGACTTACTCTTCCTCTTTATCTATCCATCTACTTGCTGCAGTATCTCGACGTGTACTGAACGTACAAGTATCTGGATTGTTCGCAAAACTAATTTACTACGTATCCAAATGTCGGCAAATGCCGTGGTTACACCGCGTCCTATCCAGAAGCAACACAGGAAATGAGATTTGTTAGAATGTTACAAGTGTCTTCACTCTTGGGAGTGACCATCAATTTCACTTCTTTAATCACTGCAGTAGTTTTCATTTTTATTCACCATCTCTCTCGCTCATCTCGTTAAAACTTTTTAATAAAATTTAAAATTTTCAGTTTCTCATTGTGGTAAAAGAGTTGGAAGAAAAAAGAGACTATGAAATTTTATTACGGTTATGTAAAAAATTAAAGCAAATAAAAAAAGTAAACAAACAATAAATGATTATATTGAAATAAAGTAAAATGATAGGAAAGAATTTATAACTGTTTAGATAAATACTTAATGAAAAAACATCGATTGAAAATTTACAATTGCTACATTTACATTGTCTTAATGTTAAATTGCTGACACAGTCATTTGGATCTTTAACGTTGCGTTTGCAAATTGGAACATAAAATCACGATAGTAACGGGCGCCGTTGATTGTTTGTTACCGCTTCAGCCTACACGCTATAAAGTCCATAAAACATTTGTCGTAGTGTAATTGAGTACACTTAACCATACATAACCACATATACATATGCTTCATATAATATCACATAAAACTAATGTACGAGAATATAACTTTTTTCTCTTCCGCTTCAATTTTGCGTCCAACGATTGCAGCAAGAGGTAGTTTAAATATTTTAACTGTCGACTATTGAAATAAATGATCGAATTATTGCGGCCTCAAAATAATACCGTAAATTTATGATTTAAATCTTATAGGAAAAATATAAAAAAAATTAATGAGCCTTAAATTAAATGGTTACAAAAAATTAAAAAAAAAAAATTAAATGAATGGATTTTAAGGAAATGACAAGATGTTTTGAAGGATAATTACGTGAAATAGATTTGATATCTTGATGACTAAAGAGTTGCTGGAGGTTCGTAAGTAGTGGAAGTTTCTGCTCTTAACAAACGTCCATTAGATCTGTCGTCGGTTCGCGTTGTACTACGCAGTGGCTGACGTGTTATCGGGGGTGGCATGAGGGCGAAGAATTCTTGTTTTTCACTTTCTCTCTCTTTTTTTCTTTATCGGTCTCTTTTAAATGTTCTGTTGTTGATCGTACTCGAGAAGACGAAGGGTCTTTTCCTTGAGGCACACAGAGACGCCCGCCTGTTTGCTAATTGCAATCACAGTTGTCCGATCTAACTGAAGAAAAAAGATCAATGGATTGTATCAATTCTTTCGTTTTTCTTTTCTCTTGCCTTCTTGACTTGTATTCTCGATTGTCCCTTCAATTATTTCATAGTCAAATAATTAATTTTTTCACTGCATTTATCATTTGAAATAACTTTTTAATTAATTAGACATTTTTTTGTGTCTTCACTTTATCATTCTGTTATACTTGAAATCTCAACAACTCGAACTGAATTGACTAAGGAGCTTCAATGACAAACATACGGATGACAGAATCGATAGGTCTGGAGACGTGATGTCTCCAGTTGGCCTAATGGGAATTCACCGTCCCTATACTAATTGGATATTTTCACATGTATGCGATATCGTTTGATATAGTATGTGTGCAAGTTATATATGTTAAAAATTTTAGATATTTTAGATATCATCTTCACAAGAAGTAATATTATATCGTTAAAACAAAGTAAACATTTGTTAACTTTCCAGTGGGAAAGTGGGTTATTCTTAATCAACACCATATTTATTATTCTATTTCAGTGCTTATTCTTGAAAGTGTATTTTTATAAGAGAACTCTCGTCGTTCAGACTTACAGAGACCAAAAGGAACCTTACCCAAGATTTAGTTGCAAGTGTGTTTTGCCATAATTTACTGGTAGAAAAAAGACAACGTCAGATTATTCTGGAGAATATGAAAAGGGGGTGTTGTGTTGAAACTGTCCTTCCTTAATACGTGTTAGGCCACAAGGTAATATTAAAGAAGATAAAGCAAGAGAAAAAGAGTAAATATGGTCTGAAGGTGATACGAATCTAGCATGAAGTATGGCGCCTGTCATAAAAATTATGTTGACTTTACGTATTTATTGTTAACCCTGGCAATAGTCAACTGTGAAAGAGATCACGTATGAATGTATCTAGATGCCAACGTATTTATTCTTATTTTATTACAAATTTATTATAAATATTTATACTCTATTATGTATCTTTTTACTTCTCGTTAGTGTTAACATTTACAAGCAAACATTTGTTTATGAACGAAACAAATTGGATATCTGACTAATGATCATAGAAGATATTTGAAGAATTTGTGATCGTCCTTGCTAGTAAGCAAATGACCTCGCAAGATCTTGCCTCCTTTCTCTCTTGTACTTCTTCTCCCTTCCTGGTTCTCTGAGTCGTACGTTACAATATGTGCCAGACACTCTTGCACGCCTAAGAATTCCTGACCCTGCCCAGTGGTAACTACAACCTACAACTCTTAGGAGTATGGCCTTTGAGTGAGTATTCATGCTTAGAAATGCCTACAACGTATACCCATCGTAGTATCTCTCCCTCGTGGGCACGGCTTTATGCTTCCCTGATATCCTTTTGTTTAGGCTCTTGTGCAATCTTCAGCATGCTTGGTGGAGGGTATTTTTATTTTTACAACTTTAAAATAATCTAATTGCAATTTTTTTATTTCAAGATTATGAGGTGAATAATGATTCATGGCTAGAATAAAATTTTTTTTTCTCCTATAAGTTAATTTCCTTTTAGCCCTTCAAGTATTTTTACATTGATGTAAATATTACAAGAGTTAATAGTATTTCAATTACCGTAAAATTATCAACGTATATTAATTTTTGTTTATGTACATCATTAAGTCTCATAAATTAAAGAGTAGTTAAAATGGATGGAAAAAAAAAAATAAGATACACATGAGAAACATCGGAAGTAAGGTCATCTTGAAAGTATTTCCGGTGTAAAATAAATCAATGCTAGTGTAATATATAACAGAAAATCAATTATCTCTTGGTTCTTATGAAGGAATTGAATTTCCTAGTGAATATAAGGTAGCCCAAGTAGTTTTTCATTTTCAAGGATAAGGTTCGCAGGTACAGTGTTTATAAATGAAAGAGAAAAAGTACGCATAAGGTAGTGTGTAAAACTTGAGTAGGAAATTTACGAGTTTTCCAACGTAGACAGAACCCGCATTTAGCGATATTCATTACTCAGTTC